AATAATGAACAGCAAATAGATACATTCCTTTCTCAACTCACTCTGCACAACATTACAGCCGAGCAAAACGAACAATTAATATCAGAGATAACTGAGGCAGAACTAAGATCGGTGATTAAAAAGTTAAAAGGAGGGAAATCTCCAGGAACGGATGGGTTTACCTCTGAGTGGTACAGAGAAATGCAAGATCTATTAGTCCCTGTTTTATTAAGAGTCTTCAACAATGTTCTGGAGAAGAAAATAATTCCTCCTTCATGGAGAGATGCAATTATTTCATTAATCCCCAAGGAGGGAAAGGATAAGTTGGACTGCAGAAACTACCGCCCGATAAGCCTGCTTAATATTGATTACAAATTATTTACTGCCATAATTGCACAGAGATTAGAAAACATCTTACCAGTGATAATTCATAAGGACCAAACAGGCTTTATCAAACAGAGACAGACACAGGACAACATCAGAAAAACTTTGCACATCTTAAACCATGTAGTTCAACAAAAAATAGAGACCCTTGTACTGAGTCTGGACGCAGAGAAGGCTTTTGACTCGGTAAGATGGTCCTTTCTCTACAAAGTTATGTCCAGATTTGGGTTTCACCAGAACATAATTGATGTCATTTCAGCCCTATACAATAAACCATCGGCTAGGATAAAAATTAATGGAGACCTATCTGACCCCTTTGTTTTAGAAAGGGGTACGAGGCAGGGATGCTGCGTTTCGCCGCTTCTCTTCGCCCTCTTCATAGAGCCGTTAAGTCAATGGATAAGACAGAGAACAGACATAGCTGGGGTTCGCATGGCATCTGGGGAACAGAAGCTTTCATTGTTTGCAGACGATTTGTTGCTAACCATTACAAATCCATCTCAAACTCTACCTGTACTTATGGGAGCAGTCGAGGAATATGGCTTGCTCTCGGGTTACAAGATAAATGTTACCAAGACTCAGGCTCTAACAATAAATTATAACCCACAGAACAATATTAGAAAACTGTACAGTTGGAACTGGGAGGCAGATTCCATAAAATATTTAGGGGTCACATTGCCCAAGGACTTTTCTAAGATTTTTGATGTCAACTATGGGCCCCTAATCTCAAACCTGAAGTCAGACATACAGAGATGGAACCTGACCCCTTTCTCAAATCTATACTCCAGAGTGGAATCGGTCAGAATGAACATTCTCCCACGCTTCCTTTATCTATTTCAATGTTTACCTATCCTGATATCAGAAAGACGTTTTATAGAATGGGAAAGAATGATATCTCAGTATATTTGGCAGGGAAAAAAGGCAAGGGTGAGGTATAGGACACTGCAATTAAAGAAAGAGAAAGGTGGACTGGGTCTTCCCAATTTGCAAGTTTATTACCTTGCAGCTCAGTTAAGACCAGTGTTCTGTCTATGCTCTCCATCATACGATGCAAGGTGGAAAGATATGGAAGGTAGAACAGTGGAGGGAATACCCCTAATTTCAGTATTAATGGATACGGAATTACAAGATGGGCTGAATATACCACAAGGTTCAATGTTACACACAATGCTGGATTCCTGGAGAAAGGTGATTAAAATCTGTAAATTGGGCAACCAGATAAAAATACTCAGATGGTGTGCCTTTGACTCTGCTTTTAAACCGAATAAGATGGATGGGAGATTTAGAGGATGGATCCAAAAAGGAATAACCACCTACTATACATTTACCAAAAAGGGGGTATTTCAGAGTTTTGAGGAGCTTCAGAGATCTAATGGGTTAGAGAGGGACGACTTCTTCAGATATTTACAAGTGAGGGCCTATTTCAATCAAAACATACGTAATGATTGGGAAACAGCCAAATCAAAATTGGTTGATGTGTTTTTGTCTTTGTTGAAGTCAGGTTCATGCAAGAAACTTGTTTCCATACTTTACAATGCTATTCTATCTTCTAAACAAGGCGATACGAATTATATAAGGAACAGGTGGGAAAAAGAAGGAAACGTAACTATCTCAACTGAAGTCTGGGAACAGATTAATAAACTACACTGGATGACTTCAAGCTCCAACACATGGAGACTGTTCTGTTGGAAAAACTCTGTTCGATATTTTGTAACTCCAGCTCAGAAAAAACATCATGGCAGCGGAGACGCCTGTTGGAGACTCTGTGGAAAAAACGGAGCAAATCACCACCACATCTTTTGGGGATGTCCGGTGATTAAAGATTTTTGGGAGCAAACGTGTTCCCACATAAACAACATCTTCACTAAAAATCTCCCGTGTAAATGTGAAATTCTGTACTTAGGAAACATTCCATCTGACAACTGGACTCTGGAAGATAAAAAACTGCTGTTAATGCTGCTGGCTGCAAGTAAAAAGACAATCACCAGAAAATGGTTCAAACCTCAAGCACCTCCAGTTGAGGACTGGTTTGGCATAGTGCAGGACATTTACATGCTGGAGAAGCTAACTTTCTCTGTCCAAGGACGTAGGGAATCTTTTTTCAGGATTTGGTCTAAGTGGACAAACTATATAAAACCAGTAATCCCTGTGATCTAAACTTGTCTTATCACATGCAAATACTGTTGTGCTGTGTACTGTTCCCTTTTGGCAGGCTTATGTCCTGAATTGTGCTTTTCCCCAAAAATAAGGAAAATTTGAATTAGACCTCATGTTCCCACCCGCTCGTTTTTTTTTTTTTTTTTTTTTTTTTTTAAGTTATAGATGTTTGGTTATTATACAAAAACTCCGGATCGGCTTATGTTATTCTTTCCCATATTTCCACTGTGGTGGAAGTTTGAATGTACAAAGTAATTGTAACCTGCCTTTCCAAATAAAAACTTCAATAAGGAAAAATGCACTGATTTTAAGAAAAAAGGACTTATTTAGATTTTAGTTTTTTGCAGTGAACAAGGCAAATGTACCTGATACCAGTTCATTTAAAGGCTTAAAACTAGTCTGTTTTTCTTAGAATTAATTTCATTATCTAGGTGTAGTGAATGTATGGGAAAAAATACACTTCTAAACAAAAACTTCTAAACGTTTTTTTGTTAATATTTTAGCAGAAATGTCACAGAATTAAGCGAAAAGAAAAAAAAAGCTGAGGGCTGCAGAGGCCAAACAATGAAGAGATGGTGATGTAGCAGAATCGCTACCCCTTCTATTCATTCTAGCTCATCTGAATCGTTCATCTGGAGAGCGAGATCATCTGTGGTAGCAGCACTAGACATCTTCCAGGCATGGGAGGAAAGCTAGCTGCAGTTCAGCAGACAGGAAGAAGGAACGGTAGCCGGCGCACGCTGATGACGTCATACACGCGCCGCTTCGTTGTTTAAAATATATGAATATGAAAAATCTAACAGTGGATGTCTGGGGGACAGTGATTGGCCTCCATGTTCTGAATGCTGGCGTAGCATAAAGAATAAATGATGAACAGTTTAGTTTGTGCCTTCAAGTCGTTGCCCATAGGAAGACGTTACTGGAGATGAACAGAATATCTTCAGAACGGCTCCAAATGACACTAAACTTATAGAACATGATGTAATAATGTAAAATCAAGGGCCAAATGTACAAAAAAATCGGCGTTCCCCTTTAAGGCAGAGCTTCTATTATAATAAGCATATCTATGATGTATTGCAGTTTACTTTGTTCTGCAAACAGTGAATGGTTCACTGGCGAGGTTCAGAATCTCAAAGCTAAATCATCTCAATAACACTGGAAAAAATCAAAATCTAGATGAGTAATTATTTCTTAAATTAAGTGCATTTGTTCCTTGATAGAGGAGGTAAAAGTGACATTTTGCCAGTGGAACAAGACAATTTACACTTAAAATTAGAGAACACAATTGCATTGTCTTATTTAAAGTTCATATTATCTAATTATCTTATTTTAAGAGAAAAAATACTCATTCCATTAGCAAACTATCTCATTTACCTACTCAAATTAAGGGTAAATATACTTAATTTAAGGAACTTTTTACTTATTTCTAGATTGTTTTTCCAGTGAACTCTATCAATTTAAATGCAATCAGATTTGATTAGCTGGAATATCTTAATGAGATGAGGTCATTTCTTAAAACAGGTTAATATGGATCGTCTTATTGTCCTGAAACAAATAAAATGACCTCACAGTCTAAATGTTAACGTGACTCAGTCCAAAATGTGTGATATTTTCAGAAAATAGCTGCTCAGAATTAGTTTTATTATCTAGATAGGATGAAAAATGTGAATTTTCTTAAAACAAATCAAATAATCTTAACAAGATTCAGTCTTACTAAGAAAATACATTGAAAAACAAATGTAATAAGACCAAAATGCTGAATTCAAGTTTATTACACTTGTATAGATTTTCCTTTTTTTGCAGTGTCTAATCCTAATGGTAAAAATGCTCCTTTTATTGGCATATAATCTTATTTTCCTATTCAAATTAAGGGTAAATACACTTATTTTGAGACATTTTTGCTCATTTTCAGAACTTTTTTGCAGAGTAGTGTAATGAAATTGGAAGAAATGTGAAAGGAAGCAAGTGGAAAACCCTAAATACTTTTGGTTTACAGCTGAAAAGTTTTTATCCAGCTGAGTGAACAGTTTTTAATCAAGCTCTGGACGCTGCGACAGAACGTTCCTGATATCTGACGCAACAAGCAGAAGCTTTTCTGTCATTACTGTCCTGGATATTCACGCTGACACGCAGACACACACCTGGTCTGAGTCACATTCGTTTTTAACCGACGCTCACACGTTGAAAATCAGTGAAACTTTTGCTCTGATTTTTTCCAGCCGCCCAGACTGAATCACCGGCAGCAAAATGAAGCAATCCTGCAAAACCCACTTTCATTAAAAAGGCTGATAAGTCTTATTCTAAGGAGACATATAAGTCATAATTGATAAAGATGAATCTTATTGAAAACTTTGCAAAACAACTCAGGTAAAAGAAAAAAAATCTTTCTGTTTTTTTTCTCACCTTCTTCACCGTTTGTGGTCCGTCCCTCTTTTTTTTTTTCTTCTTCAACACACCCTGTGATGTCATGCAGGATTTGGTCTAAAACTTTTTGTCTTTTAATTGTTCCAAGGATAGTGAATTTAAAATAAGGGCGGTAACTATCGCCTATATTACACTGTGACGCCCATTAGATGGGATCAGTTCAGGTGAAATAACTCAGAGGACGACGTCTTGCTCAGTGGTCATGGTAAGCACCAACTTCTACAACAAACTTTTACTTTTTTAAATGCTCTTTTGTATCCTAAATTTATAATGCATCTTCTTTTGATTTCAGCCTTATTGTTTGCTGCATTAACTACTTTGTGCTTATATGGAAATATGCAATAAAATACTTCTGAATAGCAGTTCAGGCATTTTAGTAATTCAGATCTAGAAAGTGATCAGGTAGATCAGAGACACAAACTGATGTTTTATGCCTTCATTCTGGTTAATTATGATGCATGCTCTTTAACATCCTACGAAAATGCTTAAGATTAGAGGATTATATCAAAAAATAATAATAAAATGCATAAAGATGAAAAGCAAGTTTAATGCAGAACTTCAAGATTATTATTTTCAAAATGTACTTTTAATAAAACTCCAATTATTTGAACATTAATTCCCATTTTAAAGGTTGATTATGGAGGAATCTGAGGAAGATCGTTTACTCAGATTACTTACAGAAGCTGCTCCATCTTTATAAACGCAAACCTGTTGATTTGAACTTGATTTCAGAAAATCCAAAATCCTCAGAATATCCTGTTTGGGAAAAAAAAAGCTTAAACTTCTTAGTTTCCCCTCCTTTTATTCCAACGTATAGCTGCACAACAAGGATCTCCAGTTACCATGGAAACAAAGTGATTGGTGGAGAGGAAGCCTTAATCAAAGGAAAGCTGTTATAGTTTTATTTTTCCTTTTTTGATCACAAATATTCAAAGAGACATCACAAACACGTAGAATCCCAGAACATGATGAGCGGCGAGCGTTTTAGCTACTCTTAATGTTGCAATAGAGACAATAACTCCGGTTGCTAAGCGCCCATCAATTCAAACAAATAAAGCCAAGGTGCGGCATCTGCTTAATAACCGAGTGCTACATTGCCACACCTTTTCACAGCCGTTCAACAAAACACTAAGCGGTGACTGTTTATTAAAAAAAAACCCACAAAAAACACAAAAACTAGACATTTTTTTAAACTTAACTTCCAACTGAAGTCTTATTCCTGCAGGACCATAAATCTAAACTCTTCTACTTTGGCTTCTTCCAGAGTGTAACACCCTAACCCCTAAGGGTAAGGTGTGTTACATTCATCATTTTGAAGGTTTTTGTTTATTTTAAGCAGCTCGTCTCAAAAGCTGTTGTGTAAGTTTTCAGCCGAACGTCACCTTTGGGACAAAATGTCACAGAATCTATCAGTAAGTTTGAATTAAAATCACTTTTTTTTCTCATTCCTTATATAGTTTCTTATCTTGCATTATTTTTTAGGCCTAAAAATGAATATCCTACAAATATTAGAGGTCTTTAAGGAGTCACATGGACCTGATCTTCAGAACCGTCCTGCATGCTTTGGATTTGTCTCTGCTTCGGAGAAAATGAATCACATGACATCCTCCTCTGCAGCCTCTTACTGCTAGAGAGGCCTATTTCTTCTTTTTGGGTTTGTTGGTGGTGCAGATCTAGGCGCATATCTATAGAACTGGCATCAGGGCAAGAAAAAAAAAGTTAAAAAGCCAAAAAACAACGAGGTTTGACTAAACAAACTGGTCGCCCTTAAAAGTAAGATGTCTGATAGGCCCGCTAATGTGAAGCCCTGATTGTTGCTGCAGAGGTTTGTTAATTACGCGTATTTTAAGTCATTTATGTGTAGGAATCTATAAGGAAATTGCTCGATTCCCTCCTGGATCGGAGTCTTGGACGTCTTTAGACGTCTTTAGACGTGTCTCTGCTTTCACACCTGAATCAAATGCTCCTCAGCATGCAGTCAGGTTCTCCAGCCTCCTGCTAATTACCTGATTATTAGACTCAGGTGTGTTAAAGCAGGCGCACATCTAAAAGGTGACGGCGTCTGCCCAACATGCAGGGCAGGTGGCCATGAGGGCCAGACTGACATGATAACTGATTACCGCTGTAATCAGGTAATGATCACAGGAGGAAATGATCTTTGTTACACGCTGCAGGTATGAAAACAACATGTTTATATATATAAATATACAACGTTCCACACTAACAATATGAATATATACATATGTAACTATATATATATTTCTATATATTTACAAATCTAAAATAAAGTGATAATATGAAATGTGCAAAAGGGAGCAGTTTTCCATGCGTTCTGAGTTGTTAGTTGTAAATGCTTTAAAAACAGTCGCCGGCGATCGGGTGGATTTTAAGAGGTTAGCAAAATGAAATAAGTTGAAAAATAAGCAAATCGTTTTGGTATGAGATAAATATTATACATGCAGAACTTAAATGATACAACTTATAAAGGTTGCCCATAAATCTCTTGTTTTGCAAAATAAAGTGAAATATTATCCCAGCAGGCAGCAGGACCATCATCTAGATACTAAATGTTCATAAAACAGCAGCAAGCATAAAGTAGTCAGTTAGTTAGTTGGGAGTTTGACTTTTCTATATTATTACAACAATTTCAAAATATTAATGACAAAAATTTGCAAAAGTAAGAACCTATCAGCAAATATATTTCACAGGAATTAATAAGCGTGTTTATCTACATTGCACAAGATCTATTTTATGCCTTACAGAACAATAAAACTACTTTAAAAAGTTCAGTTTAGGCAACTGGATGTAAACTTTTTACATCTTTTAATTTGTTTTCTAAAGCTCTGTCTGTGGTGAGGAGTTTTACCTCTTAACCATGACCCTAATCTTTAGCTTCATGCAGATATTCAAACGTATATTAATATAATGCGTCTTTAAACTGAATGGGCCAGGGGTTATAGTCATTTTTGCACTGCAAAAACTGTAAATCTAAGTAAATTTTTCTTAAAACAAATGTAATTCTTGAATTAAGCAGGTAAGAGAGACACTTTGCTAATGGAATAAGAAAATTTACATTTAAAATAAGAAAACAAAATACTGCAGTCTCTTTGTTCAAGTGCATAAAGTCAAGAAAGATTCACTTATTTTAAGAAAAGTAGATTGCTTTCTTTGCAGAGTGGGCTGTGATTAGTAAAGCCGTCATTAATGATGTTATTAACAAACAGAGAGTTTTTCCCAGACATGTTTCTACCTTTGGAACATCTTATCCTAGAAAAAATACCTTTGAACTAAAACGTTTAAAAAGAGGAAAATAAAGGTTTCAGTATCAAATGTCATTAATGGTTTTGTTAGAGATCTGAGTCAGAGCTCCAGAGCTCACCTGTGAGTCAGGTGTCTGGTTTCTGCGTGGCTCCGCCCCCTGAGTCCCCCTGCGCTTCCAGAAGCGCAGTTTGACGCGCAGCGGATCAGAGCGCACAGTTTGATCCCAGCAGGGAACGGAACAGGACATCTCCTCTCCTCCTCTCTGCTGCAGCCATGAGTATGTTGACCCCAGAAAACACGTTTCTGTCTTCCTTACAGCCCCACACCCCATCCACCACTTATGCGCTCCCGTCGGACAACCAGCTCGGTAACGGGAGCACCATGGCCGACGAGCAGCTGAGGAGCCGGCGGGTCCAGGAGCAGGTCAAGATGAAGCTGGCGGAGAAATCCACACTTCCGCGTCAGAACGGAGCGGCCTCTCATTACGCCATGTCAGGTAAAGAGCAGAACGCTTTCATTTTAAACCTGATCACAACGCAGCGGCATCAGAGCTGCTAGAGGGGAAAAACTGTAAAAAACTGTAAAAAAACTGTAAGAAAAAAAAACTGTAAGAAAAAAACTGTAAGAAACAAACAAAAAAAAGGACAGGTGTGGACCAGGGGCGTAGCCAGGTATTTGGGGCCCCATGAAAGACACTGATATTGGTGTGGCTGCTTCAGGCTGCTCATGAGAATTATCAAGATTTTAATGGTAGAAAATATATTTATGGCATATTATAATATTTTAATGGTATAAAAATCTATTCACATATTCAATATATTTATTTAAATTAACAAACAAAAAGGACTGCAGTCTCTTATTTCTAGTGCAAAATATGTTATTATTTTATTTTAAGGGTAAAAATGCTCATCTACGGAAGAGGATTAGGGCCAGTGGGAAAAAAAAATAGTTAACTGATTTTTTAGTCAGAATTCTGACTTTTTTTTCTCAGAATTCTGATTTTAATCTCAGAATTCTGACTTTTTTCCCCATGTTAAACTGAAATAAAATAAAAAAAATCAGTTAACTTTTTTATTTTACACTGGCCCTAATCCTCTTCCGTACTCATCTTCTTACTTTCCTACTCAAATTTAAGTTAAATACTCTTGTTTTCAGAAATATTTACTCATTTTCAGAACGTTTTTGCAGTGTGGGGGTTTAACGTGATGGGCTCCGATTAGGAGAGCCCTCATTAATGATGTTGATATTGGTGTGGCTGCTTCAAGCTGATCAAGTTTATAAATGTCTTTTAGTGTAATAATATCATTTATTCATGGTATATTTTAATACTTGAATGGTATAAAAAGCTTTTCATATATTCAGTATCGTCGTGCTTTTTTTCGCTGTTTACTGCTGAAAAATGAGGAAGAACACAAAGATAATTTATCTCACTGCAGTATTTTCTTTTTACAGTTGAAAAAGCAGGACAAATCTTTTCTACTTCTTTTGGGGCCCCTTAAGTTAAGGGCCCTTAGATTTTTCATACCCCCCCCCAGCCCCCGCTACGACACCCCTGGGTGTGGAAATCATTATCTGACTGCAGAGCTGAACTGATGACCAATGATGGCACTTTTATGAGGCTGTATAAAGAAGCTATGACTCATTTTATTTTCAGTGAGGTTGTAGGTTTAAAAAAAGAAAAAGTTGATAGTCCACTTTGTGAAATTAAAACATAAAAACAAAAAAACTCCTTCCAGAGTTGTTTTGTCAGAGACTCACTCAAGAGGCTGTCAATCATTGCATAAGATCTGACCTAAAAGAAATTAGCATTAAAGTTGGGCTCTATTGATGTCACACTTTAGAAAACCAATTTATGTTTTTTTTATGCAATCAGGCTCCAGAGAAGCATGTTCTAACAGGACTGGTTATTATGGTGACTGCAGCTAGTTTTAATGAGATGCATCCGCTAAAATATTCACATTTATGCTTTAATCTGAAATACCTTCAGGTAGGGCTGGGCCATGTGGCTTAAAAAACCAAGAGATAAATAGATTTTTCAAAATAAAAATGAAAAATGTGAGGTGACCCTAATTTAAAGGGTGTCAAACAACCATGTTTCGCAACAAACAATGAAAATACAACAAACTAAATGTTTTTTGCTGCTGGTATCAGACAGGGAGCCAGTTTATCAGATATACGTACACCTCTAAGAAAACAGCAATGAACTGATGTCCTTCTATGGAAGCCAAAGACGTGGATTAGTTTAAAAAATCCTGACTTTCCAAACTTTAAATCTGCATATGCAGATTTTATTGATGAATTTCCCAGTCCTACCTACAGGTAGTTAAACATGCACTGGAAAAATGATCTAGAAGTAGGTAAACATTTCTTTAAGAGTATTTACCATTAATTTGAGCAGGTATATAAGATGATCCCCCAATGGAATGAGTATTTTTACTCTTAAAACAAGATATTTAAATAAAATGCACTTAAAATAACACAATGCTATTGTGTTTTCTTATTTGAAATGTAAATTGTCTTGTTCCATTGGGAAAATGTCTCTTTTTACCTCTTCAATTCAAGAATAAATGCAAAATTATGATACTGCTACTTAAATTTTGCAAAATCAAAAATGTACTTATTAATCAATTGACTGTTTTAGGGCCATATTCTTTTTTTTTAAATCATTTTCAGAGCTTTTGTAATAAAAGTGCTAATTGGGTGTGCATCCAGTGTGGTTGTGCATTGCAATTAAAACATGATGCTGTTGTGAAATGATTGTAGTATTTCAGTCGGGGGTAATTGTTGTACGAATGCGATGTAGCATCCAGGGTATAATAATTCCAGAAAGAGTAAAGAACTATCCGCTGGACTTTGTCTCCAAGTTTGAAGACGTTTCTCTTCCCGTCCAGGAAGCTTTTTTTTAGCTTGTCCACTCTATAAAACCTGGAACTCAACCCTATTCCTCACATTTGAATTGAAAAAGCTTCCTGTATGGGAAGAGAAACGTCTTCAAACTTGGAAACAAAGTCCAGGATTGTTGTTGTGTTTTTTTAAATGTTTTTGAAATAAGCAGTTTGAACCCCTGTTTAAGGTTAAGGTGTATATGACAAAAAACTGCCTGCACAGCTCTTTTTGTTAATGAATCATCTGTGACACTTCTTAAAAGAATGTTGCACGTTTTTGCATGATAAAATGTTAAAAAGATGTAAAAGTCATTGATGGGAAATGTTCTGAGCATTTATTTATAGGTCGATTCAGCATTTTATCCAGTCTTTTGTAATGCTGTTTACTTTCAGATTATCTTCAGTGTTCATTAAGGGAATGAAGACAAGCTGTGTTTTGTATTTTTCATTTTAAACAAGCAACAGCTGATCAGTTGTTGAAGCAGGGATATGGGTTTTGTTGTTGGATTTGAATTCTCTTTTGATCTGCAAACGGACTCAGATCAGTAAATACTGCAGAAGTAAAACTCAAATGTCTCCTTTGGTTTCCTGCATTGTTGTTACTGCCTCATTCCTGGTTAGTTTTAAAGTTAAACAGCCATAATTAATGGCTTATCTATGCTTTCTTATGATTAGGTTTCTGGTTTTGGCAGCTGTGTAGTTTACGTTTGTATAATAGATAGGGGTATTAAAGCTTTCTACTTTCTAAATGACTTTGCACTCAGGTCCAAAGTTGCTCTGGCCTTTAAATCGTTCTCCTTTCTCATTCGTTTCAAACGCATTTTAAAAAGCTCAGCTTTATAAAGGAGCTTTTTTCTGACTTATAGCTCTTCTTCATTAATTCATGTTCATTTTGAATCAGGCCTTTGGGGAATTTTTTCTTTGTCCTCCTGCTGCACTTTAACAGTATGTCTTGTTTCTGCACATGACAAGTAGTTAATGTGTAACAGGCCTCAACAAGTGCTGCTTTCATAAAGTTTCCTGTGTCAGAAAGAGTCTGAGCTTTGAGTTTGCTTCCACAAATGGGGGCTCTTGTTTTCAGAAACACCTGTTATCAAAACATTATACCTGCTTAAACTCTGCTTGTCTAAGTGTCATTGTTTCCAAGCAGTGGTGAGAACCTCCAACAACAGATTGGAAGGTTTCCAGAGTGCATTAAATCACTATATGTGTCATTAATGCATAATTTTTTGCATTTTTTGAGCTGAATGTGTCAGACGGCGATCGGCTGCTGTCTGCGCCTCGTATACCTGCCTGTTGCTACCTGCTAAGTCCTGTGCGTCATCGTACTCAGCCAACAAGGAGAGAACAAGCAGAACACCGTGACATTCGGCTTCTGTCGATGTGACCTGTAGACTCAGGGTTGTACGGATGCAGAATGGGAGCCCTTTACTCGCTCTTCTGGTTTTAGCTTTTTCCCCAGAGGCGCAGAACGTCCCCGCCTCAGCAGCCCGACATTCTGCTCTAGCTGCCTGGTTTAAAAAAAACAATCTCAAACAGACATTTGACAGGTCTGCCTAAATGCTGTTGTCCTCCATTCTTTCAGCTGAAATATACGGCACAATGATTGCCATTTTTAAACCACCTCGGGAGGCAAACATATGGTTAATGTGAGAATTTATCAGCCGTTGATTGAAACTTGTGCAAACCAAATGTCTCGCTGAGCAGAATGTTGTCATTTTAGTGGTTTGTGGCTTTGGAGGACTTGGAAATGAATGTGCAAGTGTTTGCAGATGGGAAAAACAAAAACACACAGAGGAATCTGAAAGGAATGCATTTCCTTCCATATCGCAGTATTCTGCAGCTGTATTCTGTATCAGTATATCAGAGAATATATACAAATATACATATATTATACATTTACAGATAATCGGAGAGTCTACGGTTATGGAACGTATTATCTGCATGCTAATGTACAATGATATCTTTATTAATTTTTAGATATACTGTGTATATATATATACATACATATACATACATATCAGTATGTATATATATATACATACTGATATGTATGTATATATATATACATACATATCAGTATGTACTTCAGGTGTTTCAGGGTGTGTTTTAGTTGGCCTGTAAAACGCTGACGCTATCAGGTACATGGGGCGTTGTCAGGGTTGGGCTGGGTCACGTCAGTACGTGTCAATCATTCTCTGTCTTCAACAACTGGTTTCTTTAATCTCTTCGCCTGAGGTGATGTGGAAGGCCCTCAGTACGCAGATGAGAAGTGGAAAAACAGCCGCTTCTCAGGCACGACCTGAATGCACACGTCTGGGACAGTAATAACACATGCATTGCTGCAAAGGCACACAGACAGCTTTTTTTATATGCTTCTCCTTTTTCTGTCAGCACCATATCAGTTTATCTCACTTCAGCGTTACTTTGCTCAATAAACCAAACTGGTTTGAGTGTTTTTAAACACCAGAGTCATAGATTCCCCAATTTGAATTGTATTATTTTCATCTTTTTTAGAATGTAGTTCAAGTTTTTGTTAAAGAGTCCTTTAAATGTTCAAGATTGTTTTTTTTTTTTTCCAATTATATTTACAAAAAAAGCTTTGTTGCATACTTATAGGCCTGTTTGCCATGCAGGGAAGTGGTAATGGAAACAGGAATGTATTAGGATGTTCTCTGCTCTTAGTTAGGCAAATGTGTAACTCTACAAGATGCAAATCCTGTTTTTTTTTTAGCATTATTAGCTGGTTTTATTTTGCAGTTAGACCAAACATTTCTTTGGAGGACACTTGAGTTTAGATGAACATGCAGTAGTATAGTTGTAAAAGAAAAAAGAAGGGGGATGGTGGAATGTTTTTATTTATTTATTTTAGAATCATGCATAGCCTAATTAATATAATCTATTAATATAAAGCTCTATGCATGGGCTGGTTGCTCTGCCCCTACATAGTTAGCATGGCTAGCGCTGCCCCTACATAGTTAGCATGGCTAGCACTACCCCTACATAGGTAGCATGGCTATCACTGCCCCTACAGAGTTAGCATGGCTATCACTGCCCCTACAGAGTTAGCAAGGCTATCGCTGCCCCTACATAGGTAGCATGGCTATCACTGCCCCTACATAGTTAGCATGGCTATCACTGCCCCTACATAGTTAGCATGGCTATCGCTGCCCCTACATAGTTAGCATGGCTATCGCTGCCCCTACATAGTTAGCATGGCTATCGCTGCCCCTACATAGTTAGCATGGCTATCGCTGCCCCTACATAGTTAGCATGGCTAGCACTACCCCTACATAGTTAGCATGGCTATCGCTGCCCCTACATAGTTAGCATGGCTATCGCTGCCCCTACATAGTTAGCATGGCTATCGCTGCCCCTACATAGTTAGCATGGCTATCGCTGCCCCTACATAGTTAGCATGGCTATCGCTGCCCCTACATAGTTAGCATGGCTATCGCTGCCCCTACATAGTTAGCATGGCTATCGCTGCCCCTACATAGTTAGCATGGCTATCACTGCCCCTACATAGCATGGCTATCGCTGCCCCTACATAGGTAGCATTGCTATCGCTGCCCCTACATAGGTAGCATGGCTAGCACTGCCCCTACATAGTTAGCATGGCTAGCACTGCCCCTACATAGTTAGCATGGCTAGCACTACCCCTACAGAATTAGCATGGCTATCACTGCCCCTACAGAGTTAGCATGGCTATCACTGCCCCTACAGAGTTAGCATGGCTATCACTGCCCCTACAGAGTTAGCATGGCTATCGCTGCCCCTACAGAGTTAGGGACTCGTTTCCCACTGGGATCAGCTTCATAGTCATGATAGGATACTTCTTGGATTTGATTTATTTTGCTAAGGCGACTCGTAAGCCCACAGCCTGCCAAATTTTGAAAGGGCAATGTTATTGCCACTACTGGGTATTATATAGTAGAAATTTTACACATTCAGTAATAAAATGTTACGGGGGGGTCATTTAAGAAAGGGGTGGGGTGAAAAATAAGTTAAAAAAAATTAAATAAATCAAGCCATCATTAATATCTGGGCTGAAACTCATGTTCCTCTAAAACTCACAGACACTAACCTATACGTTCTCTAGTGTCTCCGTGGCAGACATTAGTGGCTGTGTGACAGAGTTTAAGTGAACATGATACAGACATTTAATATCCCCACTGGGACAAATTACAGATTTGTGTCTAGATCTGTTCTCCCTCTACTCTTGTTTTAGTCTTATTCACACATAAAGTATATGAAATGGAGCAAAACAAATTCCCAAGTATATGAGCAGAAATTACTCATTTTCAGCCACAGGAGATCATTAATTAATGACGGTGATCTGAAAGTTAATTGGTCCTACACAACAAAAAGCCTGCATGTCTTCTAGTTTGCTCAGTCTAATCAGGAATGGGCGCAGTGTTATTACTTTAGTGTCATCATCATGTAGTAAAACATGCCAGAGTCTATTTGTGTTAGACGGGGTATTGTTTCCAAAATGGCGGGTAACCGGAGGCGTTCAACATGGTCTGCTCCTGCAGAGTCCATTTCAGATTTTTGTGTAAGACGATACACGCTATTTAAACTGCAATGTCGTTCATGCAAATTCTGTCTAGGAAGTGTTCTGGTATTATGGTTTTTCAGATCTGTTGTCAAGAAAACCGTACGTTCATTTTTTTCTATGCATATAGAATATATGCATAGAAAATATGTGCCGTTATATTTCTTTAGGAACTGCTTTATTTTATCCTGTTAAGTCCTTTAGACACAAAACACACTCTTAAAACACCAACATAAAATATGGAAAATAAAATACCACGAATAACTTCTGTCCTCCTTAAACATGACAAATATTCACACAATTTCTGAAATTTAAACTGATTAAAGTCTCTAAATTCACTTGGAATGAAAAAAAAAATCACTTTATGAAAAACAAACATTTGGATAAATTTCCATACATGTAATGAAATGAATAGAAAACAAATGATGGCTGTCTGTCCAAATGTGCGTTTTAAACAAATATCAATGGCTCTAAGGTGCTTAAGGGAAACGAGTTGTTATATTTTTTATTATTTAATCCAAGATAAATGACCTGACCAAAATGGATGGCATTTGCATCAAAACAGTCAAACTTGGGAAAATATGCATTTTAAAAAGCAAAAAAGTTTGGTTATGTTTTTAAAAAGAAAGGATATTATTATAGTGTACATTATTTATTTTTTTATGTGTTTCTCTTTCAGACTATGGTGGTTCATCAACAATGAAATACAGCACCTACAGCCCAAGCTTCAGCTCTAAATCCTCCTACATGTACTCAGGCTCTAAAACAATGGTGAGTACAGCAGCATTTAAAAGAACAACGATCAGCAGGGGTTGCTGTGGGTTTCAGATCATCTCACGCACAGCTGGACTGAACGCACTAGAGGGATAAACGTGTGTTGGTCACTTGTGTCCAGAATGATTGAGCATGTGTGATATTTCACAGTCAGCCGTGATAATATCACCTCTGAGTTTTCCAGCCTGCTCTCTACATTCCTCTGCATTAGAGCCCCAGGAATTAGACAGCGACCATCTGTCGGGGATGTTTGAGCTGTGGGTGTGAGAGAGTATCCTGATGTGACTTTTTAAACATCCAAATGCTTCATGGGTTATAAAAGTTAAGACAACAAGCTCAGAGGATGCTGATGAAGATTCTCAGTCATTCAGGTCAGAGTCATTCCAAAAAAGATATAAAAGACAATCCACTGGACTTTGTTTCCAAGTTTGAAGACGTTTCTCTTCCATCCAGGAAGCTTTTTCATTTCAAAATGTCAGAAATAGCGTTTAGTTCCAGATTTTATCCAGCAGCCCAACAAAGCCTGGTTCAAGTTTAGAAACACTTGAAACGGATGAATGAATTTAACGACCCCCTTTCAGAGACATAGACAGGTATGGGGCGTTGCATTCCAAAGGGGGGGACCTGTCATTCTGTTTCAACTTGCATGTTTTTTAAACAATTCAGTGTATTTCTATAGCTCCAATTCACATCATGTCATCTCAGGTCACTTTCCAGTTCACCAGATCATCCAGTCAGATTGATTCAAAGTTTTCCATCTAAGGAAAACCAGCTGATTGCATCGACTCATTGACTCTTCAGCAATCCCTCACACTAAGCATGCTTGTAGCGACAGTGGAGAGGAAAAACTCCTTTTTAACAGGAAGAAACCTCCAGCAGAACCAGGCTCAGTGTGAGCAGCCATCTGTTCTGATTGAACTCTGATTGTTGAGCTGCTGGATAAAACCTTGAACTCAACGCTATTTCTGACATTTTCAATCGTAAAAGCTTCCTGGATGGGAAGAGGAACGTCTTCAAACTTGGAAACAAAGTCCAGTGGATTGTTTATTTTATTTTTTTTGGAAAGCTCAGAGGAGAAGATGTAATTTTTCCAGAAGACTCCCGGAGCCATATTTAGAAAACATTTCAATGAAATGAAACCAAATAGAAAACATTCTGAGATGCCCTCACTCCACCACGACCAACTAAGTCTCTCTGTGCTATAAGCTAACGGAGCGTAATAACACTTCTTCTTGTCTTTATGCCCAGGCTCCTCAGATTTCCCACAGGGCGGGATACAGCAGCAGGTCCGCAGCCCCGGAAGTTGTCGGGTTTCAGAAGATGAGTATAGGGGTTAGTGGTGGCGGTGGCGGAGGTTTTCACCGGGAAGACATGCGTTCCGGCGGCTTTCAGGCATCCATGAGACCACACCAAATGGAGCATGATGCCATGTCTCTTCACTCGGTGAAAAACGCGCCTGCAGTGCATTCATGGGTAATAGAGAGCGATGCCGGAAGCGTGCAATCTGATCGGGAAGCCACCTACAGCCGTCAGTTCAACCAGGGCACAATGAATGGCTACAGCACCCAGATGAGGCAAGGAGGAGGCAATGTGGCCTATCAGAGCCAGTTTCAGGCCCAGGCACCAGCTGGTGTCTCCATGCTTCGAAGCCAAAGTGGCACTCTTACCCGTGGGGGTACTATGACAGGAGGAGGTTCTGAAATCCTCCAACAGCAATATTCCTTCAAAGGCCCGGCTCACCGCACCATCAGCAGGATTACAAACCGTAACCGGATGAGCGTTGGCTCGCTGTCTGGGACCCAGATGACCAATAGCGCAGGCAACTTGATGGGAGGACGAGATCAGGTGGACAGAGGGTTTATCGTGTCAACCCTCGGATCCGGATCCCAGGGAAATCTGTTGCAACGCCAAGGTAACCTGTCCCGATCCATGTCGATCAGAAGCATGCAGAGCGTTGGCAGAGGCATGGACGTTTTTGGCCAGATGGAAGACTTGGACCACCTGCAAGGGTGAGAATCTGTAAAACAATGTTTGACCTTAGCCTCTTTATATATAAAACGCTTCTATCCTGCTCTAAAGTCCTTCAGATCATACAGTATAAAGTATAAAGTAAATCATGTCTGCTTTCTTACAGCCAACCTAAAGTTCTATTCTATTCAGTTTATTTCTATAGCTCCAATTCACATCATGTCATCTCAGGTCACTTTCCAGTTCACCAGATCATCCAGTCAGATTGATTCAAAGTTTTCTATCTAAGGAAAACCAGCTGATTGCATCGACTCATTGACTCTTCAGCAATCCCTCACACTAAGCATGCTTGTAGCGACAGTGGAGAGGAAAAACTCCCTTTGAACAGGAAGAAACCTCCAGCAGAACCAGGCTCAGTGTGAGCGGCCATCTGCTGAGGCCCACTGGGGTTCAAGGAGACAGAAGCAGACATAGAAAAAGAAGCATAGATACAAAAGGCATCTGTAAAAACGTCCCTGTCTGGGAAACACAGCCAGGCAGACTTTTCTGCTTTTCTGATTGTGATTGCAAAGAAATCTTAGTTTCTTAATCTGGTTTGCATAAAACATAGTTTGGGGGATCATCCTCCCCTAAATCAGTGGCAATAGACTCACTGTAAATTAGACACAGATGTACACAGTTAGATGTAGGGATTGGAATTAAGGAAAATTTTCATAAGAGCTTCAGGTTTTTTCTTTGTTGAAAGTTTTAAGAAGCCATGACATGAGAGAAAGCAAGGAGCCTTAGAGGAAGCTTTTTTTTATGTTCGTAATGATGCAGAATGTTTGATCATCGCCTCGATTTTACTGAAAGTGATTATCAAATTTGATGTTGTAACAGAAAGGTCATTAGTGGGAGTGTTTCCTTAGAGCTGTGGATTGGGAGGAGGCTCTATAGTGGCAGGACGGGTTTGCGTTTAGGGTGTGGCTGCTTGGTTCAGTTTCGGGCCTCGTGTTTCACACGTCCCGTAATGAGTGGTTGGGCGAGTGCATTTGCAGAACAATGTGTGATTTAGAAAGAATTCGTTCAGCTGAACCTTTGCACAGGTCATCTTTCCAAAATAAAAAAAAATAAAAAAGATGAGATGCTCTATGTTTCACATTATGTGTTTCTACGTTTGGCAGAGTTACCGATCTGGACATTGTAACTGCGATTGAGTACCTGAGAACCGATGACCCCTCGCTGCAGACCATGGGTGCAGCTTTCGTTCAGCATATGTGCTACAATGAAAAAGAAGCAAAAGATCAGGTATTTGGCACAGATCTCACCGCCTCCTGCTGTGAAACTCACTAATGAAAATCATTTGTTCTTACAGGACTGTCAATCTGTGATTTATAGTTTCTTCATTCATGGGCATTATAAAGGAATCCTACATCTTAATTTATTGTTTCCCTCTTATTCATTGTGGTCACCATGTGAAAGCCCTGCAGCCCAGTCAGCTGTCCTCAGCCAGGAGGAGTCTGCCTCTGGAATTTCAGCCTATATTAAATAGGCTGGGAAATACTTCCTTCACTCTTGTACATACTCATACTATATAGCAACTGCTAGGCAAGTTGATTAAACTGGTTGGAAAGGGAAGCTGAAGAAACGTAGAACTAGAGGTGTCAAAAGTATTAATGTTTATTGCAGCAGCAGAAGTATAAATCCTGCTGTTTAAAAACACTTTTGTTGAAGTTAGAGGATCAACTTCAGCTTTTTACTCCAGTAAAAATTAGGGATGCACGATATAATGGGCCCCCTATCTGAATCGGCCTTAAAACTGAATATCAGACATCGGCCACCCCACCGATATTTAACCCGATATTTGATCAGCTTCTGAGTTTCTAAAGTCTAAAAAAATAAAATAAAAAAATACTACTTCTTCTTCTTCCTCAAAAACTTCTTTTTTACAGACTTAAAAACTTCTAAAGACGAGGGAAAAAATATTGATCCATTAAAATATCCCAATATCTTCATATGCTGATATATTGCCATTTAAAAACACCATATCAATCTCTTTTACTAATGAAATATTGCTATATGTCATCGTTATGCTACGAAATCCCCCGAAAATTCACCAAATGTTGCCATATTTTTATATGTTGATATATTGACGCGGAATCGATCTATTTTACTAACAAAATCTCACAAGAATTTGCTAAATATCACGAGAGTTTGTAACAGAACGATGAAATTTCATGAGATTTTGAAAGTAAAATAGATCGATACCGCGTTTTTAAAAATCTATTTGATATCAGCATATGAAAATATATTTGAGTATATTATTTTTCAAAGTGTCAGAAATGGATAACAAAACTGCTATTTTCAATGACTACTTATTTTTGTCCAGCTTTAACATCGGTATCGATATCGGTTATCGGCTACATGAGTTTTAAAATATCGGGTATCGGCCAAAATCCCAATATCGTGCATCCCTAGTAAAAAAAAGTACCATTTCTAAAATTACTTTGAGTATAAAACTAAAAATAATCCAGGAAAGGAACATTTTTCTACAATTCAGGATGATAACTTCCTTAAACTTCATTTTCTTAGTTTTATAATTAATGGTAACAGAGTCACATTTAACTTTGCATCATCTTGAAAAACCATTTATTTTGGTATGTGGTGAGCAACAAGTTGGGGCAGCACCGAGTCCAACCACAAAGAAATAAATTGTCTGGATGAAACTAATTATTTTGATGGTTTTTATTTCATTTAAATACCATCAGGCCAGAATGAAAATGAGCTTAAATTAAACAAAACTAACGCGACTATTTTTAAAATGTAAGGAGTTGAAAAAAATTTCTACTTCAGTAAAGTAATGTAGTATTTGTACTTTGTTCCCTGACGCCTCTGATCAGAACTAACCAGGAACATTCAGGTAGAAAAAGATGAGGCTCGTTAATGATGAAAAATAATGCTCAGGAATTTTAACACTTAATGGTTTTTTCAAAAATAAAACCAAAAAAAGTCTGCAAATAGGCTTTTTTTTTTTTTTTTTTTAAACCAAAAACACTTTTTTTCTTCTTATATGGAAAAAAGTTGTAAAACATTAGCAAGAGTGAACCAACAGTCATTGTTTGTTTATTGATTTATTATGTAGCTCGTCAGGATTATATTTCTCACAGTTAACTTCTCCGCCTAAATAAGGCAAAAGTATAATTAGTTTAAAATAGTTTTGGATATAAATTACTAATGTCCCTTTCTGGGTTCTTCGGAGAATCCTCTTTCTAATAAATGTATAGCTTTATTTTGAATCTTAATAGGTATAAATCATTTTAGCTTATTTAAGTTCACCTTTAATTCAATTTTCTATTCAGTATATTTCTATAGCTCCAATTCACATCATGTCATCTCAGGTCACTCTCCAGTTCACCAGATCATCCAGTCAGATTGATTCAAAGTTTTCTATCTAAGGAAAACCAGCTGATTGCATCGACTCATTGACTCTTCAGCAATCCCTCACACTAAGCATGCTTGTAGCGACAGTGGAGAGGAAAAACTCCCTTTGAACAGGAAGAAACCTCCAGCAGAACCAGGCTCAGTGTGAGCGGCCATCTGCTGAGGCCCACTGGGGTTCAAGGAGACAGAAGCAGACATAGAAAAAGAAGCATAGATACAAAAGGCAACTACTCAGCTCTGCAGTGAGATGGCGCTACTCGGACTCGTCTATCTGGAAGCCAAACCAGTAGCAGAGGAACATGAAGCTCACTAGAGTGAAACGCGCTGCCTTGGATATTTGGGCAATTTAGTGCTGAAAGCCCTAAAAAGAAAAGGAGACGACATATTTGGACAAAGACATGGCTGAGCTAACGTGGCTACTACGGTCTGTCAGTTTGACAGAAAGAACTCCATTTCACTCATTGCCCCCCCGCCATGCTGCTGGGTTTTCCTCTGAGAGGAAGAAGAAGGAGAATCCTTGTTTGCCCACAACGGTCGGGAATCAAACATGTTCACCTCTGAGTAGTTGCCCAATATCCTTTTTTTTTACAAATTTGTGACAACCTTTCTCTGGGTGGATGATAACATGCACTGTTAGGGACCAGTGGAAATGGAAACAATAGAAGGTCAAAGGTTACTAGGTCCAAACTGAATGTGTAATAACTGGCACCTATCATGGCTTTGGACATTATACAAAGGGTTTGTTGCATATGTTCAACAATTAAAAAACATCCATAAATGAAATATAGAATCACTGAAGAAAAAATATATTTTCTCAGATATTTGACAACTGAGGCGATTATCTTTTTATATTATAAAATGTTTCATTTTTTGTAGGAAAAAAATTCTGCATCGGGTTTAAAAAAAAGAGTTCATTTAAAATGATCTGTATTAAAAAAACAAACATTGAATGAATGATGTTTGAATGACTGTACTATTCTGCTCATCTCTTTGCTTTAGGTGCGGCAGCACGGCGCCATTAAGGATATAGTGGACCTGTTCAACAGCGAAAACACAGAAGTGGCCCGTTATGCAACGGGCGCTGCTCGCAACCTCATCTATGAGAACAACGACAACAAGAAAACCCTGATTGAACTCAACGGCATCGCTGCGCTTAACGAGGCGCTAAAAGAGAATGATGATGAGCTTTACAAAAACATCACAGGTAAAAGGATCCAGACTGTGAATATTAATCAGGTTATTATCTTCATACTTTCTGAGCTCAGTGCTTTGACTAAACCGAGGTCTAACTAAGCTTGTTTTTTATTTTAAACTCAACATATTTAGTTAAAAATAATTCAGTAGCTTATGAACATACATTAGTAAAAAAAAAGACTATACTAATTATGACTTTGACTGTTTCTGTTAATTTGATTGGTTTAGGCTGACTACAGTGTCAGCAGATAAATTGCTGCTTTTAAAGTAAAAAGTGTGTTGATAGAAATACAGTTAAATAAGAGTAATTGGGAGTCAATGTTACTCCCTTACTCAGCTTGACATAAACTGGTTTTCACAAAGTTCTCCATAAGGACGTATGACATTTTCTCTAACATAAGCATTCATCATTTAAACATCTTGTAAAAAGTGTCTGGTATCCGCTTAGATCAGAGGTAACGGATTAGCGGTTCAGATCCAGATCCACCTGCTGGCTAATCAGCACCGAACCTGATTTAAAACATTAATAAATTACCGCATGTTGTCCCACCGCAGTGTCTAATTTTACTTGCGCCTCTTCTCCTGTTAATACGGTAAAGCCCTGGGGAGCGTCCGGCTCCAGGCTGCACGTGATCTAAATGAGCCAATGAGCTGTCAGTCTGGGTTGCTGCTGCTGCTACTTTTAGACACAGCAGGCAAACCTGTGGCAAGCCGGGCGATGGGAAAGAAGGAGAAGACCATGAGAAAAAGAGAGCAGAGAAAGTGTGGACTGCTGGAAGAACTGCGGTGAACTGGTGAAAGAAAAGTGAAATGGCGTGCTCAAAGATGACCCTGCACATTTAGAGGATGTTTGGCTCAACCTGCTGCTGTGAAGCAGGATTCTCCACCATGAACAGAATCAACAATAAATCTGGATCCAGGCTCAAAATGAGCTCCTTGATATGTGCTTGAGAATGGCTTAGTCTCCGGTTAAACCCAGGTTTAAAGCCTTGCAGGGCAGCCTAAAGCCCACTGCCAACATTAAGACAGAAAAAAGAAAGAAAATAAACGCTCAGTTCAGGTGTTTGAGAAAATATGGGAATCAGGAAATTATCTATAAACCAAACTGAAAGATTGTTGTTCTCTACTTCAAAAACACTTTAGATTTTAAAATGGAAAAAAATGTTTTTTATTCAATATATAACATATAAAACACCTTATTTTATCTAAGTGTTAAATTCTGTTTAAAGTAACAGATTATAATTAAAAATGTCCCCAGACCTTTACTGGTTGATGAGTTTTTTTATTCGGACTCTTTTAATTGGTTAACCCTGATCTAGATCGAATTTTTTTAAAAACTCAGCATATTTTTGTTTTAATAGTTTTTAATGCAAGTCCTCTAATATGGTTGATGTTTTCCTTCCAAGATCAGTCATATCTTAATGTTGTTGCAACCATATGGTGGTAGTTATGCTTATCGTAACAAAAAAAAAACACTTTTTGTGAATTCAAAACAGAATAGATATTTTAATTAATAGAAAAAAACCATTCAAAATAATTTATTTACTCTCTATAATCCTATTAAAGTGATATAGTTTTACTTAAAGTTGATCAAAGCGTAGAAAAATCAATAAAAACAAAAGCTCTATCATTTTGCACAAATTGGTAGCTTCAAAGAGAATGCTTTAGCTTAGCATTGCTAGCAGCCAACTCGTGATCCTGAAGGTGTTTGGTTCCCAAAACGATACCAGATCATATTTTTTTTTAAATCACCAAAGCTTTTTTAATGCCTGTCTTGGTCAGAAAATATCTTTATTATTATTGTTTATTATTTTATAAACACAACAGGCCAATTTGAGAGCTGCTTCCTTTCAAACTAAACAATAAAGGTTCCAAAAACAAGAGGTCAAATTTAAAGCAAGCATCTTCATCCTTGAAGGCAGCCTTTGAAACTGATATTATGGGGAAGAAACGAAATACAATGAAAGTGTAGAGGAGGAGGGGCTGTCATACCTATAGGCTTTGTCTCTTTGAAAACAGGGAAGTGTGTGTCTGTGTGTGTGTGTGTGCTCTCTTATGAAAGAAGTCCTTGTTCATTTTCACCTTTATCAGTTACACCCGAGTCCAGAGTTCACCATTAAGCTTAGTGAAACTGATAAAGCGTCAGTGTATGTTCACCTTTATCGGAGAAGTTTTTCAGGTCTGAGGATAAAAATCCCTAAAATAAAATGACCTGGAGAGGAAAACTAGGACATATAAATGCAGAAGCAGTCTGAATGGTAGTAGATCTAAAGGGTAGGATGGAACTTGCATAATAAAGGTTTAGATAATCAGTGAGCCAGAGATCGTGTTAAATTAAGCTTCTTATTTTGTTCTAGACATTGATTTTTACACACATGCATACACATATATGTTAATCGTCTTTTTCCTACAGGTATTCTGTGGAATCTCTCCTCCAAAGACAAGTTTAAGGAGATTATAGCCAAGGAGACACTCACCGGGCTCTCTGAGAAGATCCTCGTTCCTGCTGCTGAGCGAGAGGAGCAGCAGAAGCATGAGAGCGAGGATTACACGCCGAACCACACAAGTTCTCCATCTGTGGACGAAATATTCACCAACACAACCGGATGCCTAAGGTGAGAGGTGTCTGTCAGGCCCTAGAAATGGGATCTTCACATGACACTGTGACTTTGTGAAACAGTGAATAAAACGATGAGTAAACCTTATGGAAAATAGCGCTGGTCAAGATCAAGACTAAAAACACATTTGTTTAGGATTGCCTTCCACTGTTCTAGTTAAACAGTTCAACTAAAACATATTTTCTTTAGTCCAACTGTTTTTCCTACTTGCTTTGATTCTGTTTTATCTTCCTCTATTTTAATCATGTAAAGCACTTTGCATTGTCTTTTTACTGATTTGTGCTATACAATTAAATTTGCCTTGCCTTGCCTTGCCTTGGTGAAGATTCTCAGTCATCCAGTCATTCCAAAAAAGTTTTAAAAAATCCACTGGACTTTGTTTACAAATTTTGAAGATGTTTCTCTTCCCATCCAGGAAATTTTTTCAATTCCAAACGTCAGAAATAGCGTTGAGTTCCAGGTTTTATCCAGTTGCACAACAGCGCCTTGTTTTTGATTAGAAAACATGCAAATTAAACCTGACAAGCGGGTCCGCCCCTTTGGAATGGGGGTCGTTCGATTTCTTTGTTGGGTGTAATATGCGAAACCCGTCTATGTCTCTGATATGTCAGAGACTGTTTAAGGATGTTTTTTCTTTCTTAACATAGATGGCTTCCTTCACAGAGGGGTTTGAGAGGGGCGTGAAGGAAGCCGGCGTCCGGTCTGGTTTGCATGTTCCACCCATCCGTGCAAAGCTTTTAACAGGAACTTAGGCCCCGTCCACACGAAGTCAAACCCTGGCCTAAACGCACTAATATTTCACCAAACCAGCCTCTCATCCATACGAAGCCGGCGTTTCGGGGGTCTGTAAACGATGTTTTTTTTATTCAGCCTTCAGAGTGGGAAGATTCTGAAACGCCGTTTTCGCGTTTCCATCTTTAAGCTCTTACCGCATTTTTTTTTTCTTACACGCATGCGTCATAGCGTCGCCTCTAAACACGCATGCGCGACACAGTATCACAACAACAATGGCGCAGTACTGTGTTGAATGGTTGCTGCTCATGCTACTCACCCTGCTGTCGGGCTTACAACAGAATCTTCTTCTTCTGGAATATCTCCAGGAAGAACAGAGCAATATCGACCACATAGTTCAGCACCTGAATTTGACTGAACCACCAAAATGGACCCGCAGGGCAACCATGTATAAATATTACTGCGCATGCCCAACATTTCGTCGCCTATTTTTGCTTTGGCACCACAGCGCCACTTACAGGCCTGGCATACATTTTGCAGCGTTTTCATGCATTCGTGTGGACGATCACATTTATTTTACGTCTCCGTCTTTACGACAAACGTTCTGGAAAATATTAGCGTTTCGTGTTCGTTTTGACTTCGTGTGGACGGGGACTTAGTTTCACACCTGCAGCCTAAAACGTTCTTCTGTCTGTGATTTGACTCTGGCTTTTGGGATGAACATTTAAATATTTTTATATTTCCAAGCTGGATTTAGACATAAGTTTATTTCTCTCATACATCTCAAATCCAATGATGTGTAGATGATCCAATAAAAATACTAATGGAAAACCGGCCAATTGTAGGTAATTTGAATGTTTTGGGTGCATTCCTGTTTGGTACTACTTCATTAAAAGTACTGTCTTGAATTGGGTAGCTAGTGAAGTTGGAGCTTTCAAAGGAAGAGGTTTTTGCTTCATTGATAACAGAGATGGGAAGTAACGAAGTACAAATACTTCGTTACTGTACTCAAGTAGATTTTTCTGATATTTTTACTTAACTTTACTACTTATTTTTATGGCGACTTTTTACTTCTACTCCTTACATTTTTACACAAATATCTGTACTTTCTACTCCTTACATTTTAAAAAATTGTCTCGTTACTTTAGTTTTGAATCATTTCAATGGAGTTACCGTTATTATTTTTCACGTCATCAATACCAAATTCAATCTAATTGGATGGGAATCTACGTTGCATTTGACGCACCACTACAAGATGAATCGACAGATTCGGCGGTATTCATTGGCGGCAAATCATTGCAGCTTGGTGGCGGTGGCGTTAGCATAGTAGCATGGACGACGAGATGATTGAAAATGAACACAACGGAGATCTAGTCCTATTGGCAGACATCCATTTAAAATGTAGGCAACGGCATGAAAAAAGTGGTTTCTACTTTTACTTTTATACTTTAAGTAAATTTACAAGCCTGTACTTTGTTACTTTTACTTGAGTAAAGAAGTTTAATCAGTACTTCCACTTTTACCAGAGTATTTTTTAACACAAGTATCTGTACTTTTACTCAAGTACGGAAAGTGAGTACTTTTGCCATCTCTGATTGATTAAAGGTTGATTTTACTGGAAACTGGTCAATCTTAAACTAAGCCAGGTCACAATTAGGCTTAGGACTGTTTTTGGCTCCAGCTGTTTCTGGTCTAGCTGTGACATTTATTTTTTTTTATCTCTTCCTCTCCAAACCTTTTATTTTTAAAGCCTGTTTATGCAATCCTCTGCTTTTGCTCATGTGGGTTAGATGTTTTATAACCAAGCCAGCATCACTCTAGTCCTCATTTTTTGTAATTCTTCGATTTTCTGTTGTTTGCAGCTGCATATTTTTGAGCATTTACCAAAATAATGCCAAAATAATTGAATTTCAAACTGACAGATATCTGATCTTTATTGCAGGAATCTGAGCTCTGGCAATGAGAAAACCCGTCAACGGATGCGAGAAACCAAAGGGCTAGTCGGGTCTTTGGTGAGATGCCTTAGAGGGTCTCTTGACAATGGAAAGTCAGAAGAAAAGGTGAGAGCAATGTGGGGTTTTAACGAGCACATCCCAGCTCTGTGCCCATATTCATATGTATGTTTGTGCTAAAGGGTGTGGAGAACACAATGTGCATCTTGAGAAACCTCTCCTACCAAATCTACAATGAACTTCCACCATCTTACCAAATGCGTTTGAACAGAAAGGTTGAAACGGATAAATCGTCTGGCACTGTTGGCTGCTTTTCTCCAAACAGCAAAAAACCCAACAAGGTAAGCAGTCATCACCATTGATGATGATGTTATGGATTCGATTCTTTTTCTCATAGATCTGACTTCTTTTATCTTCTGGCCAAAACAATGCAGGACTGCAATCGCTTGATATACCAAGAAATAACAAAGGAACCAAAAGACATGGAGTGGCTGTGGCACCCCAATATAGTGACTCTGTACCAAGGTGTGCTGCAGTCATGTGAAATTAACGCCACCACCCGAGAGGCAGCCATTGGAAGTCTGCAGAACATCACTTCTGGAGAGGGGCAGGTGGGTGACTTATCCAGCACAAATAACCGGGAAGCAAAACCCTTTTACCTCAGAATCAGGAATACTTTAATAATCCCAGAGGGAAATTGCTGCATTGCAATGAAAGTCTGTGTCTGTAATCCACAGTGGGCTGCACAATTAAGCGTGTTTGCTGTGGAACAGAGGAAAATTCTGCCAAAATTGATGGATCTCCTGCGGACAGACAGGAATAAGGAGCTACTTTCTCTCACCGGCCTGTTGAGGAATTTAGCTCGTCACAGTAATGGTGAGTACCTCTTCATTTCTGTTCTTTTATTTTCTGAATTATCAATTAATTGTATTTCTTCTTGGCAATGATTAGATTTATTAAAGTGTAAACATGTTTATATATATAAAAAAATAGATGTCAGCTTAAATTGCCCATGCTTTTACCTAAATAGTAAAACTGAGTCAAATGTACTTTACTCCACTTTGCAAGAAACATGATCTCTGGGACAGATTAAGCAAGATGTTTTTATGTCAGATCTGAGGTTTGTTTTTTAATGTTTAATGAACTTTTTATTTTGCATCTCTTTTTATTATCTCAGTCTCGTCGACATTGGACCAAGTGGTAAACAAGTTGCCTACTGATGGCAAAATGAAGGACCCTTCTGCTGAAGTGGTGGTTAACCTCTGCGGTATCCTCAATAGCATGGTGATGAAAGATTTTGATGCTACCAAGAGAATCTGTGAGAACGGAGGCCTGGAGAGACTGATGGCAGTCAAAAAAACGACGGACTCAAGGTCTGGTTTGTCCCGGTTAATCCTAAATATGACACAAGTTAAAGTGACGCTGTGTAACTATCTGCCACTAGGGGCGCTAGATCTGTAATGTTGACATTTAGTGCCTCTTAAAGGAAACGTCTGGTCATGAGTCATTCAGAATTTAAACTTCTGAAAGTACTTTATGAAAATATAACATACTCTTCAATATATTAATTGTTTTTAATTCAGAGTAATTTTCATGTGAATGTGCTTTACTGGAGGCATCCATGTTTGTCAAAGAACACTACTGCCACCTACTGGTTAGTGACGTCACGGTGCGGTATCGGCTGTTGATCAAGTCCCAGTGCTGTATCTGGTGTTTGTCACAACGCGCTATTATCCAAGTCATCTTGAAAACATTCTTCTTCCAAATGTTGGCTACATATTACGGGTTTTTTCTCTGGCCAGAAGTTCGATGGCAAATCCTCCCTCTTCAAGTTAATAATGGCCGCCAGGAGCGGTGTCCTCGGTATCCTGGCCATTTGCTAAGAACTGGTATCACTTTGTCCAGTTCCAGCTCCAAGTGTGATTTATCCTGTTCCTAATCAATCTCTAATGCAATCCCCGTCTGGGATTTTAGTTTCCCAAAAAGTAAAAACACGCATTCTGCTTCTCTGTGCTCCAGTCTTGTCTGTTTTCAGAAATGCATCTTTCGTGTCTGCAGGCAGACCGGGAAAATCATCGTTTCTTTCTGCATGCAGAAACAGTTTGGCTCTCCAAACAACTTATCTTAGCGAGCGCTCTAATTTTTGAAGGCGTCTGCGCAAGACCTTCAATCGGACTTTCAACCGCTACCCACAGCAGAGTGCACAACCTACTTTTTTTTTAATTCTTTTTCTTATTTTCTGGTGTACATGTTCGCAAGAAAAAAAACCCCACACAAAACAAAATCACTCTGAGCAATGTCTTTGTCCTCAGATGTATAAAAAGCTTCAGGTCACTTCAGAAAATCACAACACAGCCAAAGTGTTTTAACATTAAAAACACTGGAGATATTTTGTAATAAGGAATCTTTTTCAGTTGTTTCGGCCGCAGGCTGTGGAGTTTTTCCGTCGGTGGCTCTGTTGTTTGGTTCCTATTGAAGTTCTTTACCTGGGAGCAAGTCATTTACTACTCTTAACTCAAACTGGGTAAAAACATATAAAAAAGGAGTATAAAACAGTAAAAAAGTAACAGCGTTTATTCCAGGTCAGGTCGTTACAGGACAGAGAAATTGCTCGGAGTTTGCACAGCTGTGGGCTCAAAAAACGTCAGCGAGTGTCCGGCAACGATTGAGCGCCAAACAAGGTAATCTCCTCCTTCTTATACCCCATGAATCCATGTTTGCATCAGGTGGATGCTTAGCTGTCCGTATCAGAAACTGACACACCATCCATGCCCTGACCTTTATGCATCTTGCCTCTTTATGCCAGGATTACACCTAGCTCTCCTTTATCAGTCCGGCTCCAAGATGTGCCCATATCCACCATGTGAAGGAAGGCCTTCTACTCTGTCTAATCTGGCTAACAGAATAACAATGCACATGATGTATAAAGAATAAACCCAACAACTAAACTAACAACCAAATATGGTAGCGCCTCCCTCCTGCCATCTACCGGCAGTGAGAGAAAAACCCGTAATATGTAGCCAACATTTGGAAGAAGAATGTTTTCAAGATGACTTGGATAATAGCGCGTTGTGACAAACACCAGATACAGCACTGGGACTTGATCGACAGCCGATACCGCACCGTGACGTCACTAACCAGTAGGTGGCAGTAGGCCAAGTGTCATAAGATTTTGTTTCCTATCAATAACTTTTTAGGCTTAAGGAGAGCTCAGACTGCCACAAAGCGGCGTTCTGGGTTACATGAGTCATTTGGCCACAGATGCGACTCTCTCAAGTTACATAGGAAAGTTTTTAAGCAACAGAGCATTGAACAAATCGAAGTGCTGTGCACTAACCTTTCACATATCTCAAATTAAGCTAAAAAAACAGTTACACAGTGTTTTTTTAACTGCATATAATTTAAATAAGTGGTTTACAGAGAATATTACATCTGATCTTCAATTAAAACAAATTTTTAACCTTAGATTGAATTCTTTTCTTTTTTTTTTCAGCCCAGAGGGGCTTAGAGCTGCCAAATCTGCATCCACAGTCCTTTCCAACATTTATAATTACAAGAAACTGCACAAGAACTTTAAACAGGTAAGGAACTGCAAGATTACACAAAGAAGCTTAAGGTTCTGTATGTCAGATTCATTTGTTTTCTATTTTCTTACTTACTTAACAAAACATGAATTTTAAAAGCAATTACCATAAAAAATGTGTGTGCATTTTTTGTGCTCATTAGAGTGATGAGCACTAGTAATTTTAAATAATGGTAGTTGGACACCATTCTGAACAAGTCCAAACAAATGTTTCTGCAATCATCTCTCAATGGATGAATGACTTCACCATCCTCGTTTGGTGAACATGTTTTAGCAACCTCTGCACCAAACATCTTCTGTTCTTCAGCAGGGGTGTTCCTAAAAATAAAAACATCCCACCAGACTTCGTTTCCAAGTTTGAAGGCATTGTTGGGCTGCTGTATAAAACCTGGAACTCAACGCTGCACTCCTGATCAAAATCTTAAGACCAGTCAAAAAATTGCAAGAATTAGCATCTAAAGAAGGTTCTAAGTAGAGCTTCACAATGTTAAAAGAAGAAATCAGCGTAAAAGACAAAAACTTTTGAGCAGAGAATTAATAGAAAACTGCATTTACACTCAAACATGATTTTTTTTTTTCAGCTGATCAAAACTTTAAGACCATAGCTTTAAAAAATAAAAACGAAATGCCAGTGTTTACAGGAGGCTAGTGGAAACGTTGCTCCAAGTGTTGAAGATGGCTTCATGAAGGGCATCCTCTGTCTGGAACTGATGTCCATTTTCCCTTGCCATCCATCCCCAAATGTTCTCAATTGGGTTTAGATCCGGAGAACATGCAGGATGGTCCAAAAGAGTGATGTTATTCTCTTGGAAGAACTCCTTTGTCAGGCGGGCATTGTGAACTGCTAACCTGACTCCGCCAGATGGATTTGCTCCGCATATCCATCTGGAAACCTTCCGTTGAAGTAATTTTGGGAAGGTGCGAAAATACTGGTTACCTGATTGGCCTATGTTGGTGATAGACGGGCCAAATAAACCAATCAGATCAACGAAGCATATGACGTACTAACAGAGCGACGACGAAGAGGAGCCAATTGATAGATCAAACTCTTGCTGAAACCAGTCGGGAGAAGAGCAAAAACATCTTTTCCTCTGAGAAAAGCCTCCAGAGCAGTGTTTTGCTCTTCTTTCAGTGAAGAAATACTCTGTAATTCCCATAAAACTTGCTCGATAGCCACGCTAACGCTAGTTTCATCGGCTGAAGCCGCCATGTTCTTTAGACTGAACTGTGGCGCTTCTCGTTGCGTCACACCTCAACCCGCCTCAAAGCCAACGCTGATTGGACGTTCGTTTGGTGAACGGCTCCAAATTTTCTTTAACGGAGAGTCTCCAGACTGATTAGCGAGTGAAACCTTGAAAGCTCGCCAGATCAGGATGGTATTTTCGCCCCTTCCCAAAATTACTTCTACGGAAGGTTTCCAGATGGATATGCGGAGCAAATCCAGCAAATCCATCTGGCGGAGTCAGGTTAGTTTTCAGTCCCTTGCACTGATTTTTTCCTTTAACATCGTGAAGCTCTAGCTTGAACCTTCTTAAGATCAAATGGTGCAAAATGCAAATTCTTGCAATTTTTTGAATGGTCTTAAGATCTTGATCAGGAGTGTATTTTTGACTTTTTGAATTGAAAAAGCTTCCTGGATGGGAAGAGAAACGTCTTATAACTTGAAAACAAAGTCCAGTGGATTGTTTAACTTTTTTGGAATGACTATGACCTGGATGACTGGGAATCTTCACCAGCATTCAGCAGGGGTGGAAATCAAAAAGTCACAGTGCTCCACCCTTATTCTCCTTTGTGTAAGAGACCGAACCTCCATCTTTGCCCATTTTTTTGTCAGTTAGATGGCACTTGTCACATGTCTTGAGGCTGCTTAGTGTGAACACCCAGTCAGACAAGTCCTTTTGTTGGGCTGTACTCTGACTTACTGCCTCCTGCTGAATGACACTCCCAAAGGTGTGGCGTTCAGCCTCTTGCTTAATGAACAAGTCCAAACAGAACAAAAAATGTGTTCCTATTTGTCAGACTTTCATTTTCTGCCCTGCTCTGTGTTTAAAACATACAGCAGTAAAAGAAAGTCATGAAATACTTTCCTCACTTTTCCTCTCCTCTTGTTAAAACCCTTTGCTTTGAATGCACTAAAAAAATCAAGTAATCTGTTGATTTTTGGAATAAGTTACTGCTTTTGTGTTCAAGGCGTTTCCTCATCGCTGTTTCTGTCTTTGTGTTACAGATGGGTCTCACTAAAAAGGACTTTGAGTTAAGCAACTGCACATGAAAACAGGACCAAAACCACGGATTCAGCAGAACTATGATAAAACGCCGAGACCACATACGCCCTTCCAGTACTTTCTCTCAACGCCGTATCGACTCCTAGCATGGATTGTATTCTGCTCAGAGCAGCATGAATTTAAACATAATGTTTGTTGTTTTTTTAAGTAAAAGTCGTTAATGGCAGAGCCACTCAACAATTTAGCTCTGCACTGGAAAAACGATCTACAAATAAGTAAAAATGTCCTAAATTAAGTGTATTTACCCTTGATTCGAGTCGGTAAATGAGATAATTAGATAACATTCACTTGAAATAAGACAATTCAATTGTTTTTTCTTATTTTAAATGTAAATTGTCTTGTTCCTTTGGCAAAATGTCTCTTCCCTTCTCAATTCAAGAACAAATGCACTTATTTTAAGAACAAAATGACTTATCTAGATTTTGATTTTTTTAAGTGTGTAAATAGTGCTTTTCATTTTAAAAGGAATTTAGATTGAATATTTTGTGCTTGCCTAATAAGTATGTTAATATGAGGTTTTGTTTAAAATAAAACCAGATATTTGTAAAAGAATCTAATGTAAATATATATTTTTTTCATCTAGGGGAAGATTTTGATAAACTTGCATGCTTTTTAAAGCTTCAAATAAAACAATCACTTGTGATTAGCTGGTGGTCTTGGAAGTGCTGTGCCAAGTTATATGTATATATATGAACTTACTTTTGACACAAAAATATACAGTTGCCTTTTAAATTTATAAATGACATTGTTGGATATCTGAGCACCTTTTTAGGCCGTTTTAGTACAGAAATACTTTGTTTATATAGACTTAAAAAAAAAAAACCACTGCCTTTGTTTTTAATTAATGCTCAATATGTGGGTTTTGCAGGAAAAGTCTTGAAACTGTTTTGTTGTTTCTTACACAAATGTATCATCTGATTTAACAACTAATAAAGATGTTAAAAGAAGCTGTATAGAGCGAGTTCCCTATGCTGGTATGCAGTTTGCTGTGACAGGCACTGAAGTGTCGGACACACCCTGTTTACATATTTGCTCCTGCTCAGACAGGAACAAAACCTGACGTTCCCTGCTGCACCCTTATTTAGGCTCTTATTTGCTGCAGGTATTTTATTTTTTTCCATGGGGACAGAAAGTTTGCTGTTCTGTTAAAAACGACGATTCCAGTTTTTTTAATTACGTAACATTTAATTAACTGTTACCAGCCATGAAATGAAGACTATACTTAAAAAGCAAGGTTTTGTTTCTTTACTTTTTACTGAAGGCACTTGATAAAAATGACAAATAGTTCTTTTATATTTATATTGAAGCATATTTTCTTGAAAACTTTACAAAACTGAGGAACAAATAAGATCAATGCGTGATTGTTTGACAGGAAATGGCACAGTTTGATGATGTACAGCAAAAGGAAAACAGCAGCATGGTGCATATGCATACAGAGGTGCTAGATACTATAAAAAGCTAAGTATTAAATGTCCTCGGTGACCAGGCAGTAGAAGTCCGAGCGCGCTCCGTAGTTGCGGGATCCCAAATCGGAGACGTCGATGTCGGAGGCTTTTGGTTGAGCTGCTTCAGTGGGAGCTGCAGGAAGGACGGGAGCTTTACAGGCCAGAGCTCTGTTCACAGGGAGACGGAGGCCTAGAACAGATCAGAGCATGTTAATGACATCTTCTGTGGATCTAGAAATAAACTGGGATCTCTCACTGGGTGGTCATTTGATGCATAACTCCTGTCATTTATTAGGGTTTGCAGCAATGTTAAAGTTCACTTATGGTTTCCGATACGATGCTAAAGGCTCCAGCTTCAAAATAAATATTCAGCCTGACAAGAAAACAAGGTCAGAACAATCCGATGACAACATGGCTAACAGCAGCCCACAGATAAAGGACAACTGGACGCTCTGATGTCCGGTTCTGGACGACTTATTCTATTCTGGCAGATTTACATTTTCTCTAAAAAAAAAAAGAAAAAATCTAACTACGGTGAAAAGACCTTTAGCTTTTTTTAATTAAGAATATTTTTTAATCAAACCAACAGATCATATCTGCCTTCTAATACAGGTGCTGGTCATAAAATTAGAATATCATGAAAAAGTAGATTGATTTCAGTAATTCCATTTAAAAAGTGAAACTTGTATATTATATTCATACATTACATACAAACTCATATATTTCAGATGTTTATTTTGTTTAATTTTGATGATTACAAATGACAACAAATGAAAATCTCAAATTCATCATATCAGAAAATTAGAATATTACTGAAGACCAATAAAAACAAAGGATTTATAGAAATGTTGGCCAACTGAAAAGTATGAACATGAAAAGTATGAGCATGTACAGCACTCAGTATTTAGTTGGGCCTCCTTTGGCCTGTATTACTGCAGCAATGCGGCGTGGCATGGAGTCGATCAGTCTGTGGCACTGCTCAGGTGTTATGATAGCCCAGGTTGCTCTAATAGTGGCTTTTAGCTCTTCTGAATTGTTGGGTCTGGTGTATTGCATCTTCTTCTTCACAATACCCCATAGATTTTCTATGGGGTTAAGGTCAGGAGAGTTTGCTGGCCAATTAAGAACAGGGATACCATGGTCCTTCAACCAGGTACTGGTAGCTTTGGCACTGTGTGCAGGTGCCAAGTCCTGTTGGAAAATGAAATCTGCATCTCCAAAAAGTTGGTCAGCTGCAGGAAGCATGAAGTGCTCTAAAACTTCCTGGTATGTGGCTGCGTTGACCCTGGACCTCAGAAAACACAATGGACCAACACCAGCAGATGACATGGCACCCCAAACCATCACTGACTGTGGAAACTTTACACTGGACTTCAAGCAACGTGGATGAAGTGCCTCTCTTCTTTTCCTCCAGACTCTGGGACCTTGATTTCCAAAGGAAATGCAAAATTTACTTTCATCAGAGAACATGACTTTGGACCACTCACCAGCAGTCCAGTCCTGTTTCTCTTTAGCCCAGGCAAGACGCTTCTGACGCTGTCTGTGGTTCAAGAGTGGCTTGACACAAGGAATGCGACAGCAGAAACCCATGTCTTTCATACGTCTGTGTGTGGTGGTTCTTGAAGCACTCACTCCAGCTGCAGTCCACTCTTTGTGAATCTCCCCCACATTTTTGAATGGGTTTTGTTTCACAATCCTCTCCAGGGTGCGGTTATCTCTCTTGCTTGTACACTTTTTTCGACCACATCTTTTCCTTCCCTTCGCCTCTCTATTAATGTGCTTGGACACTGAGCTCTGTGAACAGCCAGCCTCTTTAGCGATGACCTTTTGTGTCTTGCCCTCCTTGTGCAAGGTGTCGATGGTCGTCTTTTGGACAACTGTCAAGTCAGCAGTCTTCCCCATGATTGTGTAGCCTATAGAACTAGACTGAAAGACCATTTAAAGGCTTTTGCAGGTGGTTTGAGTTAATTAGCTGATTAGAGTGTGGCACCAGGGGCCATCAATTTTGAACCTTTTCACAATATTCTAATTTTCTGATATGATGAATTTGAGATTTTCATTTGTTGTCATTTGTAATCATCAAAATTAAACAAAATAAACATCTGAAATATATGAGTTTGTATGTAATGTATGAATATAATATACAAGTTTCACTTTTTAAATGGAATTACTGAAATCAATCTACTTTTTCATGATATTCTAATTTTATGACCAGCACCTGTATATTTCAAACTTTTGCTTGTTCAGATTTTTTTATAAAATTTTCATTAACATAATTTCAACCCGGAGAAACTCAAACAGAGAAAATATTTTATTTATTTATACAGAAAACACAATCAGGCCACATAATGGTGCAGTTGGTAGCGCTGTTGCCTTGCAGAAGGTTGTGGGTTCGATTCCTGGCCCTGAGGTCTTTCTGATTGGAGTTTGATTGTTTTTGGGTTCTCTCTGGGTACTCCAACTTCCTCCCACAGTCCAAAAACATGACTGTTAGGTTCATTAGCTTCTCTAAATTCTCCTTCAGTGTGAGCCTGGTACCGCGTCGGTGTTCCTGCGACAGGGTGGACCCTTCCTCTCACAGGGAGAGAGAGAAGCTGGGCCAGGAGCTAAATGAAGGGATCTTGCAAGATGATTGGCCTCAAGGAATATGTGGCCCCTGAGTTGATTGGCTGGACATTAACGAGGGACATGGCAGGAGGTTCAGGTGAAGCTGATAGTCTTCCAGATTGAATTGCGCTTAAGCTTCATTTACTGGCCATGCCGTTAATTAGACCTGCGTTTCCCAAAGAAATCAGCTTCTTTGCTCAATGACAAGCTATAAAATCACCACAAAATGGGAATAGTCTGAAATTTCTGTTCGTCTCTAATTTCATTTTCATAATCAGTTTTCTTAACCCAGTGGGACCTTGTTTTCCTCTGTTTAGGTTTTAATTGTTTTACTAATATTAAACAGTAGTTTCTAAAGCCATCCGCTCAGAGCCAATGACCTTCAAATTTTAGTTGCATTCTTCAGCAAACAACTGATCCATTTAGCCATTAACAAGTCCTACAGATGACTTGTAATGAGGACTAGGGAGGCATTAGAAAAGCAGGATGGAGGCTCTTCAGAGCTGCAGTTTGAGTCTCTGCTATAAAATATTTCTACTACTGAGGTACTCACTGCTTTAACCGACTGGATTTCTGTCATTTCAACCATTTAAATATCAAAGCATTAAGCAATTCAAATCATCCAAATATATTTTCCAGGCATATTACTTCATATTTCCGGTCGGGACATTTTGATGACTTAGTCTACTTCAGTATTTGAATTTTTTACAAAATTCCAGCTGTGTTTTTCCATCAGGCATTCATTTCACTCAGGTGCAACAAATCCTTAAAGTTGCACATTAAACCTGTGCAGCAAAGAAGGGGGAGAACACACCTGTAATATAATGGTAAGAGGTTTTTATGAAAATGTGAGTGCATGTATAAAAGCACCAACTGTACCAAATTAAAGTAAAATCTCTGTTGGATAATGTCTCCCCCCCCATGCATGAAGCTGGTGCTGAACTGGAGAGCTCCTTCAGTGACAGACTGCTGCACCCTAAATGCACCAGGGAGCGTTATCACAGATCCTTCCTCCCAGCAGCTGGAAGACTCTAGAACCACCACTGTTCCCAACAACCTCCACCAGTTCTTCCATTCAGGCTGAATTTGAACAGTTAGACTTAGATTTATTTTGTCATTTCTATCCACAAGTGTAAACAAAAAGAGGTTTCGTGTAGAACAGCTCTCTAAATAATTTAATTTTTTAAAGTGCAGCCTTGATAAAGTAAGCAGCAGTAATAAAAAATAAAAACATTGTGATATTAAGTCACTATATCTAGTTAAGGACTGCGCCTCATTCATGTTTGCTTGGCAGCAGTGATGTCAGACGGATCTGGAGAGGATCTTAGCATCCAGATGGGATTTAGCCTGGTGGAAGAGGATCTGATGCTGGAGCAGGAGGGGCCTGTTGGCTGTTGCTTCACCCCATTGTTGTTGTTGAGCTGCTGCTACTGCCTCCAGCTCCTGCAGCACTCGCTTCTCCTGGCTCAGGGGAGGAAGAGGACGATGATGACGACGCTGTGAGAGTTTGATTCGTAGATTATCCATTTTGTTTTCCAATGAGCCGACGTTGGAGAGCGGGATTGATGGAAGCGGAGGTCTGTGGGGATTTCTCTTTAGCTTTCCAGTCAGCCCCCCCCTCTGCAGCCTCGCTTTCTCCGTCTCACGCATCACTTCCTCCGTCCGTTATTTTCCGCTGTTGTCTTGTTGACATCCGTCCGTAGCATTTTTTTTAAAGCTTTTTAAACGGTCAAAAATGTCGGTATTTAAAACATGTTGTGACCGTAGCTCCAGCAGGCGTTGGCGATCATAGATGTGGGTTTGATGTCTAGTTTCCATCGTTTTAAGCGGCATATTTTGTCAAATTGTCGAGAGGAGCTGTTCTTAGCCGCTGCCTTGGAGCGCCACCATGGTAACGGTTCGACCTTAGTCAATTAAATAACCTGCTGCTGTCATTCTGCACATCTCTGATGTTGCTGCTATTTTCAAATATCCATCACTGTAAAAATGTCCATAGCTGCATATTGGTTATTTATTCTCCAGGTGGACAGTTTGATATTGTTAAAACACTTTACAGTATTTTATTGATTATCTTTTAACTCTTCACTATTATGTTATTAATAATCTTTTAGCTCCTGTAAACAGCAGAATTTCCCCTATTCTATTCTATATCTGAGTGGCAGAACAATATTTTGTTTTATTTTCTTATCTGTTATCTTTATACAATTTTCTAAGGTCCACATTGTATGAGCACTTCTGCTATAACCTTTTGCTGCCGGAACAACAACAATTTCCCCCATTTTGGTACAATAAAGGGATTCTCTTTTCCATTCTATACAGTTGTACTGCTCTTACCCAGATCTCCAGCTGGGTCGATGTCTGAGCGACAGTCCAGGTAGTCAGGATCAAGGGTCAGCATGGGGTCCTTATCATCCTGCAGGACAGTCTGAGGGTCGCCTGCAGACTCCTTATGGAAAATAACACTGCGAGGCATTGCCAAAGCTAACTCCTTCCAGAAGGATGATGAAGGAGTCTGCAAACAAAACCCACAGAAAAACATAAAGTTTAAACATCAAAGTTAGCAACCTCACAGCAATAAAAAAAAAACTCCAAAAAAATCTAATCCTTCAGAGAAGCCCCCCCCCTGTGTACAAAATAACCAATGCAAAACATTTACTCAGGAAAGCTACTCTTATAGAATATAAAAGCTTTTATTTTTTCCATTTGCAATTATCTATGTCTGCAAATACTTTAGAATACAAATCTACATTAATTTGATTTTATGCAACAAAGAAACAAACAAATATTGTTGCTAAAATATTGATTTCTGTTGCTGCTTTTGAAGGAACTAAGCTGCCATTTTCTGGGCTAAATAACCCAGAAAACAAAGTTTACCTTTTTTTATTAGTTGACATAAAAAAAACTACTACTTTCGTTTATTTACAAAAAGTTTGTTTCCACCTCTGAATAATGTTAACTGCGACTCTCAGCTCTAATAAAAAAAAAAGATTTAGCGCCCAAATTAAGCACAAAAAGAGAAGCAATTAAAATGGATCATTTCTTTCACAGACTCCTGCATGCGTCGTTTCGCCTGAGGTCCTGCCTCCGGTATTAAGTGGGCGTTACTAGAGAAACCAATCACAATGAGGCAACTTTTGAATCTAAATCTTAACAGTCAGTCAGAGGCAACCACACCTTCCAGAAAGCCTGTAATTTATTAATAAATTGAAAATTGTTTGCTTAAATTAAATTGTTTTGGTTTTTTTTTATTGGGTGGGGGGTTATCTGTTTTTCTCATCAGAATCACTTTACACTGTATTCTTCATCAGAAACAAATATATCTAAACGATGTGGGAACCTAATTTGCATGCTTGACGTTGGCGTTTATAACCCTGGATAAAGAAGCCATCTGTTAAATCTTACCACTGAGTTTTGCCTCCATGTGAGTAAAGTGAGGCGGTGCTGGTTCTCGCTGAGCTCCCGCTTTATCTCCGGACTCATGCGTTTGATCTGACCCTCCAACGTGATCAGGATTGGCTGCTGACATAACTCCAGCAAGTGCAGGAGGCCCTGCCTGGAAATACACACAGCCTCAACATGTCTGACTCACAGCACAGACTCAACACTGACCTCAAGTGGTGCATTCACAGAAGGCTTAAATAATTGGACTTTAAAGGGGTCATAGAATGCAAAACCTAGTTTCCATTGTCATAGATGAATAACGATAGTTCAGTGGGTGAAATGGACGTTCAGAGAAGTTCAAACTCCATCAACTCCTCCTTTCTTTGCTATTCTAACAACTCTAAACTTCCAGCATAAAACGGGTGAATCCAAACGAAGCACAGAGTGTGGACTGCTGGGCCGCTGACTGGACCGGACCTCAGCATAGAGCCATGAGCTGCCCGTCCTCAGCCGGAGGAGGGGGGCCGGTAAGGCAGGTGGGGGGGAAGCACAGGGCAGCCAGTGTCCAGGCTACCGTCAGCGGGTCGGGTTCGGTCGCTCCGCCCCTGCTGCCTCCTAGGCCTCCGTCCGCCAGGGTTCCTGGACCAGCCCCCGGAGCTCACGGCTCGGTTCTAGTGCCCGGTGTGTGCCTCGACTACATGCTGCGCTGTAGTCGAGTTTGAAATTTCCCCTGGACATTTTTTTAGGTCTGAAAAGTAGGACATGTCCGGGAAAAAGAGGACGTCTGGTCCCCCTACCATATCAATGATGTTTCAGTGAGTGAGTGCTTGTTGCGATGATGCGTCTTTGCTCAGCAGCTTGGCTCGTTGTAAATTAATCAATCAGCGCACAGCTAATCTAAATATTCATGATCAAACCATAAAAGGAAGAAAACCTGTGGTTTCATTCTAGGGCTTTTAACCAGGCTGCATTAGGGCTCATAGAACAGCTAAAATGCCATTTTCAGCCCAACCAATGTTACACACCCTATTAGAGACCTGAAGGACCAGATACCCCATAGAATCATTCTATCACCCTATTACAGACCTGAAGGACCAGATACCCTATAGAATCATTCTATCACCCTATTAGAGACCTGAAGGACCAGATACCCTATAGAATCATTCTATCACCCTATTAGAGACCTGAAGGACCAGATACCCTATAGAATCATTCTATCACCCTATTAGAGACCTGAAGGACCAGATACCCTATAGAATCATTCTATCACCCTATTAGAGACGTGAAGGACCAGATACCCTATAGAACCATTCTATCACCCTATTAGAGACCTGAAGGACCAGATACCCTATAGAACCATTCTATCGCCCTATTAGAGACCTGAAGGACCATATACCCTATAGAACCATTCTATCGCCCTATTAGAGACCTGAAGGACCAGATACCCTATAGAATCATTCTATCGCCCTATTAGAGACCTGAAGGACCAGATACCCTATAGAACCATTCTATCGCCCTATTAGAGACCTGAAGGACCAGATACCCTATAGAATCATTCTATCGCCCTATTAGAGACCAGAAGGACCAGATACCCTATAGAATCCTTCTATCACCCTATTAGAGACCTGAAGGACCAGATACCCTATAGAATCATTCTATCACCCTATTAGAGACCTGAAGGACCAGATACCCTATAGAATCATTCTATCACCCTATTAGAGACCTGAAGGACCAGATACCCTATAGAATCATTCTATCACCCTATTAGAGACCTGAAGGACCAGATACCCGATAGAATCATTCTATCAAACTATTAGAGACCTGAAGGACCAGATACCCGATAGAATCATTCTATCAACCTATTAGAGACCTGAAGGACCAGATACCCTATAGAATTATTCTATCGCCCTATTAGAGACCTGAAGGACCAGATACCCTATAGAATCATTCTATCACCCTATTAGAGACCTGAAGGACCAGATACCCTATAGAATCATTCCATCACCCTATTAGAGACCTGAAGGACCAGATACCCTATAGAATCATTCCATCACCCTATTAGAGACCTTAAGGACCAGATACCCTATAGAATCATTCCATCACCCTATTAGAGACCTGAAGGACCAGATACCCTATAGAACCATTCTATCGCCCTATTAGAGACCTGAAGGACCAGATACCCTATAGAAACATTCTATCGCCCTATTAGAGACCTGAAGGACCAGATACCCTATAGAATCATTCTATCACCCTATTAGAGACCTGAAGGACCAGATACCCTATAGAATCATTCTATCACCCTATTAGAGACCTGAAGGACCAGATACCCTATAGAATCATTCTCTCAGCCTATTAGAGACCTGAAGGACCAGATACCCTATAGAATCATTCTATCGCCCTATTAGAGACCTGAAGGACCAGATACCCTATAGAATCATTCTATCACCCTATTAGAGACCTGAAGGACCAGATACCCTATAGAATCATTCTATCACCCTATTAGAGACCTGAAGGACCAGATACCCTATAGAATCATTCTATCAGCCTATTAGAGACCTGAAGGATCAGATACCCTATAGAATCATTCTATCACCCTATTAGAGACCTGAAGGACCAGATACCCGATAGAATCATTCTATCAACCTATTAGAGACCTGAAGGACCAGATACCCTATAGAATCATTCTATCACCCTATTAGAGACCTGAAGGACCAGATACCCTATAGAATCATTCTATCAGCCTATTAGAGACCTGAAGGACCAGATACCCTATAGAATCATTCTATGACACCTTTAATGTCCATTTCATATATAGGCAAATCTACTTTGCTTGAGACAGACCTGAAATTGTTTGTGCACCAATCCTGTTCGAGATAAGGGTGAGAGAGGAGCACTATGAGGCGGCGGGAGCGGCTCATGTTCATTAGGAACTCTGCTGAAGGCTCTGGAACACAAGAATGGGAGCGTTAGAAAGCTACACTCACCGGCCACTTTATTAGGTACACCTGTCCAACTGCTCGTTAACACTTAATTTCTAAGCAGCCAATCACATGGCGGCAACTCAGTGCATTTAGGCATGTAGACATGGTCAAAACAATCTCCTGCAGTTCAAAGCGAGCATCAGTATGGGGAAGAAAGGTGATTTGAGTGACTTTGAACGTGGCATGATTGTTGGTGCCAGAAGGGCTGGTCTGAGTATTTCAGAAACTGCTGATCTACTGGGATTTTCACGCACAACCATCTCTAGGGTTTACAGAGAATGGTCCGAAAAAGAAAAAACATCCAGTGAGCGGCAGTTCTGTGGGCGGAAATGCCTTGTTGATGCCAGAGGTCAGAGGAGAATGGCCAGACTGGTTGGAGCTGATAGAAGGGCAACAGTGACTCAAATAACCACCCGTTACAACCAAGGTGGGCAGAAGAGCATCTCTGAACGCACAGTACGTCGAACTTTGAGGCAGATGGGCTACAGCAGCAGAAGACCACACCGGGTGCCACTCCTTTCAGCTAAGAACAGGAAACTGAGGCTACAATTTGCACAAGCTTATGGAAATTGGACAATAGAAGATTGGAAAAACCTGGTCTGATGAGTCTCGATTTCTGCTGCGACATTCGGATGGTAGGGTCAGAATTTGGCGTCTACAACATGAAAGCATGGATCCATCCTGCCTTGTATCAACGGTTCAGGCTGGTGGTGGTGGTGTCATGGTGTGGGGAATATTTTCTTGGCACTCTTTGGGCCCCTTGGTACCAATTGAGCATCGTTGCAACGCCACAGCCTACCTGAGTATTGTTGCTGACCATGTCCATCCCTTTATGATCACAATGTACCCAACTTCTGATGGCTACTTTCAGCAGGATAATGCGCCATGTCATAAAGCTGGAATCATCTCAGACTGGTTTCTTGAACATGACAATGAGTTCACTGTACTCAAATGGCCTCCACAGTCACCAGATCTCAATCCAATAGAGCATCTTTGGGATGTGGTGGAACGGGAGATTCGCATCATGGATGTGCAGCCGACAAATCTGCGGCAACTGTGTGATGCCATCATGTCAATATGGACCAAACTCCCTGAGGAATGCTTCCAGCACCTTGTTGAATCTATGCCACCAAGAATTGAGGCAGTTCTGAAGGCAAAAGGGGGTCCAACCCATTACTAGCATGGGGTACCTAATAAATTGGCCAGTGAGTGTATATGCAACACAAATAATTAATATAATCATGTGTCAAACAAAATTAGTATGTTTATACAAAAAGAAAAAGGATATTTATTTATATTCATTGTTGTTACCAGTGTTAGGGAGGATATCGTTGTCATTGAGGTGAACCTTGTACCCATTTTTATTCTCCAGATGAGGTTTGAGGATAAAGTTGACAAACTTTCTGTCATAATCATTGCTGACATAAGAGATGTAGGCGTCATACAGCTTTCCATCTGATGATAAAACACACAAACACATATTAGGACATTTTACATACATGAATAAACTACACCGCTTCAACAAGACTCACCGTTGAGTTCATAGTCTCCATAGGAGTTTTTGTACCAGAGCTTGATGTTGAGATGGCACCTGGAGTAAACCAGACCTGCTATGCCCAGCAGGAGGATGAGGACGATGGCAGCAATCACTGCAGCCGTGTGGCTGGGATTGTCTGAGAGAAAACATAGAGATTATGCTAAAATTAGAGAATTTATTCATCTATGGCCAATTAAAACCTGGGCTTTTTAAAACAATATTTCCTCAGAAGATATAGTTAGGTAGATGTTTCCAGATATGAAAATAAAAGTGAACTATTTTCCACTATTCCTGCAGACTGAGGGAACTTCATTTCAAAATTGGCTAACAAAGAACCCAAACCATTCCTAAGGGGGTGGATCCATTCTTCTGGTTCAATTTGCATGTTTTCTAAGCCAAAGCAAGGTTTTGTTTTGGTCAACTCTATAAAGCCTCAAACTCAACGCTATTTCTGACAGTTTTTATTGAAAAAGCTTCCCGAATGGGAAGCGAAAAGTCTTCAAACTTGGAAACAAAGTCCAGTGGATGTTTTTTAACTTTTTTGGAATGAGTATGACCTGAATCTTCACCAGCATACCTTATTTCCAAATGAAATACAAACATATCTTTGACATAAAAAGAGGACTTCAGACCTCTTATCATCCAAACTGTCTCTCATTAGCCCAGGAATGGCATTAATAAGGAATGTGTCAGTTGTAGACTATGTCTTTATTTTGTGTTTTTTTCTCTTAAGTAATCAACTTCAAAAACTACCGATGTGTCCTGGACATTTTTAAGGACTATTTTCTCATTATTAAAGCTTTGATTATCCATCCATTGGGTGCTCCTTCACTGCCACTTTTTCTTTCTACTCAACTTTAATAAAGGGCTTGGACACAGCACTCTGTAAACAGGTACCTTTTTGTAGCTTACCATCGGATGTGGAGGGGGTCAGTAAAGCCCCATTTCCACTAGCCTTTTGAAACCATGCAGAGATCGGTCCGAGCACGGCAACGGAGATAACTGTTGAGTGTAAATGGCACAACGAACTGAACCGGACCGTGCCAGACACAACCGAACTGTGTTAACTTGGTACTACTCCATACGGTGGCCCTGAAGTGCAAACTGCAACTACAAATCTAAAAGCGCAACTACATTAAGGAAAACACAATTACATTAAGGAAAACACAATTACATTAACCTACCGGAGAAGGTAGGTACCAGTGGGAAATATGAGACATCGCTGATTGGACGACGGCGCCGTTTGACCCTTGCACCGGAAGTCATTCTGCCTGCTGCGGCTTTTGAAAACATGGATATTGTCGGCGCCCCAAACATAGCTGCCGTTATCCAGGAATATTTTGAACCAGGACATACGTACGAGGTGATACTGGATATGCTCAAGACTAATCACGAAATTTCAGTTAGTTTGCGTACACTGAAGACACACTTAAAAGAAGCTGGAGTGTTCAGACGACGCAACTTCCGGTTCAAGGGTCAAACGGCGCCGTCGTCCAATCAGCGATGTCTCATGTTTCCCACTGGTACCTACCTTTTCCGGTAGGTTAATGTAATTGTGTTTTCCTTAATGTAATTGTGTTTTCCTTAATGTAGTTGCGCTTTTAGATTTGTAGTTGCAGTTTGCACTTCAGGGCCACCGTAAGCCCATCAGTAGCGCTCGGCGTGCTTCAGTTCTGACACAGTTGTCAAATAACAAAGAGCTCATGAGCAGACCGCGTCTTCTCCTTACAGTCAGCCTCTGTAATGAGGAAATTTCAATTGTAGTAGTACCATAGTTTGCACTAGCAGTCAAATAACTGTGCTAGCATGGTGTGTAAATGGTCGTAAGGAACCAAGCTTGGCACAGATCAGTTTTCACAAGATAGTATAAATGGGGCCTAAGATTCTACTGGGCAGTTGTGGTAAAGTCCTTCCTGTGACTATGTTGGTGTTAGTCATCAAATACCATTAAAGTAACATTTGACTTCAGTTTTCTCTACTTTAGCCCCATTTACACTACCCTCTGAAAACCGATCCGTGCCGAGCTTTGTTCCTTACGACCATTTACACACCACGCTAGCACGGTTCCTCGCCTTCTAGTGACGATCTATGGTACTACTTCTCTCTAGAGGCAAATCAACATGGCGGCGCCCGTAACATTCAGGAAGTTTGCGGAGAGTCAGGTGAAGAAGGCAGCCTTTGGTAAATTTACTTGACAGAGTTGGCTTTTGGGAACTGGATACGACAAACGATTTGTATAATCAGGGCTTCCAGATGCAGGAAACAAAGACAGACATTGAGGTCCATCACACTGCTAAGCAGAATCATCACTGGAAATCGTGTTGCACGGTAGGAAGCTAGGATTTTTATGAAGGTCTGAAATTTCCTGATTAAGGAGGCTGACTGTAAGGAGATGACGTGGTCTGCTCATGACCTCCTTGTTATCTGAGAACCAAGCCAGAACTGAACCGCGCCGAGCCCTACTGATGAACTAGTACCAGAGTTTAGCACGGTTCGGTTGTGTCTGGTTCACTCCGGTTCAGTGCGTGCAATTTACACTCAACAGTTATCTCGGTTACCGATCTAAGCATGGTTTCAAAAGGCTAGTGGAAATGGGGCTTATGGCAACTTTCTAGGGGCAATGGTGGCGGATGTAGGAGTTTGCCCTGAAATCGAAGGATTGACGGTTCAAGCTCCGGCTCTGACTTTCAGTGTCGTCGTGTCCTTGGGCAAGACACTTCACCTGCATTGTCTACTGATGGTGGTCAGAGGGCCCGGTGGCGCCAGTGTACGGCAGCCCCGCTTCTGTCAGTGAGCCCCAGGGCAGCTGTGGCTACAATGTAGCTTGCCACCATCAGTGTGTGTGTCTGTGCGTGAATGGGTGAATGAATGTAGTGTAAAGCGCTTTGGTCAAGTCTCCCGACTTGAATAAAGACGCTATATAAGTACAGGACATTTACCATTTTTTACCATGTTCAAATATACAAAGTTATACAATTCATCCAGAAATAAAAATGTAATATTATAATGTGTGTTTGCAAAAACAAAGTTTTCCTCCCAAACACCAGACATCATTTAGACTCTGGTTTTTAGGCTAAATCTGGTCGGTCTGTCATAGTCTGGACTTAGTCAGAAATAATTGTTGAATTTTAGGCTGTGTTTGGTCGGTCTGATTTTGTCCCAATTAGTCCAAAAATAGACGTTGAGAAGACATTAGAAACCCAGGTTTTAATATTCTCTCAATAACCTAAAAATTACAGCTTTTCAGCTTTAACTGTTCAACCAAATGCAGGTTTGGATGTAAATGACGTTGTATTTTTAATGTCTTTGCAATCTATTTTTGCTCGGTGGGTTACCCTCAAATATTCTTGAAAAAAATTAGATTAGGAAAATCCACCCGAGTTTCCCAGCTTACTTGAATTTTGCAGGCTGAAGTCAGAGGAAATGTTCCTGACTATGCAGCTGTAAAGTCCAAACTGCTCTGGTTCTCTAAGGGCAAACTCCAGCAGGCTACTAACGACCAGCTGACCGGCATCAGGGGACCTGATGAACGAGAAAGAAAAGGTAATCCCACCTTTCTCTACAGACTGGTGCAAAGTGCTCTGAATGCAAACCATGATGTTGTGTTTTGCAGGTAGAGAGTCTGGTTGTTGAGCGGCTTCCCATCTTTGCTCCACTGCGGTGTGGTTTCACACGGCTCCTCTGATGGGTCCCAGAAGAGAAGAGCAGTGCAGTTCAGTTTCACGGAGGCTCCAAGACTCTTCCACAGTTTGCTAGGGTTGCTGTCTTGTTGAAAATCAGGAGCTTTGGCACACTGAGACTCTGTAAAGACACACCACAATTATCGATATTCACTGTGAAAGCTTCTACCAGAAGCTAACGCTAAACTATCAGTTATAACTTCTATATATAATAGGAAACAAAATGAGGAGAAAACCCACCCTTTACTATGAGGCGTACAGTGAAAGATGCTGTACTGTTTCCTTGTTGCATGCAAGTATAATTCCCTTGGTCCTGTAGGCTGAGGCTAGAGAACTCCAGGAAAGCTTTTCCATCCTGATCCTGGAGCTGCTGACAGTCCCTCAGCCACGACAGCAGAGTTGGGGGGAAACTCTGAGGTTGAGCTGTCAGTAGAGGACACTTCAGCACATATAAGGGCCTCTGCTGCCCTAAATAAACCACCTGCTCCTTAAAGCCGCCATCATCCACACAGGCCTGACCTAAAAGAAAGGAAACATTGATAAACACTTTATCTAAAGATTGTTCACTTTTAGGCCCCATACGATGCAACTGTTCACTTTGTATGACCCATTTTTCATATGAAAATTACTTGTATGTCACTTTACTGACCTTGACTGTTTGAAAGTCTTCATTTTAAATCGGATCACATGCAGTGATATCTGATTGTTTTTTAAACGCTCCATCTTTGAAGAGTAAACCAGAACTGGTCATAAAGATTAACAGAGAAAGAAGATGGAAGACTGAAAGCACAACGAGCAAAGAAATGCTCAAATGAAGGCACTACAATGAAGTTCGATTCACTTCTTTAAAATATCGCTGCTTTGTTTTAATTGTGATGCTTCGTTTTGGTTCAGGAGGAGTGAGTGATGAGCTTGACATTCTGAGGCTTTTTCAGCACAAGCCTTTTCATGTTGGCAGCATCACTGCCAACATGAAAATATCACATTCCTGGGAACTAAGAAGCGGCCAAGCAGACAAAATGCTCAGTTTCAAAATAAAAAATCTTCATATTAACTAAAATATGAAAACATGGGAAAGTCTGTGACGTAGTTTGGTCGAGGGTCAATAAGGCGAACCAAAAAAAACAGCTTCAGCCACCGGTTCCAGTTTCTCTGTTGTCTTTTATTTCTTTTCTCTCTGACAAAACATTTTCTTCAGGAGCTTCCAAGAGCTCAGGGCTTATATAATCAAGTGGCAACACACCTGCACTTGAGTGGACCAAGCCTCAATTATACAGGTAAAAAAAAAAAAAACAACAACAGTCTAAACAGAGAATCAAGAATAAAGCTAGGGATGCATGATATTGGGATTTTGGCCAATATCCGATATGCCGATATTTTAAAACTCATGTAGCCGATAACCGATATCGATGTTAAAGCTAGACAAAAATAAGTAGTCATTGAAAATAGCAGTTTTGTTATCCATTTCTGACACTTTGAAAAATAATATACTCAAATATATTTTCATATGCTGATATCAAATAGATTTTTAAAAACGCGGTATCGATCTATTTTACTTTCAAAATCTGGTGATATTTTGCAAATTCTTGTGAGATTTTGTTAGTAAAATAGATCGATACCGCGTCAATATATCAACATATAAAAATATGGCAACATTTGGTGAATTTTCGGGGGATTTCGTAGCATAACGATGACATATAGCAATATTTCATTAGTAAAAGAGATTGATATGGTGTTTTTAAATGGCAATATATCAGCATATGAAGATATTGGGATATTTTAATGGATCAATATTTTTTCCCTCGTCTTTAGAAGTTTTGAATTCTGTAAAAAAGAAGTTTTTGAGGAAGAAGAAGAAGTATTTTTTTTTTTTTTTAGACTTTAGAAACTCAGAAGCTGATCAAATATCGGGTTAAATATCGGTGGGGTGGCCGATGTCCGATATTCAGTTTTAAGGCCGATACCGATAGGGGGCCGATTATATCCTGCATCCCTAGAATAAACTTAATCTAATTTACAAACTCATCTACATAAAGAAAGATTTTGCAAAATAAACAGTGTGAAACAAGATAACTCAAAAAGTTACTTTAAAGAATAACAAACAAAGCATAACTCCAAAGGAAACCTTTTAAATGGTAGAATCCAGCAAAGTAATGGATGACATCATTTAGTCAATTTAGCAGGAAATACTTAAACAATGGTGAGTAAAACAAAAACCATGAATATACTTTGAAACATAATGAACAATTTCATCCAAAAATCCTGAAGTAATAGCTTTAACTAGGGATGCACGATATAATCGGCCCCCTATCGGTATCAGCCTTAAAACTGAATATCGGACATCGGCCACCCCACCGATATTTAACCCCATATTTGATCAGCTTCTGAGTTTCTAAAGTCTAAAAAAATAAAAAAAAATAAATACTACTTCTTCTTCTTCCTCAAAAACTTCTTTTTTACAGACTTAAAAACTTCTAAAGACGAGGGAAAAAATATTGATACATTAAAATATCCCAATATCTTCATATGCTGATATATTGCCATTTAAAAACACCATATCAATCTCTTTTACTAATGAAATATTGCTATATGTCATCGTTATGCTACGAAATCCCCCGAAAATTCACCAAATGTTGCCATATTTTTATATGTTGATATATTGACGCGGTATCGATCTATTTTACTAACAAAATCTCACAAGAATTTGCAAAATATCACGAGAGTTTGTAACAGAACGATGAAATTTCACCAGATTTTGAAAGTAAAATAGATCGATACCGCGTTTTTAAAAATCAATTTGATATCAGCATATGAAAATATATTTGAGTATATTATTTTTCAAAGTGTCAGAAATGGATAACAAAACTGCTATTTTCAATGACTACTTATTTTTGTCCAGCTTTAACATCGGTATCGATATCGGTTATCGGCTACATGAGTTTTAAAATATCGGCATATCGGATATCGGCCAAAATCCCAATATCGTGCATCCCTAGCTTTAACCTCAACATAAGTAGATGGAAACTGCAACATAATGTTAACACAAACAAACCCAGGATAGTAAGTAAAAGTCAAAGTTGCAAACTAATATTTAAATTTAAGCATTACAAATCAGAAGAAGGAATAAGGGAAACACAAACTGAACCACTTTGTCACAAAGTCTAATGCCTTCTGATTAAATATTTTACGGTGTGAATGGACTCATATTAATCTCTTGAAAAACTATTACTAGAAGCAGGCGAGGAGGAATCAACGTTAAGGTTGCTGGTGAAGATTCCCAGTCATCCGGGTCATAGTCATTCCAAAAAAAGGTTATAGGAATCCACTGAAAGTGCAATGAATTGATTTTTAACCCTTTTGTTTTGTAGAACTTTAAGTCTCAAAACTTCACAGTTGGTGTTCAAGCATGGTGGTGGCTGCATCATGCCTCATTATAGGGTCTAGTTTGCTGTTAGTAGAATCAGTCTAATTAAATTCAAATTCTAAAACTCTTTCTCAAAGTTGTGGCTAGATTTTATCTATTAGAAGTCTTTAAAACAAACAAAGCAAAGAATGTGAGATCGATGGACATGGATTTACTTCAGCTTAGATCAATCAACTTCCCAGATGAAAAGTCTCTCTCTGGATCTTTGAAATGTTTTATAAAGAGCACTCAGGGTCCAAAGTCCGGATCCGGACGTGTTGCCAGGCAACAGCACGTGACTCCGTGACAAATATGACCGCGGACATGATGCCCACAGGATCACTGACCCTGAACTATCAGCGTCACGTTATTCTCTTAATGTAGGTCATAATGATGAATAAATTCACTTAAAATAAAACATTTAACATGTGTGTGTAAATTACCGAGGACGGTGGCCTTGTTCCATTCCGCGCTCCAAACCATTAATAACGCGAATAAAAGGAGAGCCATCAGCAAATCCCGCACCTCCTCCTCCTTCCGGTGACAAAATGAGCTCCAATGTTCCTCCCAAAAATCGGGGGAAAATCTTAGTTTATAACCATTTAGTTTCTGCGGCTCCGCGGACGTCAGTCCTCTTTCATCAACTGCACCTGGAAGAACCTGTAGCTGCGCCCCTGATTGGCTCTCAGGCGTCACGTGACGCTCACACCGGTTTCTACCTGCGCTGTTTATTACTAACCTGAGGAGGCAGAGCAGGTAACCCACTGCTACAGATTACCGTAATAACTGATGTAGTTCTGTCTGTAAGGACTTATGGCGTAAATATACCTGAGTAGATATTTTTGGAATTTGAGGTATTCGGACATTTTGATGGGACACAGGTGTATTTCCGGTTTAACCTGCTGAACTGGTTCACATTAGTAGAAGTGGAACCAGGGGCGGATTTAGGAAATTTAGGGCCCCAGGCAAAGACAGGCAGGGGGGCCTCTGAATTGAGAAGACAACACATAAAACAGCAGAGGTGGAAAAAGTACTAAAGTATCATACTCAAGTAAAAGTACCAATACTTGGATAAAATATTACTCAAGTACAAGTAAAATTTCCCATCAGAAAAATTACTCAAGTAAAAGTAATAAGTAGGTAATTTAAAATGTATTTTAAGTAAAAGTTACTTAGTTACATTTAAAAATAAAACAGTTGAACGGGGCAGGAGATCTTTCCCATGTAGTGAAAATAGGACAAGGAGTCATAAATCCAAAACTATTTAGTTTTTAATTAAAGAGAAATCTATACAAATGCACTAAATACTTACCAAAACATGCTTCTGTTTCTTTATCAGAACCAATGTCAGGTTTTTACTCAGTAACGGATGGGATTGTAATGTAACGAAATACAATACTTCACTCAAAACGTAATCAAGTAAAATTTAAATTACCGATTTTAAAAACTACTTGAAAAATACAAAATACACAAAAAAAACCTACTCAATACAGTAACTTGAGTAAATGTATTTGGTTACTTTCCACCTCTGTAAAATAGCCCCATTCTACAGATATAGAAATGTTAATAGAATAGACATCCATTATGTGTTCTAGGTTGTGTCCCTCTCTTCTTGTTTCCTCTCTATGTTTTGAACTCAGCTGACTTTTCAAAGTCGTGCACCACTGGGGAGGATTCTGAAATGCAGCGGTTAAAACAGCCAATTCCCTATGGCTTTAACCAAAATCTGTAGAAGAAATGTGGTCTGTGTACAAAAAGTACAATTTTAACAGAAATCCAGGCAGGACTCCTGAGGGACAAGCTGGAGCTGTCAGGAGTGGACCAGCGGATTCTGGACTACCTCACTGGGCACTTGGTGGTCTGGTTGCAGCAGAACCAACTACTGATTAATGCAGGTGGACTTTCACAGAAGCAGATCCATCCCACTGCCTCTGGTGAACATCCAGGGAACGGACATTGAGATGGTGGACTATTATAAGTACCTCAGTGTTTATCTGAATAACAAACTGGACTGGACTCACAGCACTGAGGCTCTATATAATAAAGGTCAGAGACTGAAGGGGGCGCTCCTAACATCTCTGTTGGATAATGTCTCCCCCCCCCATGCATGAAGCTGGTGCTGAACTGGAGAGCTCCTTCAGTGACAGACTGCTGCACCCTAAATGCACCAGGGAGCGTTATCACAGATCCTTCCTCCCAGCAGCAGAGATGGCAAAAGTACTCACTTTCCATACTTGAGTAAAAGTACAGATACTTGCGTTAAAAAATACTCTGGTAAAAGTGGAAGTACTGATTAAACTTCTTTACTCAAGTAAAAGTAACAAAGTACAGGCTTGTAAATTTACTTAAAGTATAAAAGTAAAAGTAGAAACCACTTTTTTCATGCCGTTGCCTACATTTTAAATGGATGTCTGCCAATAGGACTAGATCTCCGTTGTGTTCATTTTCAATCATCTCGTCGTCCATGCTACTATGCTAACGCCACCGCCACCAAGCTGCAATGATTTGCCGCCAATGAATACCGCCGAATCTGTCGATTCATCTTGTAGTGGTGCGTCAAATGCAACGTAGATTCCCATCCAATTAGATTGAATTTGGTATTGATGACGTGAAAAATAATAACGGTAACTCCATTGAAATGATTCAAAACTAAAGTAACGAGACAATTTTTTAAAATGTAAGGAGTAGAAAATACAGATATTTGTGTAAAAATGTAAGGAGTAGAAGTAAAAAGTCACCATAAAAATAAGTAGTAAAGTAAAGTAAAAATATCAGAAAAATCTACTTGAGTACAGTAACGAAGTATTTGTACTTCGTTACTTCCCATCTCTGCCCAGCAGCTGGAAGATTCTAGAACCACCACTGTTCCCAACAACCTCAACCAGTTCTTCCATTCATGCTGGTTTTTCACAGTTTCTACCTTAGTCAGTTAAATAATAATAATAATAATAGATTTTATTTGTAACGCACCTTATATTTCAAAGAAATCTCAAAGTTCTACAGAAATTAAAAGAAGAAGAAGAAAAAAATAAAGATAAAAATAATAATAATAGTAATAATAAAAATAAAGAATAAATTGTAGGGCTTACAGTAGTACATCTTACACCGAGTGGTATCAAAAACTAACAATTGAAACTAACAATTAAAACTACAATTTAATCTCAAAGTGCTACAGAGATAAAAAAAATAAAAAATAAAAAAATAAAGATAAAAATAATAATAATAGCAATAATAAAAATAAAGAATAAATTGTAAATAACCTGCTGCTGTCATTCTGCACATCTCTGATGTTGCTGCTATTTTCAAATTACTGTAAAAATGTTCATAGCTGCATATTGGTTATTTATTCTCCAGGTGATCAGTTTTATATTATTAAAACACTTTTCATAACAGTGATTTATTGTTTATCTTTTAATTCTTCACTATTATGTTATTCTTATATATTTTTCTAAGATCTACATTTGTGTGACCATTTTTCTATTATCTTTTTGCTGCTGGAAACACCAGAATTTCCCCATGGTGGGGTGGAGGTTCTATTCTATTCTAATTTTAATCTGTGTGGTTCTTGGTGAATTATTTAAATAAGGTCGGGTTCAGGTTTTCCTATTTTTCCCAAATGGTTGATCATTTTCACACTTGCAACAACTGATTAGCCGATTAGCTATTTGAACCTATGATCATTGTTCTGGCACCGTGAAAAAATAAAAATCTCAACAACAGATTAGACCTCGATCACCTTAATTCTTCTTTCTTTTTTTGGTAATCAGCAAAAGGTTCAGCTCAACAAAAGGAACTGTTCAGATGAATTCTGATGACATTATTATTGGTTTTAAACCTCTGACCACACCTACTTGAGCACTAAAATATAAAACATGTTCCTCAGCAGATGGAGAATACTAAAGGCATCAAACACATGATATCTCCATCCACATAACTTAGTCTTTTTAAAGCTGTACTGTATATGGTCTATCAAGTTCGAATGGTATTACTCAAAAGCAGAGATGGGAAGTAACGAAGTACAAATACTTCGTTACTGTACTCAAGTAGATTTTTCTGATATTTTTACTTTACTTTACTACTTATTTTTATGGCGACTTTTTACTTCTACTCCTTACATTTTAAAAAATTGGCTCGTTACTTTAGTTTTGAATCATTTCAATGGAGTTACCGTTATTATTTTTCACGTCATCAATACCAAATTCAATCGAATTGGATGGGAATCTACGTTGCATTTGACGCACCACTACAAGAAGAATCGACAGATTCGGCGGTATTCATTGGCGGCAAATCATTGCAGCTTGGTGGCGGTGGCGTTAGCATAGTAGCATGGACGACGAGATGATTGAAAATGAACACAACGGAGATCTAGTCCTATTGGCAGACATCCATTTAAAATGTAGGCAACGGCATGAAAAAAGTGGTTTCTACTTTTACTTTGATACTTTAAGTAAATTTACAAGCCTGTACTTTGTTACTTTTACTTGAGTAAAGAAGTTTAATCAGTACTTCCACTTTTACCAGAGTATTTTTTAACACAAGTATCTGTACTTTTACTCAAGTACGGAAAGTGAGTACTTTTGCCATCTCTGCTCAAAAGACCTGGAAGAAATATTATTTTTTAGCAGGAAAGAAAATCCCTTACAGAAAACAACAAAAACTAGATTTGTTATACATCTGAACTGCAACTTGACTTTTTAAAACCCATTAAAGCTCCTTCATAAAACTCGCCTATCCTCCTTTTTTAGTCTTTAAGATCTTTCTCTAATTGCATTGAATCTGTTGGCAAAAACCAGGCTGCAGCGAAGTCACACAAAGTGACAAGAACAATGCAGTACAAGAGTAATTGTAAAAAAATCATGCATGAATTCATTTATTTATCTTAACGAATTGTATTCAAATTTCAAAAGCAATCAAACTAGAAAGCTCTAGTGTGGTTTATTTGAGGGAGCAGCAGATAAGGAGAGACGGTTTGCATTAAGCAAAAAACTTTATTTCTATTACTGTGTGGATTATTTGAATGCGTGTGATTTATTGCCTCATGAAATCACTCCATGAACACTGTGCCAGTATTATCAGTTGTGAGCAGTGAGCATCATCCTGCAGTTATTAACCGCTGACATATTTAGTAGTAACTATCAGACAAAGCAGGTTTCTGAAAGCGTCCACACTTTGCTATCAAAGAGGACACAAGTCTGTTCACAGACCTCTTCTAAAAGACCGTAGGTCAGTCATTATGTAGGAGTAATTACAGAGGAAAATGTTCCATCGCAACACTTAGAGAAAGTAAATGGAGAAAAGCTCACAGGTCGGGCAAACTGATGAAGTATTTACATCCATAGAGAAAGACTAAGATCTGAGACGAATACATTAGGGGGAAAAAAAGGAGCAACATGACAACAAAGAGCTACCTAAGGTGGCTTTATGTCGTTAGGATCCAGGGGGTGGGGTGGGGGATTTTTTTCCTAATTGGTCCACAGAACAAAGCCAGAGTCATAGAACCACCAGGTTGTAACTAGCAAATAAGATCTGTGATGTGAAAGCAGCTTAAGCTTAAATCACAGCACTTTGATTTCTAAATCATTAAGAGTAAAACTCTAAAGGTAGAAACTGAAAGTGGTCATAGAGTCCAGTTATGGGTCCTGTGGCAGCTCACGCAGCTTAGTGGTTAGGGCATAGGGCTTTCAATCCTGAGATTGTGAGTTCGATCCCCCACAGACTGCCACTCTGGCTCCCTGAGCAAGACCCTTAACCTCACACTGCTCCCCAGGCACCTCACAATGGCAGTCCACTGCTCCACAAGGGGATAGGTTAAATGCAGAGAAGTAAATTCCCTCTGGGATTATTAGAGTATATACTATAAAAAAAAAAACTCCCCCAGAGAGTGAATACAGGTTCAGAGTTCCATGCGTTGAGCAAAGAGTTCAGAGACTGCAGACAAGCAGGCTCAGCTAAACAGAAACAGTGGTTTAGCTAGTGCTAGTGCCCCTGGTGCTGGTGATTGCTCCAGGTATCCACCAGTGACTTGAGTTTGTCTGCTAATCCTGAGACCAGGCTAAACCTGCTCCTGGTCCCTCGTACTCGTTACAGGACCAGGGGAGATTGCTCCTTTCAGGATGTGGCGTCGGCGCTCTGGAACGATCTCCCGCTTTTCTTGCACCTACTTCAAACTGTTGATGTTTTTAAGAGTGAAGTGAAAACCTATTTGTTTAAGAAAGCATTTTAATTCCAATAGATTAAGGGTTGTTTTATGAACATTTCTTTTGTGATTGTTAATGTATTGTATGTAATGTAATGTATTAAAATTTTGCGAAGCACTTTGTGACCTCTATGTCTGTGAAAGGGGTTATATAAATAAACATATGATTATTGGTGACCGGGCAGGCAGAGTTAGGCAGGTGAGTTAAATTAACAATTGAGGTCAGCTATCAGGGCAGATCATGACAAATTGAGCAACAGATCATAGCGCATGGCTCTCTGTATATCACTGGTTTATCTAGCTTTGCTCTTTGTTTTTTGCGCTGATTCTTTTACAGAGTTCTAGTATAATAACAGACTAAGAAGATAATTTATAAATATGATCTAAATGCACCCAGAGCGGACTTAAACATCTGCTTTTTTTAGCTCCCCTTCCCAGTTAACCTTATAATCTGGTTATTTACAATAACTTTATTTCTTTTTGACAACAAGCTTATAAATCAAGAAGCTTAAACTTACAAGTTTCTTAATGTGTTTAATAAGAAAAATATGTAATAATGCAAAAACAATTTAATTTACATAAACAAGCAATCAAATCCGTCTGAAAAAAGCAACAGGCATTTCATTTTGCATTTTTACACTGTAAGGCATCTTAGTAACACAATCAGCAGTCTACAGTATGTGCAGCGGAGCATTGTGGGTAAAACACTCATGTGCTGTATGGCTCATGAACACAGATCCAAAACTAAGTAGCCAATACTTACAATATAATACCATCAATATTATAAAAAGCATTTCCAGTAACATCAGTTACAGTTTAATAAGAGGTTTACATCCATTAAAAATGGGCACAAATGGTATTAACTTTCCGAGACTTTCCGTGAATTATAATAAAAACATTATTTTATTAAATACAATAATATGTACAAAGAATACAACATATAACCACATAAATAGAAAAGCACATACAAAATGCTAGATGAATAAACCAACATATTTGAGTGTTTTTTTTTAAATTTCATCCATGTTTAGTTTTAAAAAAGATCCTGTTAAACAAATAAACATCCTAAATTAGTAGGAGAATCATGCAAATATCGGGGGGGGGGTCTCCGTTGAAGATAAAACAGGTTTCAAACCGTCCCAGGTTGAGATGTAGATGCAGAAGGCCATACCGGGGTTATGTTTTCACAGTAAATGTTCTCTCATTAAGGAGTTTAAACAGTTTCAGGACGGAAAGTTCTGCAAAAAAAAAAAAACGATGATTAAGTTTCAATAGTGCAATTTGAATCAGAACACTAATACATTTGAGAGATTTGATAATAATTCATTAAGTGTTTAAACATCGTCATACACCGCTTTGTTTAAAAAATATTTAAATATAAAAAATCTAACAGCGGATGTCTGGGGGACAGTGATTGGCCTCCATGTTCTGAATGCTGGCGTTCCATAAAGAATAAATGATGAACAGTTTAGTTTGTGCCTTCAAGTCGTTGCCCATAGGAAGACGTTAGTTGGATATAATCTAACGGAATATCTTCAGAACGGCTCCAAATGACACTAAACTCATATGGGTGAGTAGAACATGATGTAATAATGTATAATCAAGGGCCAAATGTAAAAAAAAACGGCATTCCCCTTTAAGTGTTCGTAGAGGCTATTGGTTTTTATCAAGTTTAGTTTTTAGCAGCATTGTTCTGAAGCTACACTGCAAAAATGATCTCAAAAGTAGGAAAAATGTCTTAAATTAAGGGTATTTACCCTTAATTTGAGTAGGTAAATAAGATGATTTGCCAATGGGATGAGGACATTTACTCTTAAAATAAGATAATTAGATAATATGCACTTGAAATAAGACAATAAATTGTTATTATGCACTCGTAATAAGACGATGCAATTGTTTTTTCTTATTTTAAGTGTAAATTTTCTTGTTCCATTGGCAAAGTGTCTCACTTTCGTACTGAATTGGAGAAAAAAATGCACTTATTTTAAGAAAAAAATGACTCATTAGATTTCATTTTTTTGCAGTGTAGCGGTCGTTGTATGAGTTGTTGTTTTAATGAAGAGCAAAGAAAAAAGGAAACAGGAAGATTTTGTCTTCTGGGAGATAAAAGCTAGAAGTTAAAAAAGAAAAAAGTGGTTGACACTCACTTAAGTTGCTCTAGAAGTCTTTCGTGTTTCTGATCGAGGTGCTCATTCTTCACCACGATTGGAGCCGGAGGTATAAACCAGGCTGCAATGAATTTACATATGACCAGAACGTGCTGCAAGAAGAGAGGATCAAATAAATAAATAATTTTTTTCATCTGTAAACATGCAGAAAATGATTTCTTTGCATTTAGCAAACCAAGAGAGAGGCTGTTCGGTTTTGGCTTCGTGTCGGATGAAAGGAAAACTGTTTAGCTCGCTATTTTCAGACTTACCTCAAAGAGGATGACAAAAGCAAAGCGCACAGATAAAATCAGCCAAAACTGGGGGGTAAAATTAAAGTCACTGTCTCTGTAGTCTTTGTAGCTGTATAGAGATAGAGAAAAGAAAATGGCTGTGCTTAGGTAGAGGTTAAAAACGTTCCTTAAAGCAGAACTAAAAGAGAACAAACCTGCATGAAGTAGCATTTAGGTGATCAGGAGTGACCAGTTGGTTTGGATCAAACTTCACTCTGCTGTCACTCAGTAATGCAATGGATAGAGTGTTGTTGATGTAACCAGCAATGCAGCTAAAAGTACAAAAATAACCAAGTGAATAGTAGGTGTACCGTTGAAAAATAAAAATACTTTCAAAAAGAGATAATAAAGTCTCACTCCGTATCTGTTGCTGTTCCGTTGGCACACGGTCCATAGTAGAAGCGATACAAGAGTCTAGGGATAAAATCGGACGACACCCCAATTATCAGGCCATTTACGATGACGGCTAAAACACCAATAACCTCCAGTATGTCCGTCCAGATACCTGAGGCGAAACAAAAGAATCATCAACATGCATTCCAAAAAAAAAAAAAAAATCCACTGAAGTTTTTTCCTCGTTTGAAGACGTTTCTCTTCCATCCAGGAAGATTTTTCAATTTAAAATGTCAGAAATAGCGTTTAGTTCCAGGTTTTATCCAGCAGCCCAACAAAGCCTGGTTTTAGTTTAGAAAACATGCAAATAGAAACGGATCAACGGGTCCCCCCCTTTGGAATGGGGGTCGTTTGGCTTCTTTGTTAGCCTGCAATGCCCCATACCTGTCTATGTCTCTGAAAGGGGGGTCGTTAGAGGGAATAGTTGGTCTGGCTGAACAGGTGAGGTCTTCTGTCGTCCTATAAAGGGGCTGCGATGATAGCGGGAAAGTATCAAGTCTATTGCTGCATTTTAGGTCTCTGAAAGCTTAAATCTGAGTCCCCCCCCCCCCCCCCCCCCCCCCCTCAGTTTAAGGTTGGTTTTTCTTTCTTAACATAGATGGCTTCCTTCACGCCCCTCTCAAACCACCTGTCTTCTTTGTCCAAAATATGAACATTCTGGTCCTCCAAAGAATGTCCTTTGTCCATCAGGTGTAGATGTACTGCAGAGTCTTGTCCAGAGGAGGGCGCTCTTCTGTTGGGCCATGCGTCTGTGAAGAGGTTGTTTGGTTTCTCCAAAATAAAGATCAGAGCATTCCTCGCTGCATTGAGCTGCAGACATCACTCCACTCATATTAGGTCTTTAGGATGAACTAGTCTCTGTTTTAGGGTCTGTTTGGTTTGAAATGTTCTGGGATTTTGTGTTTGGAGAAAGTCCTCTTTAGTTTTTCAGAGAGTCCTGCAACGAATGCGATGGAGATGTTCCTTGCTGGTTTGACAAAGCCCAGTTTGGGCCTTAGTAAGGACATGCTCGGCCCCGAGTTGTAAGGTTCTGATGACTGAAATTTTGTGTTCCAATGAGAGGTGAGAGTCAAAAAGAAGATATCAACATGCATGAGCCTACAAAATATTTACGTATCTACATGCCATCCTTACCGATGTCATTGGTTTTCTTGGGAAACATTCTGCGCTCCAGGGTGACCATCTTAATGGCATCCAAGCGGATCTCAATCACATTATTGATGAGAGCAAACAGGGGAGCAAGTGGAAACGCTGCCACAAATATGGTGGTGAAGCTAAACTGGATCACTGAAGCACAGAGGAATAATGTCACACACTGCAAAAAGTCATTTTTTTCCTAAAACAAGTGCATTTTGTTCTTGAATCGAGGAGGTAAGTGGGACACTTTGGAACAAGACAATTTACATCTAAAATAAGAAAAAGCAATTGCAATTTCTTATTCAAAGTACATATTATCTAATTATATTATTTTATCAGTAAAAAAAACTCATTCCATTGGCAAATCATCTAATTTAACTGCACAAATGATGGCTAAATTAACTTAATTTAATACATTTTTACATATTTCTAGGTTGTTTTTGCAGGACACTGCAAAAAATTGAAATCTAAGTGAGTTTATTTTTACCAAAAAAAGAGCATTTTTTTTTTATTAAGCAGTTAAGTGATACACTTTGCCAATGGAATAAGGCAATGTGTATTTAAAATAAGAAAAAACAACTACAGTCTCTTAGGGATGCACGATATAATCGGCCCCCTATCGGTATCGGCCTTAAAACTGAATATCGGACATCGGCCACCCCACCGATATTTAACCCCATATTTGATCAGCTTCTGAGTTTCTAAAGTCTAAAAAAATAAAAAAAATAAATACTACTACTTCTTCTTCCTCAAAAACTTCTTTTTTACAGACTTAAAAACTTCTAAAGACGAGGCGAGACGAGACGAGAAACATTGATCCATTAAAATATCCCAATATCTTCATATGCTGATATATTGCCATTTAAAAACACCATATCAATCTCTTTTACTAATGAAATATTGCTATATGTCATCGTTATGCTACGAAATCCCCTGAAAATTCACCAAATGTTGCCATATTTTTATATGTTGATATATTGACGCGGTATCGATCTATTTTACTAACAAAATCTCACACGAATTTGCAAAATATCACGAGAGTTTGTAACAGAACAATGAAGTTTCACCAGATTCTGAAAGTAAAATAGATCGATACCGCGTTTTTAAAAATCGATTTGATATCAGCATATGAAAATATATTTGAGTATATTATTTTTCAAAGTGTCAGAAATGGATAACAAAACTGCTATTTTCAATGACTACTTATTTTTGTCCAGCTTGAACATCGGTATCGATATCGGTTATCGGCTACATGAGTTTTAAAATATCGGATATCGGCCAAAATCCCAATATCGTGCATCCCTACAGTCTCTTATTTAAAGTGCATAATATCTAATTTTAAGCATAAAAATGCTCCTTCCATTTAACAGATCATCTTTACCTGCTCAAATTAAAGGTAAATACACTTAATTTAAGACATTTTACTATTATTAGATAGTTTTTGCAGCGCAATCACAACAGATCCAGCCTTTGATCGTCTCCAGAGGCGAACATTCATACCCATCTCCAAAAACTCGTTGAACAGGCTGAAAGAGTCCACATCAGTGAGTTGATAGTTTTTTTGCCAATCGTTGAGTTTGCAGTTGTCACAAAGCTCTTCTCCCTCTTTGAGCTCAGATTCATCTTTCTTGTAGCAGTTGCCGCATTTCCTCCGCAGCTTTTGAGAGCTTTTCCTCTTCTTCATGAACTTGTGTAACCAGCTAATGCAAAAGACGGACAGCAACAATTAGGCCAAACATTTTACAAATCTGATTAACAAAGCGCCGTAGTACAATATGAAGCAATACATATTAAAAAAAGATTTTATAAGGCAAAATGTTTATATCCAGGGGTGGAGCTATCCACCCCTGGATGATAGTGGAGCTATCATCTTTTCCCCCTAATAATCAAGTGGAATATACGAAACATTTAAATTTTTCATATATTAATTACTATTTTTTCATATATACATAATTACTTGATAACAAAAACACTGTGGTTAATTATGCACATCCATATACCAATGTTAAAGATGATAAGTACAGAATTCATGCTCTTTTCAGAACTAGATTTTGTGTTTTATGGGGTAAAGAGAAAATGATGTGTCTTTAATGAAATCAGATAAATAACTAATTTAATAAAAACGTATTAAATAATCAATTTATGTAGATATTAGTACTTGTAAATATAAATTTTATGCAGGATGATTATTGATAAAAGTATGTAAGTAATGACAATGGAAAAGATCTTCGCCCAAAACTTCAACCTGAAAGAATTTTATTCACTATACCTTTTATCTTGAAAGCACCAAAGTTTAAAGATATGCGTCTATTTGTTAGCAAATGCTTTAGGAAAGTATAGTTTGTCTTTATTTAGAAAATATGGATGTTTTACTTTTGGCCCCCCCCTCAGTGTACATTGGTTATTGCCTGTCCACCCTTATTAAAATTTTCTGGCTACGCCTCTGTTTATATCGACTAGTAAAATCAAATATTAATACCACACACACTATGTTATACAATATGATACAACGGGGGTCGGCAACCCCCGGCTCTTTAGCGCCCCCTGTCAGATCGCGCTTATTCAAAGCAAACACAATGGAAAAAAGATGGATTTTTGTTTCTTTCTTTTAATTTAGTGTGCGGGAGGACAAACAAATGTTCTTTATATTTTCCATTGCTGTAAAAATGTGTATAATAGATACATTTAATCAATAAATTCAAACATTTCTATCAAAAATTATTTGCGTTTTAAGGATAATTATCATTGATTGTCTGTGGGTTCATAACTCCTTAATATTAGCTGGCTGTTAGCGTCAGAACTGATGTTTTCCACAATAGTTTATATAATTAAGACAGTTCCTCTGTCTGGATATATAGTTATAATCTCCACACTGCAAAAACGATCTGGAAACCAGTAAAAATTTCTTAAAATTAGTGTATTTAGCATAATTCAAGCAAGTAAATAATAAGATTTGCCAATGGAATGAGTATTTTTACTCTTAAAATAAGATAATTAGATAATATCCACTTGGAATAAGACAATGCAATTGTTTTTTCTTATTTTAGATGTAAATTGCCTTATTCCATTGGCAAAGTGTATCACTTAACTGCTTAATCCAAGAAAGAAATACTCTTTTTTTAAAGAAAAATAAACAGATTTCAATTTTTTACAGTGCATTCTGTACGTGGCAAATATTTGGGAATGGAATGAAAGCGGTGTCCTTCAGCTAAGAACAAAGTGTGATATTTTAATAAGGCTGAAGCCATGGATGTCTGCCCATCTGCTAACATGTATGATGTAAAATAAGATGTTAATCGTGGCTTCCTGAGACGTGAGCAGCTGCCTTCTGTAACTCTAAGCAACTTCTCTGATCTGAGTAAGATTATAATTTATATCAGTCAATTATTGTCTATTGTCATGTCTGCTGGTTATTTAACACATACAAGTTATGAAGTGTTATTTAAAGCAGCTGTCTCCAACAGTGTTGGGCACGTTACTTTGAAAAAGTAATTAGTTATAGTTACTAGTTACTTCTCCCAAAAAGTAACTGAGTTACTAACTGAGTTACTCCACAATAAAAGTAACTAGTTACTAGTAAAAGTAACTATTGCGTTACTTTTGCATTTCTCGCCCCCGTAACCCTCACACCCGGCCCCCACCTTCTCGCTGTGTGTTTCCAAAGCCAGCTGAATAGAGCGGACGACAAAGACAAGAACCTGCAGACAGTTTAGCATTGATTGCAACTCAACGTAAATGACATCAGAGGGGAACGCCATGGGAAGTTTTATAACAGGACATTCAGATCCGGTGAGTATATGAAATTAATAACTGAGGATGTCTAATTCTGAAATCCTGTGTGTTTGGGTTGTTATAGATACTGCAACATCTATCTATCCATCTATCTATCTAGATGTATACTCTGTGTGTGACATAAAATATGGATCTCCATCCCTGCCACAAGGGCCATCAAATAATGTTTAAAATAAAAAAATACAGTAGGTTGAAAAGGCAGAGTATCCATCCATCCATCCATCCATCCATCCATCCATCCATCCATCCATCCATCCATCCATCCATCCATCCATCCATCCATCCAGATTTCTCCCTTTCTCCATACAGGCTATCATTTCTGGCTGTTGTCAGGTTAATCATTTGATCGTTCACGCTCTCCATAGTTCTCCTGTGGCGCGAGCACAGGGCGACTGTTGCGCGCCTTTAGCGAGCATGCGCGTTTCCTGTCGCTTGCGCGGTGAATCGTGCCGCCTGCGCTGTGTGGAGATGCAGAGGAAACCGTTATGTGATGGGGAAACGCAGCTCGACGTAACACCGGTATTTCCATGTGGAAAACGCTGTTTTGCTGCTGGAGTCCTCCTCACTCTCCATCTCTCTGTGTGTGCTGTACGTTAACACCCACCAGCAGAAACACCCACCTATTCAACTGACAGACGGAATCTCATCCTCCCCTCTCTCATGACAAGGCGCGCACCTCTGGATGACCTAAAAAATAATCTTTAATATCTCTTAAACAAAAGTAGCACAAACAATATTTTTTTCTGCACAAATCTGCACTAACGTTGCACTAACCATTCAGTCTATTTGCAGAGTTTTTTGACGTGGGTGGGGTGTCAGCTTCACGCAGCTGCGCATGAGTCCTATCATGAAAAAAGGTTCATTGTGCGACCTGAGTAACGCGCAGTAACGGGGTGTCTGCAATGGTAACTGCGTTATAGTTACAGTCAAAGTAATTAGTTAGATTACTCGTTACTAAAACAAGGTAACGGCGTTAGTAACGCCGTTAGTTTCAACGCCGTTAGTCCCATCACTGGTCTCCAACCACCGGGCCGGGGACCGGTACCGGTCCGTCGGTCATTTGGTACCGGGCCGCACAGAATAATTTATCGACGATCAGAGTCTGAGTGATGTTTTATTTTGAAAAATATAAAAAAATTCTGTATTCTCTCCCAATTACGTCAGTCGGTGCATCTGTGCCTCTTGACACAGGTTAATTCAGTTCAGACTCATCCTATCTATAACATCCTATCTTTATGAAGTGGGATTTTCTGCGGTTACAGCGACCAAAGCAAAGCTACGGAGCAGACTGGACATCAGGAGCACACTTGGTGTGTCATTGTCTCCGATTACGCCTCGATGGGACCGGCTTGTTTAATTTTTATGCTGTTTGTATTTGATTTTATGCCAGTCGTATCATTTTACTTGATCGTATTTACCCGCCCGGCCGGTCCACGCCGGGGGTGGGGGGTGGTGGGCGGTGGATTTGAATACAATCAAGTAAAAAACAGTCAACCCGGTACGTTCCCCCCCCCGGTCCGCGAAAAAATTGTCTGACATATAGCGGTCCGTGGTGCAAAAAAGGTTGGGGACCGCTGACTTAAAGAGTTTGTCCGCAGTGATCTCTTTTCAGGAAACAGAACCGGAGAGATGGCGCGTCAGGGTGCAGAGCCAGAGCCTATTTTTAACAGTGTCATAGCCTTCGACTCACATTTCAGCGCAGCACTGCGCAAGGCAGCTGGCTGTTGTAATAAAATTTGGCTTATCTTCATTTTCATAGCCTAATTACCTTATCAAAAGGCTGCTGTTGCAGGATGCATTTCATCCCACTTTTGCCCCGATATGAGGAGGAGAAAAGGATTGTATTAGACATATAATGCATATTCCATTTTTTTTTTCAAATCCTCCAAATAAACCAAAAAATCAGATTTCCTTATCGTATTTCTCTAATTCCCTCCAAGCAAGAAATCATAAAGCATTAATAATTTAATGGAAGTAAAGCCTAAAGGAAAAGTCCGGTCACATTCAGAATCCAAACTTCTGAAAGTTCTTTAAATCTGAAATGATTTCATCCTGTTCAATAAATGATCAGTGTTTTTAATTCAGAGTAATTTTCATGTGAATGTGCTTTACTGGAGGCATCCATGTTTGTCAAAGAACACTACTGCCACCTACTGGTTAGTGACGTCACGGTGCGGTATCGGCTGTTGATCAAGTCCCAGTGCTGTATCTGGTGTTTGTCACAACGCGCTATTATCCAAGTCATCTTGAAAACATTCTTCTTCCAAATGTTGGCTACATATTACGGGTTTTTTCTCTGGCCAGAAGTTCGATGGCAAATCCTCCCTCTTCAAGTTGGCGATCCAACGACCAACCCGTCCGTGGAGGATCAGGAATCAGAAAGGTGGAATAACTCTTTTTTTCACTTTTACCCGATGTATTCCAGCATCCAGCTGCCATGCACGTGGGCATTGTCAGTTTCACTATAGCTCTGGTGAATTTCAATGGTGAAGTCCTCTGGAAATCTTCAATAATTGTTGTTGATTGCAGATGTGTCTAGTAGTTCCCATTGATTTAGCTTGGAAAGCGGGGAGAATGGCGCTAGGCTTACCGCACCGTGACGTCACTGCTGGAAGATGGCAGGAGGGAGGGGCTACTATACTTGGGCAAAAATGGCCGCTCCAGGACAAAGTGATCATGATAAAATTATTGTTTTTATTATTTTTCTTTACTGATTAATGCTAAATTCATTAAATTACCGCAAACTTATTAGTTTCAGGTAAAAATAATGATCCATTGTTTATTCCTTTCTGTCTGGACTTTTATTTAAAGCAGCAAATATCAGCAGATTAGTCACATAGTGTCATTTTCTCGAGGATGCGCTGCAGAGAAAATAAGCATTTAATCATGAATTTTTATTATGGATTAAGCATAGTCATTTTGATAGTGGGCTAATATACACGTAGAGCCCTTAGAAGGGTTATATAAGACTTTTAAAGTTTTTCGGCTCCAGGCAGATCTGTTTTTTGTTTTTTTTTGTTCAATATTGCTGTAGAAGCCAATATGTACAAACGCTGGGAAACGCTATGAACCCACAGCTGGCTGTTTGTATCATTTTTTTATTTTGTAAGCAAGCAACAGTGGGAATAAATCAGCTTTTAAACTGCAAGAACAGCATCTGGACATTTCCCTCCGGCAAAAGCACGTCAACCATAAGATTCCGGTTTTTCCAGTGTGTTGGGATCTGGAGGTCTGTCCACTTTTCTCCACCAGAGGGCGTTCTAGCTCTCCTGGAGCTGGAGCTGATTGCACCACCTGCTGCTTGTTTGCTCATCAGGAGACCAGTATATAAGGAGGCAGAGGACATCACTCCAGCGCCAGAGTGTTTTGCCAGTTATGGTTAGCAAGCATGAGCCAACCTGCCTGTCTGAATCTCTGACTCCCAGAAAACCTGAACCTGATCTGTTTTGTCCTCTCTGCTCCCCAGGTTGAACCTGCCTGAAACCAGAAACCCTGAAGAGTTTCTCTGTTGGAAATCTGTCAGTCTGATCTCTGAAGAACCCTGGAGAATCAAACCTGTCAAAGACCTGCCTGCCAGCTCTCTGAAGAATCTGAAAGGGAAGCTCAAACCTGTGATCTGCAAGCAGTCAAACCAAGCTCTGCCTCCGCCTAGCCCTCAGCCTGCCGACAGCCTCTGGACCCTCCTGGTTCCCCCCCTCTGCCGCTCTGCTCTAACTCCAGAACAGTGAACCAGTCCTGGATCTGATTATCCCTTGATTCAGTTCATTATCTCACTGTGTTTATTCAATAAACCTTTGAACTTTTCTCCTGTTTCCGTGTGTTCTGCATGTGGGTTAGGAACCTTAAACCAAACAAGACACAGTGGCTTTAACCTTAGCCCCTACAATTGCTCTTTGAACATTTCGGGTTGCCGACCCCAGTGATGCAATATTTAAAAAAAAAACAGAATGAATTTAGGTAAAAATAAAGGTAAAGATTACTTACGGGACAGTGATCTCGATCATATTGCTGATGGTTTGCTTCAACACCATTATAATAGTCATTTGAATGAACAAGTCTGTGAGACATCCACTCGGGTGACACTAAAACAAACACAGTCAAACTTATAGGAACCATACAGCCGTAATCAATAGCTATGAAATGATAAGATGAGCATCTGGAATTGCTTACCTCTTCTAGTCTCCACAGCTCTGCAATCTGTACGTATTTACCTGGATGGCCGTTTATCCTGTCATCAGTGTAAGAAACAAACAGAAACTTAAGCCAAACAGGAAAGACCAACTGGTTTCCTAAGTCCTGATTCTAAAGTTTTTACCTGCCAAGAAAAAATGCCACATAGAAGAGGGAGGAGAAGTAGGTGAAGAACTGGAAGGTGAACATCTTTACAGTGAAATTTCTCTCTCTGGCAGTGAATGACCTTGTTTTTTCTGTTAGAACAACAGATGGGCATTAGAACTCTGCTGATTACTGATCATTTTAAAGCTGTTTACTTCTTTCCTGCTTCTATGTCCCCTCGCTGATTTACAGGCTATAATGCTGTACTGTGGCTCTCAGTTTGTGTCCTTTGTCTGTTTGAAGGACTAATCATTCAAAGGACCGGAAGCTGTTCTACGAGCGGTCGTGTAAAAGTGGTTTTCTCGACAAACCAGTTAATTTTCTCATTATCTGAAGATAACGAAGCTGTTTTCTCATCATAAAAAAATGATTGGTGTGTGTTAAAACTGATTACATAAGTCAGGGCAAAAATCTAGATAAGTAATTTTTTCTCAAAAAAAGTGCATTTGTTCTTGGATTAAGGAGGTAAAACAGACCTTTTGCCAATGGAGGAACAAGACAATTTGCATTTAAAATAAGAAAACACAATTGCATTGTCTTATTTCAAGTGCATTTTATCTAAATATCTTATTTTAAGAGTAAAAATACTCATTTAATTGGCGGATCATCTTATTTACCTACTCAAATTAAGGGTAAATACTAGTGCTGTCAATCGATAAAAAATTTTTAATCGCGATTAATCGCATCAATGCCTGAGTTAACTCGCGATTAATCGCATTTTAATCGCAAATTTTTTTTCTGATTGAAAATCATTTAAATACTCTCGATGACATACAAAAAATACATACAGGCTAGGTTTGTGCCAATGTTCTTTTTAAAATGAAAACAGGTCACAGACACTGATTTATGCCATAGAAACATATGGCAAGAAGATGGGGAGGCATGTAGCAAAAAATAACAAATATGTAGCCAAAAAAAAGGCCCTGAAAACAGGCTGATGTAAAAGACAGTCTTTACAGTTAATACAGTCTTTTGAACAAAGACAAGCATTTTACCCTACTGCTATAAAATGTAGTACAGTTAACATTAGATGTTAATTAACCAAGATAATAATGAACAATTTTCAATCAATACATCAAAATCAATAGACCGACATCACTAGATGGAGGTAGTCTATGCTCTAGAAAGTTACTTTTCAGCCTCTTAACAAAAATGAGAACACACACACACCCACCCACCCACACACACACACCCACATACACACACACACGATACCGACCTGTGGCCTACATAGACAGCAAGAGTGCCGTAGCAGATTCCATTTCACCTCAGTAATCTGTTTTCTCAGCGTATTTCAGGTTGCTATTAGTTACCAGACACTCAACTTGTTTGTTGGTGGTGGGGCTTAAAGAAAAGGCACTAGCGTCACCCAGTGTATGAGCGTCTTTTTCCCTTGAGGAGCTCCGCTCTTGAAGCCTATGGAAATGCATAGACTGGGGGAAAATAGCCCCGCCTTCCCGCAGGCTGCAGCGGGATGTACTTGGAAAATTGTACCATAAAACCACATAGCGTTAATCTCACGTTAAAAAAATTATCGCCGTTAAAATGGCCTCGTGTTAACGCGATAATAACGCGATAATTTTGACAGCACTAGTAAATACATTTAATTTAAGGCATTTTTACCTATTTCTAGATTGTTTTTCCAGTGTATGTGTAATTCTCACTGCAAAAAATCTAAATAAGTCATTTTTTTCTTAAAGTAAGTGCATTTCTTATTCAATTAAGGAGATAAAAGAGACATTTTGCCAATGGAACAAGACAATTTACACTTAAAATAAGAAAACACAATTGCATTGCCTTATTTCAAGTGCATATTATCTAATTATCTTATTTTAAGAGTAAAAATACTCATTCCATTGGCAAACTATCTCATTTACCTACTCAAATTAAGGGTAAATACACTTAATTTAAGAATTTTTTACTTATTTCTAGATCGTAATGATCCTGGGTTTAAATTTTAGGTAACGAGACGACATTGTTGGTTTGATAATTTGCTTCCACTTCTGCTTCATCAGCAGTCAGCTCTTTGCCTCCAGGTGTTTTCTGAACAGCAGCGGTGTTCCGCCAGTAACAGCTATAAGATGCTTTTACCCCCAAAATGAGTCCAGATCAAAGTTTTTTATTAGATTTAGATTTGTTTCTACTTTAATCCATGCAATCCAATCATCCACCACCACCAGTGAAAAGAAAAAGGAAACTAAAACACTGATTATTTGCGCAAACGTGGTACAACGACTGCACAACCAGGGGCCCCGCAGGCATGGATGGACTGGGAATCCAGGGTGTTCCAATCACTGTTTTCTCGTGATAACGAGATAATAATCTTGTTATCTCGGGAAAACAATTAATGGTTTAACCGTGATAACGAGATAGTTACGTCATTATCTCGAGAAGGCAAAGGGAACAAAAACGTCCGCTCTAGGCTTCCGTAGTTCTTTACAACTGTGAATACGTGAAAATATTCAAATTCCTTGGAAACTATTTTCAATTTTTGTTTATTTATATTATGAATAATAAAAGTATAAAAGTATAGAATAAATTGAAAAAAAATCTAGATCTAGTTGGTTTTTTTATTTGTAAGCATTAAGAAAAGGCTCCTGTTATTTCGGGGAGACATTTCTGACGCCTGTCCTTAATCTGGAAGCTTAAAACACCTTAGTCAGCTCAGCGCACAATCTATGAGTATCGTTGCCTTCCTTTATTTCATCTATTCCCTGCTTCAGGTCAAATAGGATATCAGAGCAGAAACATGTAGAGAAGTTGTACCTATATCGCAGAGCTTCATCGCTACCTTCCTGTTGACCTGCAAAGAAAAACAAGACCTTGGGTTTGAAGAAAACACTTTGAAAAACTGTAATCTACATTTAGAGGTGTCAGTACCCGCGTCATGATGGTGATGATGATGAAATGGAGCAAACCGCCGGCTAACATCGCCCCGATGTTGGAGGCGTTGCTTGAGAATGAATTTTTGGCCAGAAACCCTCCTACTATCACCCTGAACACCACCAGGAAATGTGTCAAGCCAATAATCAGCATTATCTAAAACATCAACGACGAAACAAAACAGAACAAAAGTGTTACAGCTGTTATATTTCTGCAGGATTTATTGCCAATCTTAATATCTTCATCCACATTTCTAACACTAAGGGTCTGATCTACTAAGAAGGGGCCACTCATTCTCCTATCCTGGCTTCTCTTCATTGGCTTCCTGTTAAATCCAGAATAGAGAAATATCAGCTGTGCTGCTGCCATCAACACCTTTGTTTCTAGCTGTTGGAGCTTGGCCTGTTTTCCAGTGTAGTCCTGTTTCTCTGACTGTGACTAACTGGATGTGCTCTCTTCATCCTCTGACATGGGAGCTGGCTCGGAGCTCGTCTGCCTGGCTGTGTGTTTCCTGGACGGGGCCGCCTGTGGAGCTGGTTGACAGCTGCCTTTTGTATCTATGCTTCTTTTTCTATGTCTGCTTCTGTCTCCTTGAACCCCAGTGGGCCTCAGCAGATGGCCGCTCACACTGAGCCTGGTTCTGCTGGAGGTTTCTTCCTGTTCAAAGGGAGTTTTTCCTCTCCACTGTCGCTACAAGCATGCTTAGTGTGAGGGATTGCTGAAGAGTCAATGAGTCGATGCAATCAGCTGGTTTTCCTTAGATAGAATCAACCAGAAATGCAAATGCAGCTAGTGGCATTGCTTTGATTAAGAGCACAGTTGAAAAATTGCTGCAGAAATTAGGATTTTTTAAATTGTGTTTAGGAGTGGACAATAATCCTAAACAACTATATATCGCAATTATAATTTTATTCAGTAATGTTGATATGACATTTCAGCCAATTTACATACTTTTAGTACTTTAATTGTGGTTTAATGTCTTATTTTTTGAACCAAATGCCCTTAGGATCGCCGCATAGGGCAAAAAAAAGAAAAAAACTTTTATTTTGGTTTGAAGCTTTAAATTGTGATGATGTCTTTCAAAGCAAGCAGAATGTTTTTCTTAAAAAAGAAAATGTTCCTCCATTCATAATGTTTTCTGCTCCTTTTCATGTTTCCATTTAACTTTATTCTCTCTGACTCCACTGCAGCCAGAGGTGGGTAGTAACACTGCTCTTACTGCAGTTCAATATCCCTGCTCATGTCACAGATGCAATTTCAGCTTAAATGTGTTTTTATACATGTAAACTTTTAAAAGTTCAGGGCCTTAGAACAAATCCACCCCTCTTGTTTTCATCTAACATCTGCAATAAGTAGAGAAAAAGGAAACATTTCTCACCATCACTGTGACACAGATCAAAACCAGAGTGCTAAAACCGTAAGAATGCTCGGATTTCCTTGGTTTACTTTCAGCGTCATTCACCACCTCCAGGATCAGTTCCTCCTGTGATTTAATCAAATGAGATGAAAAAGTTCATCAGACGTGCATCCAGTGAGAGAAAGACGATTTTCTGAACTGATTTTACCTCCAATTCAGACCAATCAAGCATTTTCCAATAGCTGATGTAAGTTGCACGATGTCTCTTCCACATCTCCAGAAACATTGTTGCTAAGGAAGAAAAAAATCACACCGTAAATATTTTATTATTCAATAAAAACAGATTTTTTTTGTATGTAAATGTATTACACACTTAAAAAAATCCAAATCTAGATATGTAATTTTTTCTTAAAATAAGTGCATTTGTTCTTGAACTGAGGAGGTAAAAGAGACATTTTGCCAATGGAACAATACAATTTACATTTAAAATAAGAAAAAACAATTGAATTGTTTTATTTCAAGTGAATGTTATCTAATTATCTTATCTTAAGAGTAAAAATATTAATTCCATTGGCAAGCTATCTCATTTACCTACTCAAATTAAGGGTAAATACACTTAATTTAACACATTTTTACTTATTTCTAGATCGTTTTTCCAGTGTAAATGTATGTAATTTGGTATGAAAACAGATGTATGTGTTTTCAACAGTTAAGGGAGGCTTTGCGGTTTATTATCTGACAAAATCTATGAACTAAATTGAAGTTGAACTAAAAAAATTATTTAAATTTGTTCTTATAGCAAGTTCAACAGGATGGTAAAGACTACTTAAAGAAGAACTTGCAGGAGTTTACAGACATAATTGAGAAGAAATTTAAAAATTCAAAACTTTGCCGGAAACTTCATCCTAGACATTCATATGAAAATGAGCACAATAGTCCGATTAATCAAATTTATTCCTGAATCTGCGCTTTTAAAAATTCCTTGAAATTGTTCTTCTATATCAGAGTTCATGGATTCGCGGACCGCTGTCCAGATCCGGACGCACTTGCTGCATAATCCGGACCCAACATGATTTAAAACATTTATAAATTACCGACGGCAGTGTCTAAACTTAATTTCTCCTGTTAATACGGTAAAGCCCTAGCCTGGGTGCCATTCCGAACTTAGTCCCGCCCACAAAGTTTGAGGTCGGGGAAGTTCGGTCTGGCATTGCCCCATAGTAGCGCGAGTATTATCGCCCACTGTCAGGCGATCCAATCAAATTGTCAGGGCGGGCTTTATACGATGATGGACAGATGATCAAGAGTAACGTAATCAACCACGTGACCAAAGCGCGCTTGGGTGACAACAACAATGGCTGCCGCTGGAGAGTTGAGGTGTCTAGATTCTGCTATTAGGTCTCTTCTAGAAGATATCGACAGCAAATTAATTTTAAAAGAGGAACAGAGAAACGCGATCAAGGCTCATCTTCTTATTCTAGGCGTGAAACTGCACGCTTTGATTTTTGTGGACAACAACATACGTCACGCACTCCGTTGCTCTTATTGGTTGTAGGTCTATCCAATTTAGTGCAGAGGCCTTTTTTTTCCTGGTTCGTTCGAAACACGCCCCATAATCACAGCTCTATGGAGCAGCATCAGACTCATTCTGACTAGAATTGAGTCGGACTACGCCAGGCTAGTAAAGCCCTGGGGAGCGTCCGGCTCCAGGCTGCACGTGATCCAAATGAGCCAATGAGCTGTCAGTCTGGGTTGCTGCTGCTGCTACTTTTAGACACAGCAGGCAAACCTGTGGCAAGCCGGGCGATGGGAAAGAAGGAGAAGACCATGAGAAAAAGAGAGCAGAGAAAGTGTGGACTGCTGGAAGAACTGCGGTGAACTGGTGAAAGAAAAGTGAAATGGCGTGCTCAAAGATGACCCTGCACATTTAGAGGATGTTTGGCTCAACCTGCTGCTGTGAAGCAGGATTCTCCACCATGAACAGAATCAACAATAAATCTGGATCCAGGCTCAAAATGAGCTCCTTGATATGTGCTTGAGAATGGCTTAGTCTCCGGTTAAACCCAGGTTTAAAGCCTCGCAGGGCAGCCTAAAGCCCACTGCCAACATTAAGACAGAAAAAAGAAAGGAAATAACAAATAGCTAATAATCTCAGTAACTAAAACTACAACTCTATTTTTCCATACAGTTGATGCAACACACTAAGAGTGGTAAAACAGCAACACAGCATCATGCTGCCACCAGCGTAATTGACAACTGATACATTGTTGGTTTGCAAGCTTCATGAAGATGCCACCAAACACTTTTTATTGCAACCAGATATAAAATGCTTGCTATTGCTCTGTGGACCATAAAGTTTTTTGTTTTTTTTTTAAGTGCATTTGTCATGTTAATGTAGGCATTTGTAAACTTCTGACAAGCCTGTGAATTTTGAGGCATTTGGGCCTTTTTTGCTCAGCATAGAACAATACTAAATTTGCAACATTCCAACAGTCAATAATTGAATTATTAATGGTGATTTATCAATTTATGGTTACTTAAAAGTGTACACAACCATTATCCTCACATAAGAGTAATGTAGCTGAATAAGAGTAATCCCAAAGCACTATGGTGCCCCCCCCCCAGCTTTACCTGTGCATAGGTATGGTGGGTTGTGGTGACATTATCCCACAAGGCTTTGGAAGACTTTAGCCAAACCCAAAAGGTTTTGTTTGGAAAAAGTTTCTCCTTTCTTTTAATCCTACTTCTTGGTTCACAAATATGGGAAATCTAAAGAAGTGTTGCAACATCTAGAGGTCTGCCAGCACGCTTAGTTTCCTGAGTAAAGAAATAAACTCCTTTGGCTTTTGGAGCTTTTCTAGAGGCTGCCTCACGGATCACAAGCTCGACAAACCGACACATGGACACCCAAAATCCTAGCTAGTTCCTGATTGTCCCTCTGGCATTGTGGCGTGGAATACCACAGCGCAGACCGTGCTTCAAAATTGTAGCCTCGTGAGACCATCCTGATCTTGCGAGCTTTCAAGGTTTCGCTCGCTAGTCAGTCTGGAGACTCTCCGTTAAAGAAAATTTGGAGCCGTTCACCAAACGAACGTCCAATCAGCGTTGGCTTTGAGGCGGGTTGAGGTGTGACGCAACGAGAAGCGCGACAGTTCAGTCTAAAGAACATGGCGGCTTCAGCCGATGAAACTAGCGTTAGCGTGGCTATCGAGCAAGTTTTATGGGAATTACAGAGTATTTCTTCACTGAAAGAAGAGCAAAACACTGATCTGGAGGCTTTTCTCAGAGGAAAAGATGTTTTTGCTCTTCTCCCGACTGGTTTCGGCAAGAGTTTGATCTATCAATTGGCTCCTCTTCGTCGTCGCTCTGTTAGTACGTCATATGCTTCGTTGATCTGATTGGTTTATTTGGCCCGTCTATCACCAACATAGGCCAATCAGCTAACCAGTATTTTCGCCCCTTCCCAAAATTACTTCAACGGAAGGTTTCCAGATGGATATGTGGAGCAAATCCATCTGGCGGAGTCAGGTTATCAAAATTGGGCATAAATCAAAAATATCTGCGTTATACCTGCGACAGCTAACCGTGACACACGGCTGCAGGAGTTTACACAGCCCTTAAGGCTGCTCTATTATTATTCATTGAATGTGTGTGTTGTATTGGCTCGTACTCACTCCATATTGCCATGAGCATCGCGAAGATCACCGTGCCGTTATTGTCGAACAGGAGGCTCAGCTGTGAAGAGAGGATGAGCAGAGAGAACAAAGCAGCACTTATTAAAAGCAGAATTTAAAATCCTCCTTCTCACATATAAAGCCTTAAATGGCCAAGCTCCATCTGATATCAGAGATCTGATTGTTCCTTATGTTCCTAACAGAGCACTTCGCTCTCAATCTGCAGGTTTACTAGTGGTTCCTAGAATTTCTAAAAGTAGAATGGGAGGCAGATCTTTTAGTTCTCAGGCTCCTCTCCTGTGGAACCAACTACCAGTTTTAGTCCGTGAGGCAGACACCCTGTCTACTTTTAAGGCTAGGCTTAAAACTTTCCTTTCTGATAAAGCTTCTAGTTAGAGTGGCTCAGGTTATCCTGATCTATCTCTATAGTTCTGCTGCTATAGGCTTAGTGTCAGGACTCCTGTTTTTGTGTTTGTGTTTCTGTGTTTGTCTCCCTTCCTCCACCAGGAGGCGCCTGGTTCTGGTTCGCCTCCTCACACACCTGCTGATGGTTTCCTCGTTAAACGGAGCGTTCTTAAGCTGCTGACTGCCACTACTTCGACGCCAGAGTGTTTGCCAGTTTAGGGTCCTCTAGCCAAGCTGAGTTTTTGCTGATTCAAGCTGATCTCTTTTTCAATCTGAGTTTAACTTTGTTTTTGTCTTTGCCTCTCGGCAGGAAGTCATCCTGCAAACTGGTTTTCTCGGACCTTCTCTCCCTGGAAGGATCAACTGAGCTTCAAACTGAGCTGGGGTTCAAACAGGAGGTTTGGATCCATTTTCCCCCAGAGATCATTAGAGCTTCTCACTGAGAAAGGGATTGTTATCCACTACGACCCGTTCAAGTACTGCAGGAAATCTGAGTGGCAGTCAGTTTCTCCATTCACCAACTATCAACCGCATTCTGGGTAAACTCTGTTCCTCCCTCCACCGAATCAGACAAACACTGGAACCGCGACACACAGACAGGAGTCAAGGATTCAACAACTTCTCTGGAAACGTGAGTCGGCAACCAAATCCTCTTCTTCAAGTTCACAAGTCAAATTCCCCACTGAGCCTGAACTAACCGCTGTGTCTTCCCCTCACTTTACAGTTCCGGTTGAGCAGTGTTCAGAGCAACACTTTTCCCTCTGTTTAACTTCTTCAACAAAACCCGTTAAACCTTTTCCCTGGTCTCTCTGTTCGGTTTTCTGCATTTGGGTCTGAACTTTGTAACATCATGACACTTAGACTGCTAGAGGACATAGGGACCGCTATTTAATCATGTCTTTGACTGTATGATCTGTTGAGCTGTAAAGTGCCTTGAGATGACATGTTTGGTGAATTGGCTCTATATAAATAAACAGAATTGAATTGAATTAGCCGCTGAGATGTTTAGCAGCAGACATCCTGACAAACCTTGGCGTATGAGCAGGTTTCTGAAAGCTTCCACACTTTGCAACCCTCGTCACAGAGTGGACACATGACTCTGTTCGACTCGCAAACCTCTTTTCTGCAAGACAGTAAGGTCAGTCATTATGGGGGGGTAACTGCTGAGGAAAACATTCTCTTACAACACTCAGGAAGTGTTTGAAAGCTTACACAAGGGGTGAAGTGTTGAAAAAGCTGAGGCCGTAGAGAAAGACTAGGACCCCTATAAGAGCTGGTGGGACGAGCAGAAATGTGTACCAACCCAACCACAGGAAGTACAAGGCCACCTTCTCCCCAAAGTAGTCCCTAAAAAACAAACGGTGGGGAGAAAAACACAAGAGTCAGAAAAAGGGAAATAAAAACACTTCATGTCATCATGATTTGTTTGTGTTTTGATCATTTTCTTGTTTTGTTCTCTAAGACCCCAACCCTAACCCTGTTAGTAGAGTGTTGTCTTGTCAGTTTATCCTTTGTGTTCAGGTTTTTAGTTTGTTTATTTTCTCTTTGTTTATTTCACAATTGATTCCCTTCAATTAAGTTTATCTACATCTTTGGATAAATAGTTTATTGTTTTTTCAGCCCATCTTATTCTGTTTAATTAGTCTCCCTACTTTTGCTGTTTTACCATCATTCAGCCACAGTTGTGCCTTATTTCATTTGATTAACTCCGCTGCTTTACTTGTGTTTTCTCCATGTGTGCCTCAGTTTTCATGGTTCTCTTTTGGGACTCTGAGTTTTTAGTTTACAGTTAATAGTTATTCTTCTTGTTCTTCTTCTGTTTATTTCCCATTATATTCAAGCAGTCTTTAGTTACTCTCTGCTGCCCCCTTGTGCTTGTTTCCTTTCCCCTTGGCTTCCGTCTAGTTCAGGGGTGTCAAACTGGTTCCAGAAAGGGCCGTGTGGCTGCAGGTTTTCTTTCCAACCAAGCAATAGCACACCAGACTCCAGTCATCTCATCAAGTCATCTTGTTAAAACTGGACTCACTTGATAGGATGACTGGAGTCTGGTGTGCTATTGCTTGGTTGGAAAGAAAACCTGCAGCCACACGGCCCTTTCTGGAACCAGTTTGACATCCCTGGTCTAGTTAGTTCCACACACACCTGCTCCATATTCAGCTCATTAGTCCATCCTTTGTTCTGTTTCCCTTATATACTCCACCTCTGCAGTCACTCAGTGCTGGTTTGTTGTTAGATGCTTCCTCATGGCTCCCCATGTGAGTTTCCCCTGATGTTTTCAGTGTTTTTTTTTTTGGTTCTTTCTATTTTTTATTTTGCAGTTTTGGATGTCTACCTCAGTTTTTTATTAAATCAGCAAGAACTCTTCTCTGCTTCACTCATCTCTGTATTTGAGTCCACAAGCAGTGTTAGCACTGCCGCCTTGCTGTAACAAGGTTCTGGGTTTGATTCCGGGCCTGGTATCGTTCTGCATGGAGTTTGGATGTTCTCCCTGAGCATGCGTGGGTTCTCTCCGGGTACTCCAGCTTCCTCCAACAGTCCAAAAACATGACTGTTAGGTTAATTGCTTAACTAAGTTCTCCTTTGGTCTGAGTGTGTATGTGAATGTTTTTTTGATCTGTCTAGGATGGACCCCGCCTCTCACCTGTAAACAGCTGGAGTTTGGCACCAGCACCCCTCTTAACCCTGCTTGGGATAAGCGTGATAGAAAATGGATGGATGGATTCTCACATTGCCCTCTTCTAGATGATTCTATATGCCTATCTACTAAAGAAATACTTCAAATCAAACCTTTCTAAAGGTAGACTAACAGATCTCAAAAAGCCATTTTCTCATGCAGGTTGTTGGAAACAGCTAGCCTGACGTAGTCCTACTCAATTCTAGTCAGAATGAGTCTGATGCTGCTCCATAGAGCTGTGATTATGGGGCGTGTTTCGAACGAACCAGGAAAAAAAATGCCTCTGCACTCAATTGGATAGACCTACAACCAATAAGAGCAACGGAGTGCGTGACGTATGTTAAGCGACGCATAGTTGTTGTCAACAAAAATCAAAGCGTGCAGTTGCACGCCTAGAATAAGAAGATGAGCCTTGATCGCGTTTCTCTGTTCCTCTTTTAAAATTAATTTGCTGTCGATATCTTCTAGAACAGACCTAATAGCAGAATCTACTCACCTCAACTCTCCAGCGGCAGCCATTGTTGTTGTCACCCAAACGCGCTTTGGTCACGTGGTTGATTACGTTACTGTTGACCATCTGTCCATCATCGTATAAAGCCCGCCCTGACAATTTGATTGACCCGCCAGATATAGTTCAGATATTGTGCTAGCATACTCGCGCTACTATTGAGCAATGCCAGACCGAACTTCCCGACCTCAAACGTTGTGGGCGGGACTAAGTTCGGAATGGCACCCAGGCTAGTTTTTCAATGCGGTACAGAAGAAACTAAAGGAGCTGGAGTGCCGCTAAAGGCAATAAGTAGGGCCTGACTGTAACACTCCAGATCTAGCTGAGGTTTTAAAACTAAAGATGAATAATCTGAACTACAACAAATACGAAAGGGATCTGTTTGAGTTTAAAGATGAGATAAGGCTAATAAAGATAAAGTAAAGTAGTAAAAGCAGACAGAAATGTATTGGAAGTTCAAGCTCAGCAGGTGTACTACTACCATTTAAACATACATTGTTTGTTTTTAAAAATTTCAATTATTTCTTTTTCTTTTTGTGGTATAATCAACTCTGACATTTTGTTTTCTGCATGCATGTTTACACAGGCAGAGTTCTACTGCCTACATGATGTTGGGGGCATCACGTTTTTTTTGTTGTTTTTTTTTTTTGATTTTTGAGCCATTAATCGGTAGCATAAAAAGCAGAATAATGAAAAGCCTGTGGTGTTGCAGTCCAAACCTGATCAGAGTTATGGGTTGCCCTTGGCAACAGGCTGTCCATCGTGCCCAGGAACTCTTCAGCTCTTTCTTCTTCTTTTTCTGGGAGTGGAGGCGCAAAATCAAAAACAATCATCAATAAAAAAAAGGGCTTTGAACAAACTACATACATGCTGCATGAACAACATTACATGAAAAAAGAAAGAAATTAACTTTCAATGTGAGAATGTCATATGCTTTGATTTATCTTCTAAAAGATTTAACAGATTTTCACATTTCAGTTAAGAGAATCCAGTAAGTATACAAAATGGTCATAGCTGCACGTTTAACTATATGCACAAACAGCTACTTCATTTATTCAGCATGAGTTTCTCCAGAAAACAGAAAAGAAAACATTAGCATGTTTTCCCATCAGCATAATCTCACTGTATGCTCACACACATGCCTGCATACTCTCAGTGCTGCCTGACTCATAGCATTAACATGACCTGCACGGTATTTCTGTGAGCAAATATCTTTCAGCATCAGTGTTTTACTAAGAAGCTGCAGCCAAGTTTCACCTCGTGATCCTAAAAGCATTTAACAAAGGGAAAACATTTAGAATGGCATGATGGCTGTCATCATAGTGAACAATTGCTTTCTGTTTCACCAAACTGTTCATTCAAACCTGTTTGTTTTATTAGTCAGCTGCGAGTTCTTGTGCAGTTAAATCAGATGATTAGGAAGCTGCTTTGTAATTAAAGTCTTTGAACCTGTAACTAATGATCTTGAGGGTTCAACAATAATGTGAAGTTGGAGTTTTACCTCATGTAAACAGAACCGTGCCACAAAAACCTTGGCATTTAAGAGATCCCGTAAATATTCTGAAAACCAGCAGAAAAAAAACAATATGAAACATAAGGATTTAAAGAGGAGAGCTTTTGAAAAGTCCTGAATTTTTTCTCACCTCCTGTGTGGATGGGTGTGTGGTTTAATATGAAGTAGACAATCCTTATCCTGCAACAATAAGATAAGCACCACTTGTTCAGTCAGTGTTGCAGTAAATGAGAGTCAGAATACCCTTCATTCAAAAGATCCGTAAGAAAAACTATTTTAAGAGTCATTTGAAAGATCAAACTCAGACAAGATGACAAAGATTTAACGTTTATAAACTATCTGAAATATTTAGTTTCAGTCAGAAGTTGATATAGCTGAAGAACTGGGTGTGTTGTGTTTGAGTGGCGTGTTTCTTCCGTCTAACTGCAGAGCAGAGGAATGTCACCTACTTTTCATACACTCATTACTGTCTCTTGATCCTTAAGTGCCCCTCTAGTCAGGCGGGACGATACTTGCCTTTATGCTAACCTCGCTGTCTATGAATTTTCCCAAAGTTGCCTCCTCAGTTCTTCCCTGGATCTACTTTTCAATAAAGCTTCCTATATCCACTGGTTTAAAGGAATAGTACACCCAAAACATGATTAGCCTTCATTTTCTACTCCCCCCCATGCTGAACAACACTCTGGAGTACTTTTTTGATATCTCAAATGCATCTGGAGATCTGGGAGGCTTCTTGCTGTCTGCTGACATTCAAATAATGGAGGTCTATGGCGCCCGAGGCAGAAAGGTCCATAAAAGTCCACAAAAAACGTGTCAATATTCCTCCATACTGCTCGTCCAATGTATTCCAAGTGTCCTGAGTGGGTAGCGTCCAGAATTTACTCGAAACGAAGTCATTTAGAATGTTTTTAGAGCATAAACAGTAGTGTATAGGATTTCCTAAAAGCGAGTTCACGAGTCTACGGAAACCGCGGCAGACCAAACCAGATGAAAGTGCGCATTCAGCTCGGCAAAGAACTCATGCTCTTCCTCAACACTGAAGTCCTCAGACATTTTTCTTTCGTTGTTTCTTTCTTTGCACAGGTAAACAGCACATTTCTTCTTCTACGCTTGCATTATCGGCAGAGCAGACGCTGAATGCGCACTTTCATCTGGTTTGGTCTGCCGCGGTTTCCGTAGACTCGTGAACGCGCTTTCAGGAAATCCTATACACTACTGTTTATGCTCTAAAAACATTCTAAATGACTTTGTTTCGAGTAAATTATGGACGCTACCCACTCAGGACACTTGGAATACATTGGACGAGCAGTATGGAGGAATATTGACACGTTTTTTGTGGACTTTTATGGACCTTTCTGCCTCGGGTGCCATATACCTCCATTATTTGAATGTCAGCAGACAGCAAGAAGCCTCCCAGATCTCCAGATGCATTTGAGATATCAAAAAAGTACTCCAGAGTGTTGTTCAGCATGGGGGTGAGTAGAAAATGAAGGCTAATCATGTTTTGGGTGTACTATTCCTTTAACCTCCTTGAGGCTGTAATCCCACGGAAACTTCCTTCCACCAATCAATCTACCCGAGTAGCACCAACTCTCTGACCCCTATACCCCTATATAAGTGTATACCTGTCTATTAGCTTGGCTCATCTCATGCTTACATTTGGGCTAAGAGGTCATCAAAGAAGCTCAATCTAAGCCTTCCATTACCCACATTTGTAATGTATCAGGGATTAATGTCATTTTGGAATATAAAAAGTCTCTCAAAACTACTGATCCGAAAATGTTCCTTCAAATAAAAATACATCCGTTGCTCAATATGTTCAGAAACAACCGAACAAGCATCAAGTTTAACCAAAACATTCATGCTAACCAAGACTTCTTACTGATGCTTAAAACGTTCAAGAGGATCAACATATTCTCATTATCAGTTCGTATGAAATCGTACAAAAAGTTAAGCACAGTATTTCATACGTTTTTGACGTTTTTCCTCAAAAAAACAGTTAAAAAAAGGACGTAAAACTGGGACGGACAAATTACTTCATGATGTCTCTCACTAGGTTGCTTGCTGTTTAGTATGTTAGTTGTAGGGTCAGGGTTAGGGTTAATTGTATGTTAAATTTTATGTTATTGAATGGTGCGTAAGATGCACATGCGCACGGATATCTTGTCTCGAGGCAAGACAAAAAATACGACGAAAAACACGTCAAAAACGTACGAAATACTGTGCATAACTTTTCGTACGATTTCATACGAACTGATAATGAGAATACACTGAGAGGATTATGCACACATGGACAAGCCAAAGACATAATGAAGAAAAGTTTTATGAAGAGTCAGGACACAGATTAGCTTATTGGATGACAACAGTCCCATTTCCACTAACCTCTGAAAACCAATCTGTGCCGAGCTTGGATCTGTTAACAGTGCCGAGCTCGGTTCATTACAACCATTTACACATTTCGCTAGCACGGTTCCTCACCTCCTAATGGCGATCTACGGTACTACTGCTCTCTAGAGGGAAACAATCAAACCTAAATGGTGGCGCCCGCAACATTCAGGAAGTTTGCAGAGAGTCAGGCGAAGAAGGCAGCCTCCCGTGAATTTATTTGAAGCGGATAGAACAAACAATAGTCTAATCAGGGCTTCCAGATGCATAAAACAATGACAGATGTTGAGGTTAATCACACTGCTAAGAAGAATCATCACTGGAAATTGTGTGGCACGGTAGGGAAGCTTAACCTGACTCCGCCAGATGGATTTGCTCCTCATATCCATCTGGAAACCTTCCGTTGAAGTAATTTTGGGAAGGGGCGAAAATACTGGTTAGCTGATTGGCCTATGTTGGTGATAGACGGGCCAAATAAACCAATCAGATCAACGAAGCATATGACGTACTAACAGAGCGACGACGAAGAGGAGCCAATCGATAGATCAAACTCTTGCCGAAACCAGTCGGGAGAAGAGCAAAAACATCTTTTCCTCTGAGAAAAGCCTCCAGATCAGTGTTTTGCTCTTCTTTCAGTGAAGAAATACTCTGTAATTCCGATAAAACTTGCTCGATAGCCACGCTGACGCTATTTTCATCGGCTGAAGCCGCCATGTTCTTTAGACTGAACTGTCGCGCTTCTCGTTGCGTCACACCTCAACCCGCCTCAAAGCCAACGCTGATTGGACGTTCGTTTGGTGAACGGCTCCAAATTTTCTTCAACGGAGAGTCTCCAGACTGATCTGCGAGTGAAACCTTGAAAACTCGCGAGATCAGGATGGTCTCACGAGGCTAAGGGAAGCTAGGAATTCTATGAATAACATAGGCAGGCTGTAAGGAGATGACGCGGTCTGCTCACGACCTCGTAGTTATTTGAGAACGAACCAAAAGTGAACCATGGCAATCCCTACTGATGAACTGGTACCATGTTAGCGGTTCGGTTGTGCCGGGCAGGATCCGGTTCAGCTGCGCGTGCCATTTAGACTCAACAGTTATCTTGGTTATCTTGGTTGCAAAGGGTAGTTGTAATGGGTCAAGATTATAGGTATGTTTGAAGGAGACAAAAACAATTCAGATGAAAGAAAATGTGACAAGTTTTCAAGGATGGTGGTGGCTGCATTATGCTGAGGTGGGTCAGATAATGAAGGCTATTACTCAGTTTACACTAGCCTTTTGAAACCGTGCCGGGGAACGGTACCTAGGTAACTGTTGAGTGTAAATGGAACTCAACTGAACCAGACTAGTTCATCAGTAAGGCTTGGTTCATCTGTGGCTCGGTTCTCTGATAACAAAGAGTGCCTGACCAGACCGTGTCATCTCCTATTTACAGTCAGCTGACTCATTTCGCAGGTTTTCCAGCGTGTTCACAACACGAACTTCTTCACAGACTATTAACAGTAAATGGCATCAAAAGAGCTTTGGTGCGAGCCGGGATGATGCTGAGACTGAGCAGGATTCCGTCTTCGCCTGACACTTCGCAAACCACGAAATATCACTGATATAAACAAACATAAGTTCCTGAATGTTATTGGAGCTGCCATTTTTGTTTGCGTAATTCCCACCTTGTGAGCTGTAGTATCGCGGACATGACATGACATGAGGATATGAGGCGAGGAACCGTGCTAGCGTGGTGTGTAAATGGTCGTAAAAACCAAGTTCTGCACGGTTAATTGATCAAAGCTCGTTCCGAACTCGGCACGGATCGGTTTCTGGAGGCTAGTGGAAATGGCGCTAAAGAAAAAATAAAAAAGACAAAAAGTTCAGTTCATTCTTTAAACAGAACTAAGATCCCAAACACATCTCTATACTGGTTTCAGAATAAATGTGTAGGATTACATTAAGCTTGCGATTAAACTGACTTAAACCTAACTGTTAATATGTAGGCAATGCTTAAACTGGAGTTTGTGTCATGAAAAAAGAAAAAAAAAGAAACAAATGGTCATATAGATTCAGTCAGAAATGTGTATAAGACATTCCGACAACTAATTTAATCTTTTGCACCTAGTTCTTACTTTTTAGCCCAAAATAAATGAGACATTCATGTTTGTGATAAAGCTACAGTTCAATTAAATTCTATTCAGTTTATTTCTATAGCTCCAATTCACATCATGTCATCTCAGGTCACTTTCCAGTTCACCAGATCATCCAGTCAGATTGATTCAAAGTTTTCTATCTAAGGAAAACCAGCTGATTGCATCGACTCATCGACTCTTCAGCAATCCCTCACACTAAGCATCCTTGTAGCGACAGTGGAGAGGAAAAACTCCCTTTGAACAGGAAGAAACCTCCAGCAGAACCAGGCTCAGTGTGAGCGGCCATCTGCTGAGGCCCACTGGGGTTCAAGGAGACAGAAGCAGACATAGAAAAAGAAGCATAGATACAAAAGGCAACTGTCAACCAGCTCCACAGGCGTGACTGGCCATCTGCTGAGGCTTATGGTATGTGAACTTCTGATGTGAGGTGTAGCAAATATTCTTTAGAGATATTCTAAAAGAAAACTGACAATGACTGCGATAAAAATGAGTCATAAAAAGGAAAAACTTCTAACATATCACCAAAAGTTGTTTGGAATATCAAGCATTCCTAGGGTGGATGGCCTCACCTTGTGCTAAGAGACATAACGGTTTGGTCTGAGCTCCAGTTGCAGGCACCAGAGACCTTGTGCAGATGCATGTACTTCTGGAATATTTCTTTAGGCGCCTGAATCCCATAGAAAGTGAGACGGTGATCAATGATTTTCTAAGAGGAGGTAAGCATGATAGATTAAAGCGGGTCACGTTAAACAGGAAGACAGACATGCACATGCTTTAGCTCATTGTGTACGACCCACTGTCACTTTGAAGTTCTTCTTTTTTAGCTCCTTTATGTACGCAGTTTCTTTCTTGAAGGCCTCCCGCCTCTTGTCATTGTTGTATTTGGAGACCAAGACAAAGTCATAGGACAGCGAAGTGAACTGTGTGTGTGAGAAGAAAAAAAAATTGAGATGAAACCTATGGATAAAATGATCTGGATTGTTTGGGTTGGTGCATCAGTTCATCTCACCACAGGCGGAAATTCATTGTAGCTTTCCTTCACCACTCCCACAAATTCCAGCAGCTCGAGACTCGGCTTTAGCACAAAATAGAAAAGGAGTGGAAATCAAGTCGTACAATTATAAACATCATATAAACTGCTGTTACTGTAAGGGGGGGGGGGGGGTCACCATTAGGCAATACTATGCACATAAAACTGTTTATATGTATAGTTAATACAACTATTCCTTATTTGTGATAGTGTTGCAACGATACCGATACCAGTATCGGGCGGGGCCCAGATCTAGCAATAAAACGTTGGTATCGGTATTGTCGTGTTCGCGGTCTTTAAAAGAAATCAGCCAACTTCTTGTCGAACAATTGTCTCCTTTATTTAGCTTCTGCAAAACACCAACCCGGAAACACGCACAGTGCTTCCTGTTGGGCCTTTCACAATAAGACAAAAACTGCTTATAACAAATTACACCACATCCCCCTTTCTTAGAAAACAATGCACTACATGAACAATCACACCAACAACGTTTTAACATCACAATTTCTTATAGTATGTGAGCTGAACATTTGTATTTTTTTTTTTTCTTTTTCACAATCTCTTTATATGAACCCTTTTCAAAATTACAAGTTGAGTCTTTGAGGTTTTATCACAACTCTACCAGATCTTGTTCTGACAGGAGCTGGTGAAACTGTCTTTGACTCCTGACTTTCATTCTCAGGCTGGTTTGGTGTGGGCGAGATGGCTTCGGTAGGACTTGTAGGTGTACTGGGGAGTTGTATCTTTGGTGTGAAGTCAGTTAGTGGCATCAGGTGATGTCTGTTCCTCCTGATGGCACCAGAAGGGCTTTCCACCACATATGAACGGGGCGTGGAGTGGCTTGAGATGACTATCCCTTCAGTTTTTGTGTCCCTTATCCACACGTGCTGTCCTGGGGAAAGTTGAGGAAGGTCTCTCACCCGATGTCTCCTGTTAAACGCCTTGCTGTCCTTTGTTCTCCTCTCTCTCTCTCTCGACTCCACTGCATTCTTGTCTGGCAAGCTGGGAATAAGCAAGGAGGGAAGCTGAGGGACAGGGGTGCGAAGTCTACGTCCCATTAGTAATTGAGCTGGGCTATAGCCATTAGCCAATGGGGTTGCACGATAAGCCAAAAGTGCAAGATAGGGATCTTTTGCTTTCTTTAATAGCCTTTTTACAGTTTGGACATGACGTTCAGCCTCGCCGTTACTTTGAGCAAACCTTGGGCTGCTGGTTATATGACTGAAACCATAGGCTGCTGCAAAGTCTTTGTACTGCTGGCTTGAGAACTGGGGACCGTTGTCACTGTAGAAAAGCTCGGGAATTCCATGTCTGGAAAATATCGACTTCACGTGCACAATGACATCCTCAGATCTTGTAGAAGTCAGTTTAGCTATCTCCACAAACCTGGAGTAGTAGTCCACCAGAAGTAAATAATTACTGCCGTTTAAGGTGAAAAGATCTGCTCCGACCTTCTGCCAGGGTCTCTCTGGGAGCTCACTAGGCATTAAAGGCTCCACAGGGTTGGCACGGTCTTTTATGCATACAGAGCAGTTTTTCACGAGTTCGTTGATTTGACCACTCAGACCAGGCCACCAAACTGTCTCTCTGGCGCGTTCTCTGCATCTGGACATTCCCTGATGTCCCTCATGTAGGGCGACAAGGACAGAATTCCGCATAGTGGTTGGAATAACAAGTCTGGCGTCTTTTAATAACAGTCCATCCAGTACAGTTAGAGTATCTCTATGAGGCCAATATGTTTTTATAGGGCCAGAAAGAAAGCTGTAGTCTGGCCAGCCTTTCTGACAATATGAGATAACCTCTGAACATATACTGTCTGTTATGAGCTCTTCTCTCAGCTGTGTGATGTATGCCGAGCTAGCAGGTAGGCTTCTAATGATTTCGTCCACATAAATGTTTGTGGCTTCCAACAGTTCAGCAGTAGCTCTAGGATCTGGATCCTGGTTAACGGGTGCACGTGAAAGTGTGTCTGCTGTAAGGAGAGCTTTGCCTGGAGTGTGGGTGATTGAGTAGCTGTACCTCATAAGCCTGAGTCGGAACCGCTGGATCCGGGGAGGAAGCTCTGTAAGTGCTTGTTGTCCTAGCAGGCTGACAAGTGGCTTATGGTCCGTTTCTAAGGAGAAATGTCTCCCAATAAGAAAGTCTTTGAATCTTTCACATCCCCACGTTAATCCAAGCGCCTCCTTCTCCACCTGTGCATACCTCTGTTCAGTTTCTGTTAGGGAGCGTGATGCATATGCGACAGGTCTCCACTGCTCCCCCTCCTTCTGAAATAGAACAGCTCCCAGACCATAGGATGAGGCATCTGCTGACAGTTTCAACTCTTTGTTTGGGTCGTATAGTGTGAGGACTGGTGTCGACGTCAGATCATTTTTCAGTTGATCGAACGCTTTTTGTTGTGCACAGCTCCAAACCCACTGGTTTTTCTTTGACAGGAGGTCACGCAGGGGCTTATCCTTGTCTGCCAGTCCTGGAATGAATTTGCCCAACTGATTAACCATCCCAAGGAAACTGCGAAGTTCACTGACATTAGTTGGTTCCTTCATAGCTTTCACAGCTTTTATTTTGTCCGGGTCGGGTCGAACTCCATCTGCAGACAAGATATGTCCTAGGAACTTTACTTCCTGTTTGGTCAGTTCACATTTATCCATGTTTAACGTGACTCCAGCCTCTTGTAGCTTCTTAAGCACGGTGTGAAGTCTGGTGTTGTGTTCCAACTGATCTTGTCCCCAAATCAGAATGTCGTCCATGTGACAAACCACACCTGGCAGTCCATTTAGGATTACTGACATTCTACGCTGAAAATGTTCAGGGGCTGAGGCAATCCCAAAAGGAAGTCTGTTAAAGTGGTATCGTCCAAAAGGCGTGATGAATGTTGTGTAGTGTGCTGACTCTGGTGACAGTGGAACCTGCCAAAAGCCTCTGTTTGCGTCGAGCTTACTGAAAACTTTTGCCCCGGCCAGGGATCCAAGTGTCTGTTCAACAGAGGGCAGGATGTATTTTTCCCTGCAAACAGCTTCATTAAGATGAGTGAGGTCCACACATATGCGCACTGATCCATTTTTAGTTGGCACTGGGACCATACCTGAACACCAGGCCGTTGGCTCTTCAACTCTGCTAATGACTCCCATTGACTCCATTATCCCCAGTTCCTGTTTCACTTTTCCCAGCAAAGGGATGGGGACGCGTCTGGGTGTGGCCAGGGAAAAGGGTACAGCATTAGGTTTTAACTTGATGGTGTACGGTTGCTGCATCACTCCTAAACCCTGACACAATTTAGGGTAGTTGTCCTTTAACACCTTAATGTCTATGCTATCTGCTCTGGATACAAGGTTTAGCTTAACGCTTGCTGGTCTGCTTAACAGAGCTACATGTAAATCTTCTATTACATACATGTTTTCTTGCATTACATGTTCTCCTCTACACAACGTTTCCGTGAACATGCCCACCACATTAAGTGGATTACCACCTGGACCAAACAAGGGTCTATCTGGTTTACATAGCTCTCTCGTGTTTGGGTTAATGCAGAAATATGTCTGAGCTGGAATAACTGAGACATCAGCTCCCGTGTCTATCTTAAATCTAACTTTGTGATTTCTGATCGTAAGGTCTGCATACCAGGGATCAGAACCTGCCTCTACAGAACCAAGGAACATGGGTGTGACATTACAGCCATCGGTTTCTATCACATGCACAGATTTTGCAGATTTACACACTTTACTGTAATGTCCTCTTTTACCACATGTATGACAATTCACATCTTTTGCTGGGCATTGTCCTTTTCCATGAGCGGGTGTTTTACCACACCTGTAGCATGATCTCTCACTTGATGTTTTTGCTTTTGTGGTGTACTTTGGTTGGATTTGGGGTTTGTAGGAAGGATGTTTCTGTTTTTTGTATTTTGCCGAAACAGCATCTATTTCCACTTTATTTTCCCCCCTGATGTCTGTCTGTTGCCTTTTTATGATTTCAGACTGCCGGGCTTGATTCACTGCTTTCTCCAGCGTCAAATCTTTATCCATTTGAAGTCTTTCCGCCAGGCTGGTATCTCTCAAGCCCACAACGAGACGATCTCTTATTAACTCATCGTGCAATGCACCGTAGTTGCAGTTTTCAGCCAAAGCATAAAGCGCAGTGACAAACGAGTCAACAGTCTCATTAAGCTGCTGCACTCTCTGGTTAAATCTGGCTCTCTCATAGATGATATTTTTCCTGGGCACAAAATATGCATCCAAAATGTCTCTCACCGCTTGGTATTGGTGTCTTTGAGCATCTGGTAATGCTTGTCCCCGCAGAATATCATCTGCTTCATCCCCCATACAATAGATGAGTGTGTTCACTTGATTAGCCTCGGAGCTAAGGTGTAGGTTGCTAGCCAGTCTGAACCTTTCAAACCTGCGTATCCACTTTTCCCATTGCTGTGGCTTTGCGAAATCAAATGCTTCTGGAGGCTGAATGGTGAATGTAGCATTAGGAGGTGGGTTGGCGTTAGCATTGTTGCTGCCATCTGCCTGCGGTCGGGGCGGCACAACTCGGGGCGGCGCAGCAGGCGCGCTAGCTCCCGCTTCGACATCCGACATAGTTTTAACTTGATAAAACTCACGTTCTCGCTCCCGTAGCTTGTCAAAGTCACTCTCCGATAATAGCTCTTTCAGGCAATCCTCACCACTTCTGACACCATGTCGTGTTCGCGGTCTTTAAAAGAAATCAGCCAACTTCTTGTCGAACAATTGTCTCCTTTATTTAGCTTCTGCAAAACACCAACCCGGAAACACGCACAGTGCTTCCTGTTGGGCCTTTCACAATAAGACAAAAACTGCTTATAACAAATTACACCACAGGTATCGGCGAGTACAAACCAATAAGCCACCGATACCATTTTGAGAGCGAAAAGTTTCTTCAACTATTGTCACCCATTCCAGGTAGGCAATAAAAAGTTCTACTGTTTGTGCTGTTCTTTTTTCATCTCATTACAGGTGATGAAGCAGACTGAAAATGTTTTGTCATTGTCTCCTTTCTATCTCTTCTTTCTTTCATCTTTTCTCTCTTTTTTTTCCTTTTTCCTTTTCTTCTTCTGTTTTTCTGCTCTACTTACATTGCAGTGTCCATATAAACTGTAAAACTCCCTGCATAATTATAATAAAGCAATTTATATGCATGAAACTTGTGAAAGTAAAATCTGTTTGGGCTCTTTTTGGCATCAAGACAATTATTCTTATTGCCACATTGCCAGACAGGCAGAGATGGCAAAAATACTCACTTTCCGTACTTGAATAAAAGTACAGATACTTGTGTTAAAAAATACTCTGGTAAAAGTGGAAGTACTGATTAAACTTCTTTACTCAAGTAAAAGTAACAAAGTACAGGCTTGTAAATTTACTTAAAGGGATAGTTCGGGATTTTTGACATGAATCTGTATGGCATCCCCATCACCAGTGTCATGCAATCACACTGACTTACCCCTGGCAGCATCCTGTGAGCAGAGTTCTCGTCCAGCTTTGGTCAAGCCGAAAGTAGTCCGGCAGGTTTGCTAGACCCAGCGAAATAAAACGTTTCTCTTCCCAAAACATTATGTGTTCAAAAGAGTGATATTTTTGCATCCCAAAAACATTGTAGTGGAAAAAGTCACACGTCGTTATCAATTGGTCCTATTTTCTCTCTGTTCGTATCAGTGCGCGCGACACCATGACCTGACAGCTAGGGCCTACTAACCTGACAACAGCCAGATGCATGTCTCGCTCCGCCTAGCTCCTAGCTAGGCGGAGCGAGACATGCATCGCTGTCAGAATGATGGCGCGCACTGATACGAACAGAGAGAAAATAGGACCAATTGATAACGACGTGTGACTTTTTCCACTACAATGTTTTTGGGATGCAAAAATATCACTCTTTTGAACACATAATGTTTTGGGAAGAGAAACGTTTTATTTCGCTGGGTCTAGCAAACCTGCCGGACTACTTTCGGCTTGACCAAAGCTGGACGAGAACTCTGCTCACAGGATGTTGCCAGGGGTAAGTCAGTGTGATTGCATGACACTGGTGATGGGGATGCCATACAGATTCATGTCAAAAATCCCGAACTATCCCTTTAAAGTATAAAAGTAAAAGTAGAAACCACTTTTTTCATGCCGTTGCCTACATTTTAAATGGATGTCTGCCAATAGGACTAGATCTCCGTTGTGTTCATTTTCAATCATCTCGTCGTCCATGCTACTATGCTAACGCCACCGCCACCAAGCTGCAATGATTTGCCGCCAATGAATACCGCCGAATCTGTTGATTCATCTTGTAGTGGTGCGTCAAATGCAACGTAGATTCCCATCCAATTAGATTGAATTTGGTATTGATGACGTGAAAAATAATAACGGTAACTCCATTGAAATGATTCAAAACTAAAGTAACGAGACAATTTTTTTAAATGTAAGGAGTAGAAAGTACAGATATTTGTGTAAAAATGTAAGGAGTAGAAGTAAAAAGTCACCATAAAAATAAGTAGTAAAGTAAAAATATCCGAAAAATCTACTTGAGTACAGTAACGAAGTATTTGTACTTTGTTACTTCCCATCTCTGCTGACAGGACACTGTTAAAAAAAAAAAAAAGTTCTACTGATTCACTTTGTTTTATTCTTTTTCCTGCATCTCAAAGGTAGGCAGCAGCTTGACGAAGCCATGATGGCGATTATTTTACATCCAAGTAGTCTGCAGTTCTTCATATATACCAGTGTATTCTCATTATCAGTTCGTATGAAATCGTACGAAAAGTTATGCACAGTATTTTGTAAGTTTTTGACGTTTTTTCGTCGTCGTATTTTTACGTCTTGCCTCGAGACAAGATATACGTGCGCATTGCGCATCTTACGCATCATTCAATAACATAGAATTTAACATACAATTACCCCTAACCCTAAGATACAAAACAGCAAACAACCTAGTGAGAGACATCATGAAGTAATTATTGCACTGTTTTTCCCACTTTTACGTCCACCGCCGATCTGCTTTTTTCGTCTGTCTGGCTGCGCATTGATATGTTTTTTCGAGGAAAAACGTCAAAAACGTACAAATACTGTGAATAACTTTTTGTACGATTTCATACGAACTGATCATGAGAATATGTTGTATATAAACACACAGCAATTTCAAACAGATGGTGTCGGTATCGAGGCCAAAAAAAGGGCATCGGTGCAACATTAATTATGTTTTTGATAAAAACCATTTTGCTAAAATGCCATCAGAACAGTGTCAGTGTCCACCATATTGGATCAGTCCATTTGCTGCACACTTTGGAGACGACATCTAAAAGCAGCGAACTCTGCTCTCCAGAGCGAGTAGATTGGTAACCCCGCCTCCTGCTCTCCTCTATCTTGTCTGCTGTCATGATTCATGCAGCTATTATTTCATCCAAATGAAAAATGGAGAACAGATAAGCAGATCATGGCTTGTCTACAGTGAAAAGAAGGACTGGGTTATTTACTTTGGCCTTTTTGGAAACACAGGAAGGAGCAATCAGCTAAGTGAGCTTAGTGCTTGGAAAAAATCTTTCCTTCCTTTAGAGACAGCATGAAAAGTCAGCTGAGTACAAAACATAGAGAGGAAAACAAGAAGAAAAGGGACAAGAAGAGAGGGACACAACCTAGAACAGATAATGGATGTCTATTCTATTAACATTTCTCTATGCTTCTCCATTCAGAGGGGCCCCTGCCTGTCTTTGCCTAGGGCCCCATATTTCCTAAACCTGCCCCTGACTGTGCATAGCTTGTTACTGCAGGGTTAGTAAAATATAGATGGCTTCATGAGGCTTGATTCAAATCTTACAAAAACCAGCAGGTCCTGTCAAAAGAATCCAGTCTAACTATAACCTGGAGGTGTGTCAAGGAATTCCACAGTTGAACCTGATTCACCACAGAGCAATTCCCCTGCACCATCCAACGCGAAACTGACTCAACAGAAACCCATTGTATCATATAGATCAAGGTAAATCCATGTTTTTCCCTGAAATCTAGATCTATGTCTCATTGAAAACAAACAGGGAGCAGAACCAGAGATCTGTCAGCAGCTGATTGTGCAAAACATCCAAGCAAGCTTCAAATTTATGATTTTTATAAGCATGAATGACTCCATCTGGATGATTTATGTTTTTCTTTTAAAGAGCTTTGGACAATAAACAAGGATCGGATTTTAACATGATTATTACCCACCTGCCTCCTGTGGCCCGGCATGATGATCAGGCGCAGACCTCTGGATAAAAACAGCAATCTCCCTGGACTCCTTCAGGCTCTTATTCGGTCTCCTATTTCCGACTCAATGACAACAAAAACACAATCTCCAAAAAGCAGTTGCAAAGTTCCGGATTACACCTGAAAAAATGCGTCTTTGTTTGACAAGCAAAGGTATGTTCAGAGAGTCTACCTGTTGCTGAGCGTCATTTCTCTATCGCCGCTCTTTGTCAACTCATTGCCTGCAAATGGAGCCAATCAAAAAAGGAAAGGAAACTCCGAGTCTTTGTGTTGTGCTGATGCAGAATCCAGAAATGAGGCTCTGGATGAGATCTGGCAGGTGAGACAGAGAGGAAGGATTCCTCGGTTTTCTCCCCTCCTCCTTTGGACTCTGAAGTTCCGCGTTTCCTCCGCTAGATGGCGGCAAACATGCTTGCTTCTGTCTGAGCTGTGATTGAATCATTCTGCATCCATCAGTGGTGGGCTTTATTATTTATAAATAAATTATGAGGGCATTTGCGCTTGATTTGAGTAAATAAGATGATATCTTGTGAAACTCTTTCTCAAATATTTCCAAGATAAAATTAAACCTTCAAAAAGGTTAAAAATCAATCCACTGGACTTTGTTTCTAAGTTCAAAGACATTTTGTTTTCCATCCAGTAAGCTTTTTTAATTTGAAATATAAAATAAAACCTTTAATAAGAAAAATACACAATTAATTAAAAAATGTTTAATTAGTGAAGAAATAATAAAAAAATAAACATTATTATGGTATTTAGCGTGTTCACAACAAATCATCTAAAAGGAACTTTCCAGTTCACCAGATCATCCAGTCAGATTGATTCAAAGTTTTCTATCTAAGGAAAACCAGCTGATTGCATCGACTCATTGACTCTTCAGCAATCCCTCACACTAAGCACGCTTGTAGCGACAGTGGAGAGGAAAAACTCCCTTTGAACAGGAAGAAACCTCCAGCAGAACCAGGCTCAGTGTGAGCGGCCATCTGCTGAGGCCCACTGGGGTTCAAGGAGACAGAAGCAGACATAGAAAAAGAAGCATAGATACAAAAGGCAACTGTCAACCAGCTCCACAGGCGGCCCCGTCCAGGAAACACACAGCCAGGCAGACGAGCTCCGAGCCAGCTCCCATGTCAGAGGATGAAGAGAGCACATCCAGTTAGTCACAGTCAGAGAAACAGGACTACACTGGAAAACAGGCCAAGCTCCAACATCTAGAAACAAAGGTGTTGATGGCAGCAGCACAGCTGATATGAAGCTACTATGAGAAAAAGCAGAGAGAGCAGAACGTTAGAGATTGAACTAACAGATTCTGCAGAGTGGGAGAATAGAGATAGAATGAAGCAGAATGATGAAAAAGGGGTCCCTATGTCCTCCAGCAGTCTAAGCCTATAGCAGCAGAACTATAGAGATAGCTCAGGATAACCTGAGCCACTCTAACTAGAAGCTTTATCAAAAAGGAAAGTTTTAAGCCTAGCCTTAAAAGTAGACAGGGTGTCTGCCTCACGGACTAAAACTGGTCATCAGCATAACAGTGAAAATTAATCCCATGCTGTCTAATAACTCTACCAATTGGGAGCATGTATAAAGTAAAGAGAATTGGTCCTAGCACTGATCCCTGTGGTACTCCACAGGTAACCTTTGAGCGTGAGGAAGATCTGTCATTAACATGAACAACCGGAAATCGATCAGATAGATAAGATTTAAACCAGTCTAGTGCTGTTCCTTTAATTCCTACAAAATAGTCAAGTCTTTCTAAAAGAATATTATGATCAACTGTATCAAATGCAGCACTAAGATCCAACAGGACGAGCACAGATACAAGTCCATTATCTGAGGCCATGAGAATATCATTAGTGACTTTCACCAGAGCTGTTTCACTGCTATGATGAGCTCTAAAGCCAGACTGAAACTCTTCAAAAAGTTCATTATGGTGGAAGTGATCGCACACTTGTTTGGAAACTACTTTTTATCCAATATCCGATAATATAAAACTATTAACCTGGAGAAATATTTAGCTTAGAACATATTTAAGTTTATGACATTTTCACTCAGTTTCTCCCACTGTGTCTGATTCTGCTTCCCAACCATCTCATTTGGGTGTTAAAATAAGGTAAAGCAACATGAACGGGTGGTCCTCTGTGCCTTGTCATTAAAGATGAGTTTACCATTAGTCTCTGAAACCTCAGAGGGCACTGCTCACCCAAGCAGTCCCACATCCCAAGAAGGAGAAGCGACATGAGGCTGGAGGAAAAAAAGCGGTGTGGTGGAATAAATAAGCGGCTATATTTCTGCAGCCAGCCACACCCAACAGAAAAGGATCACATAATTACACCCGGACAGGACTGTGTAAACCACTTGAAGGGGAAGGGGGGGGTCACTGCTGCTGAATCTTACCACGGTGGAAGTACAGAGCGGCGAGGAGGCTGGGAGCGGCGAAGATAAGCTGTGAGAGCGTTTCCTGACTTTTACGTGATGAAGTTGTTTAACAACAGGCTCCATGTATTGTTCTGCTCTGAACAAACCACTAAGCTAAGCATCCTGCCTGCTGCAGGACATAACAGGTCTAAATAAAGCTTTACTTATGCTTATATTGTGACAGTTTATCTATATGCCATATTTCTATAATACTGTTCAGGAGGGTGAACAGATGTTGCAGGTTTCCATTGCTAAAGATTTGTGTGATTACTGATATGACCTCGTTTGGGTAGCATTACTTACCTTTGTTCTAGTGTAGTTCCTGGAAGTTCAACCTGGACTTTTTTGTTAAACAAATTAACCAAATTAAATCCTCACAGAGATAAAAGAGGAAATCAAAAACAAACTAACCCAACTACATTTGCGTCTTTATTTTTGTTTAGATACAAAGTGGATTATCAATTTAATTCAATTCAGATTATTTCTTTTGTTTTTTGTTTTTTACAGTGTTCTGTCGGCATAGTGGCAGTAAGAGCCAAACAGATTTTACTTTCACAAGTGGAGCAGTACGGCTATCGCCATAGTGTTCCGCTTGATTAATGCATATAAATGGCTTTATTATAAATCATGCAGGGAGATTTACAGATTAAATGGACGCTGCAATGGAAGTAGAACAGGAAAGGACAAACCAGGAAAAAGGAGAAAAGATGAAAGAAAGGGGAGATAAAACATCTTCAGTCTGCTTCATCACCTGCAGAGAGATGGAAACAGAACAGAACAACCAACAGATATAGTATAAGAGATACAATAAAGTGGCACCTTGATACTATCACCAAAGTAAGTAAGTAAGTAAACTTTATTTCTATAGCACTTTTCACAGACCAGGGTCACAAAGTGCTGCACAAATTTATAAAAAGTTTGTATAAATTAAAACAACTTACAGAAAAAGTGGGTCTTTAGTTGTTTCTTAAAAGTGTCTATACAAACAAGAGAACGAATAATACAAGGTAGTATAAGTAGTATTATTTAATCTGACATGTATACTGTGGTAGCTGAAGATAAGAATACAAAGGAAAAATGCTCAATAGCGGTTGTGAAGAGCCAAAGACACGCCCCCCCAGAGCACTAAGGCAAGCGTTGGGGGACCCATAACCCCAGATGTCCAAAGAGATCCCCAGAGCAAAGGCATCTCGGAGGGGCCAGCCCAGGAAATCTGCCCCCCCACCAATGGAAGCGGAGAGATGGCCCTAAAGAAATCCCCCAGGCCACCGCAATGCCGAAGCCCCCTGGAGCCACGGGGACGAGTCCTAAGGCCCTGCCGGCAGCCAGCCAGCCCGAAGTGAAACCGGCCATGGGCCTCGGGGATCCGAGGCCATAGAGGCGCCCTGCCCCCCAACGGGAGCTCTGGCCAGGCCCCGCGAAGTACCCGCCAGGAACAAGCCAGCACCCGCCCTGGCATCCACCCCCAAACACCAAGCACCACCAATGCACCAGCGGGCCAAAGGGCCAGCCAGTGGAGGGGGGGCGGGACGGGGGGAATGGGCTCCGTACTTAGCGGAGACTTGAGATGTCTGACATTGATGCCCGCTCAATTCAGCTTATTTCTATATCACCCATTCACATCACGTCATCTCAGGTCACCTTAAGCCGGGCAAACACTGTACCATTGTTTTGCCCTTTAAGTAACGTTTATTTCAATAAAAAACAAAAAACATTATCAGTGTCATCCTCTTCAGTCATTGAAGGACGTGTACTTTAAAAGAAATGGAGTCATCAATGAAGATACCGAAACTTTTTCTATCCTCATCTGATCCTAAGAAACCACATTACACTCTAAAAAGACAACCTTCAACTTAAATGAATTAAGTTCCTATTAGACAGAGGAGTCAAGTAACAAATAAATACTTCCTTACCTAAGTAGAAATGTTGGCTATCTCTACTTTACTGCCAGAATTATTTTTTAGACAACTTTTTATTTTCTACTCCTCACATTTTAAAAATAGACTCGTTAGTTTTGTTTAATTTAGGCTCATTTTCATTCTGGCCTGATGGTATTTAGAAAAATAAAAACCATCAAAATAATTAGTTTCATCCAGACAATTAATGTCTTTGTGGTTGGACTTGGTGCTGCCCCAACTTGTTGCTCGCCACATACAAAATAAATAGTTTTTTCAAGATGAAGTTAAATGTGATGTTACCATTAATTATAAAACTAAGAAAATGAAGTCTAAGGAAGTTATCATCATGATCGTAGAAACATTTCCCTTTAATAGTGTAGAGCAGTAAAGCTTTTTACTTGTTTTATTTTTACTTTTATACTCTAAGCAGTTTTAAAAATTGTACTGTTACACTTTCACTGGAGTAAAAAGCTGAAGCTGATCCTCCAATTTCTACAAAAGTGTTTAGAAACAGTAGGATTTATACTGGAGGAATAAACAAGAATACTTTTGACACCTTTCCTAGCAGCACAGGGACCATTAACTGCTAACTATGATACAGGCTATACACACACATACTCGTTCTGCCGTCGTAGTGAGGACCATGTGTGGACTCCTTTTGACTTCCATTGATTTTCAGCCATTTTCAACCCTTTCTATGGCCTAACCCTAAACATTATCAATGCATACCTCACCCTACCCCATCCTAACTAGAGGTGAGTATTGGCATGAGTGTTGCGATTGGATATATGTCGCGATACTTGGGTCACGATACGATATTTTCACAATATTGCAGTATCACTATATATTACCATATTTTACCCAGCTATCAAAATCAAATGATGAGATAAAACAGCAAGTGCTGTATATTTTCATCAGAAAATATTAGCTATTATCCATGTTGTTTGGGGTTTTCTTCCACTGTGACTGCCTCAAATACAGATTTGGTGCTGCACGCACAGTTAAAGGGCTCCACAGCGCTTTCTGCCAGAGTGGCGGTGCAGAGGTAGCCCATTTTCCCATCAATGTTTTATGTAACCATTTTTTTTTTTTGAAAATCGATACTAAGAAGTGAAAGATCGATATTATATTAGGCAGCCAAATGTCATGATATATCGCCAAAACGATTATTTCCCACACCCCTAATCCTAACCCATTGACACCTTAGACCTAAACCTAACCATTAACAAAATAGCATTTAAAAAAAAAAAAAAAAAAAAAAAAAAAAAATATATATATATATATATATATATATATATATATATATATATATATATATATATATATATATATATATATATATATATATATATATATATATATATATATATATATTAGGGATGCACGATATAATCGGCCTTAAAACTGAATATCGGACATCGGCCACCCCACAGATATTTAACCCGATATTTGATCAGCTTCTGAGTTTCTAAAGTCTAAAAAAATAAATATAAATACTACTTCTTCTTCCTCAAAAACTTCTTTTTTACAGACTTAAAAACTTCTAATGACGAGGGAAAAAATATTGATCCATTGAAATATCCCAATATCTTCATATGCTGATATATTGCCATTTAAAAACACCATATCAATCTCTTTTACTAATGAAATATTGCTATATGTCATCGTTATGCTACGAAATCCCCCGAAAATTCACCAAATGTTGCCATATTTTTATATGTTGATATATTGACGCGGTATCGATCTATTTTACTAACAAAATCTCACAAGAATTTGCAAAATATCACGAGAGTTTGTAACAGAACGATGAAATTTCACCAGATTTTGAAAGTAAAATAGATCGATACCGCATTTTTAAAAATCAATTTGATATCAGCATATGAAAATATATTTGAGTATATTATTTTTCAAAGTGTCAGAAATGGATAACAAAACTGCTATTTTCAATGACTATTTATTTTTGTCCAGCTTTAACATCGGTATCGATATCGGTTATCGGCTACATGAGTTTTAAAATATCGGCATATCGGATATCGGCCAAAATCCCAATATCGTGCATCCCTATTATATATATATATACTGCCCTACATACATACATACATACATATATGCATGGATGGATGTATATATTTATTTTTGTAGTTATTTTGGCACTAATAGAGCTCCGCATTATAGAGAAGAATCCTTCAGCTGTTTTAATGTAAAAAGCAAATTCATCAACAATTTCCTTGTTTTGCTTTTGTTAACATTTTATTTAATTTATTTTGGTAATTGATTTTTCTAAATTGATGTTTAATTGGGGGGAAGGGGGGTCAAACACGTGTTGCCAACGTGTTGACGTCTGTGAGTGGGATTTATTTTCTGCGTGTCAAAGCATTAGGTGACCTCGAAGTTAAGCATCGAGACGAAGAAGAAGAAGAAGCGGCGAGGCGTTTGGTGCATGGCGCGTGTTTTGAAGCTGCTCTGCTTGTGGAGAAATGTCCTGGGCCGTGAGTAGTGAGGAAACAGGAAGCGATTCTTGTGGGATGGAAGAGGGAAATAGTGACAATGAAGGTTGGAAGATAGCAGCATCAAAAAATGAGAAAAAGCGGAAAAAACAGAGATCAGTTAAAGGGGAATCTAGTTCAGAACAATCCAGTGATGATCAATCCATACATTCCACAGCACAACAAAATGAATTCAAAGTCATATTCAAAGTCGTTAATCAGGCAGACTCTTTTACAAACTGGAATCCGGTTCACTTAACAAAAACCATCAATAAACTTGTTGGAGAAGTCAGAGGTGCCAGAATTCTGTACAGTGGAGACCTGCTAATTAACTGCAGAGACAGCGCCCAGCAAGGCAAAGCAATACGTATTAACAAAATTGACGGGATAAGAGTTCAGTGCAGCCTAATGGAGAACAAAAAGATCAGCAGGGGAGTCATTGGAGGAGTTCCTCTGAAAATTTCTGAAAAAGAGATTCTGGAAAACATAAGCGGTGCAAAAGTAAAAGAAGTAAAACGGTTAAAAACAACAAGAAACGGAGAAAGATCTGACAGTTTATCTGTACTAATTAAATTCGAGGAAGAGCAATTACCAAGCAAAGTATTCATCGGTTACATCAGTTACAATGTCAAAATCTACAATCCACCACCATTGAGATGTTTCAAATGTCAAAAATTCGGACACATTGCAGCAGTTTGTAAAGGGAAACAGAGGTGTGGAAGGTGTGCAGGAGAACATGAATATGGTAAATGTGGAAAAGAAGCTAAAATAAAATGCTGTAATTGTGGTGGAGAACATACTGCTGCTTATCGCGGCTGTGAAGCAAGCAAAAGGTCTGAAGAAATAAAAAAAATGAAATTTGAGCTTGGAATAACTTATGCTGAAGCTGCAAAAAGGATCCCATCTCAGTCAGAAAAACCCAAACCTACAGTTCAACACACGGCAAATTTCAAACCTCTAGAGAAATCTCCAAAAATTGATGAAGACTCACTAATTGTTAAAAAGACAAATTTTGTTCTTTTCATGGTGGAAGTGATTAACTGTACTGCTCAGACGACAAAAAAAACAGAAAAAATCAAAATAATAGTGAAGGCTGCAGAAAAATATCTGGATGTTAAAGATATGAACTGGGAGATGGTTGGAAGCATGATGGAAAGACCAATGGGACCATCAGAAACTGGCAGAGGTACGATGACCTAGAGTAAATTAAAATTATACGGGCAAATGTAATTTAGTATAATTTAGTATTATGTGGGTTTAAGTTACACAGGTTATTTTATTGTATTTTTTTTTTTTTTTTTTTTTTTTTTTTTTTTTTTTTTTTTTTTTTTTTTTTTGGGGGGGGTGAATCGTTTCCTGTTTCCTTGCTTTACTCCATATCAGTTGGTGGCGGTAATGCACATTTCACAAGTTTGCCAACCGCCATAAAATCTCATAAGAAGAAGAAGAAGACGTCTGTGAGTGTCAGGCTATTGGCCTTAGGGGTGTAGACCCTCCCCCTCCCTTCCCTCCCCTTCCCTCCCCCCTGCAGAGTGGGTCGTGGAGAATGCAGCAGAGAGCGGTCAGTGGGTGAGGGAGGCCAGCAGCAGCAGCAGCAGCAGCAGCAATAGCCCGGTGAGTCAGCTACTTGGTCAGGCGGGGGAAGGAAGCACCACAGGCAGCCTGTCGGAGGGAGAACACCCGGAGAGGAACACTTTAACCCCGGGAGACCTCAGCGATGCGCCGAATAACAGGGAAATGTGGAGAGGACAGTTTGATAGAGATGAGCCCGGCTGAATCTTTCAGCGGTGAGTTAATCTAACATTATAATATGAAACTAAACTGAAAGGAAAGAGTTGGACTTTTAAAGAGAGTCATTAAAAGATCTGAAATATATTTACAGAATTAAACCATCTTGGTGTTATTTCTTTACACTTCTTATTACTATTCTCATCTTGTTAACCGAGTTTCTTTCCTAACATTTTTTAAACATAAATTCCTTATTTCCTGCCAGTTTTAGGTGTAAAATGCCCCCCCCCCCCACAACCTAGAACAGATAATGGATGTCTATTCTATTAACATTTCTACATCTGTAGAATGGGGCTGTTTGATGTCTCCTCCATTCACAGGGCCCCCTGCCTGTCTTTGCTTAGGGCCCCACATTTCCTAAATCCTCTCCTAAAGTCATTAACTTTTTTTATTGGATTTATTGTCATAGGCAAACACCAAGGTGTGGATGATGTTGAAGCAAAGATGCATTTAGCGCTATGCTCACTCCACTATCTATGTTTTGGAAGAGTGCAAGTAACCCAGGAGTACAGCAGCCATGAAGGCAGCATTATGCTGCAGAGATGCTTATCTTCAGGATAATGGAAATAGGTCACAGTTGGCAGGAAGATAACAAAACTCAAATATATCAACACTGCAACAGCACATTATTTTCCTCGTGCATGACGACAGTTTATGTTCTGCTCTGTTCTGCTGAGCTAAACACGGAGCACCATGGAACTTAACCTGTTTGAGGCACCTAAGATTTTTAAATCAAGGTTAGTAAAACTATAAGGGCTAACCCAAAGCGCTTTGAGCTGTTTCTGTGCAATTTTGGAAAAATAAATACAAATTTAGTCCTTTTCTGGATTTATTTCTAATTGCTTTCCTTCCAGTTTACAGCTTGTAGCCCTTTCTGTCTGTCTATCAAAAAAAAGCACATTCGGTATCATATAACACAAAGTGGAACTGTTCTAGACAAGGTTTGATTTCAACTAGGGACACTATTGGTCTTCAGTTTCATTGGTCCTTTGCAGAAATATTCATGCTCTTTTATTATTCTTAATGTGAGCATCAGGGCACATTTTGTTTAAAGAGAACAGCAGCATTTCTTCTACATTAATACAAATCTTATCAGCACTACACGCACTAGATGCTGTTTAATGTTTAAAGCATCACTGACTCTGATTCTGACTCTGAATGTGGAATTAGGACTTATTTACACTTTGAAAAGGTTTGCATTTAAACTTACCAGCGACTAAGACAGAAGGTAAATATTTAACCAAATATAGTCGAAATATGTCTGTAATAGGTGGATTTATCCTGTGTTTAATTTTGAAGATATAGAATTGTGCAGAAGTAAACCCCACTCTTATGCTGAAACAATTAATCTGAAACAGTTAATCATAATAATCGATTATTTAAATAATCGTATACTAATTTTGGTGATTGATTAATTGTTAACTGGAGTATAGGGCCACTAGTGCCGACAGAGCGACCCACTTAGAGCAGGAATTATACCAAGATTGTAAAAATTAATTTACCAGACATTAAAGGTACACTATGCAACCGGTGTTGATTTTCCAGCGAGGCTCCCCCCAGAGGGCGAAAGTAAAAGTGCACCGTCGTAAATATGCTCAGCTGTTCTCCTGGTTTCTCCGTCAAGCCAGGCGCGGTTGTTTTGAGCTTGGCAGACAGGCGAACGCAACGAATCACCATGTCTACTGCGGTAAGTGACTATTTTGTTCCAATTTTCGAGTTTGAAAATTTAGCATGTTTTCATACATTATTTGTTATGCATGTGTCTAAATAACAGAGATTGTAGTTAGCCAAGTTCTCGCCGTAAAGCAAGACCGACTCTCGCGAGACTTCTGAGCCTGTGGGTGCGGGCCGAGGGCTCCTGCAATTGCAAGTACGGTATTTTCCCTACAGACCACCAGGGCGGCCGAGAATACCTTTGTTCGACCTGAAATGACTCATTTAATCATCCAAAACGTTATGGAACACATTAATTAACTGAAAAATGTTGCATAGTGTGCCTTTAATGTTTGTACTAATATACTTATGAACCGTGAAATCTAGAAAAATATAATCGATGTAAATAGAATTCCTCTGTTTTTCTTTATCCTATTTTTAGAAGTAGAATCTATTAAATAGATCTATTTTTATGTGGAAAGCAAAAAATAGCAGATCTTTAGTCTCCTTCTCATGTTGTTATGATCTACAATAGAAATAAAACCTGTTATTTATACCTGAACTGTCGTCAAAAATGAAAATATTGCTGAAAGGGAATCAGAAACGTTGATAGTTTACATCTTTGTTCATTTTAACAGCAGTTTTCTGAACTGTCAGAATATTTAGTTTTAGAAAAGAAATCCTAACGTTGGTTTCTTACATTTCTCAAGTTCCTCAAATCCAAACTCTCTCCTGCTTCTTTACAGAACTGCAATCAGAAGCTTTCGCCTGTTTTAGCTTAGATTATATTCAGTTTTTTAATTGTATTGTATTTTTCTCATCTAGTTATTGGTAGGGACAATTAGATCGGTCCAAAATGTTGGTAGGGACATGTCCCTATGGTCCCAAAGTAGGGATGCACGATATTGGGATTTTGGCGATATCCGATATGCCGATATTTTAAAACTCATGTAGCCGATATCGATACCGATGTTAAAGCTGGACAAAAATAAGTAGTCATTGAAAATAGCAGTTTTGTTATCCATTTCTGACACTTTGAAAAATAATATACTCAAATATATTTTCATATGCTGATATCAAATAAATTTTTAAAAACGCGGTATCGATCTATTTTACTTTCAAAATCTGGTGAAATTTCATCGTTCTGTTACAAACTCTCGGGATATTTTGCAAATTCTTGTGAGATTTTGTTAGTAAAATAGATCGATACCGCGTCAATATATCAACATATAAAAATATGGCAACATTTCGTAAATGTTCGGGGGATTTCGTAGCATAACGATGACATATAGCAATATTTCATTAGTAAAAGAGATTGATATGGTGTTTTTAAATGGCAATATATCAGCATATGAAGATATTGGGATATTTTAATGGATCAATATTTTTTCCCTCGTCTTTAGAAGTTTTTAAGTCTGTAAAAAAGAAGTTTTTGAGGAGGAAGAAGTAGTATTTTTTATTTATTTATTTTTTTTAGACTTTAGAAACTCAGAAGCTGATCAAATATGGGGTTAAATATCGGTGGGGTGGCCGATGTCCGATATTCAGTTTTAAGGCCGATACCGATAGGGGGCCGATTATATCGTGCATCCCTATCCCCATATAAACCTACGCCCATGGTTCTAGAGATAAGTAAACATCAGAAAGGCACTAAATTTATCTGCATCATGACATGACAGTATGATGCACTTTGTAAAGGTGGAAGGATTTATTCATAGTTGGGAAATTTTATCTTTTATTTTTTGTGTTAATATGTTTTTATTGGTGTAACTGTGAGAGCTGCTTTCCAACAATTAAGTCCGGCTCCAGCACAAATAAACTGAAGATGTTGATCCATCTTATCTCTTGGACTCTGTGGAATATAAAACAGACCTCGGCTCAGATCAGCAGGACGGTTTCTAGAAATGTCTCTCATTCCCTCTCAGATGTAAGAAGCCACTTCAAACTTTCAGCTCATGACAGAAAACCACAACTTTCCTGCTTCATAAAATCAGACCAACCCAAACTCAGCTTTCCTTCAGTTTAAGGGAACTGAAACTACAGAATGTGTTACCTTTTATAGCTTTGAAAGCTTCTGGTTTTTGTATGTTGTCTTTTTTTTAAAGCAGTGAACATTGTTTTTATTACAGCTGATTGATAAAAAATGACTGCTCTATTTAGTTTAATTCACTTCATTTTGACTCTGCTTCAGATTTTCTCCACTTAAACTAATAAATGGCTGCATTGTTGAGGCATTTCCACTGTGATCAGCTGCTCGGTCTGAACAAAGCTTTAAGTGTGGAGGCTTCCTAGAGAGGAGGTCTGCTGGTATTGCTGACTGGCTGCTGTTACGTCTAATAAAGCAGCCAACTGGGAAAACATATGCTCAGCTGTTTGGGAGCCGTTCTGGTCTGTGAATGAAAGGCCTTCTGCTCAAAGGCACAATGTCTGTTTAAAGTGTTATTACAGTAGTAGCCATTCAAAATGTCCCCACTTTCCTTGGTTGGTCCCCTATGATTCCTCTTTAAACCTCAATCTTTGTACTTAAATATTCTTTCTGTCACGATTTCTGGACATTATGATCTAAAGAGAAGCATCATCTCCTGGTCAGACCCTGTAGTTCAGTGAAAGGGTGGAGTCAGAGGAAATAAAATATGCAAGAGGGGGTCATGTTTGACTGTGAAGGGCCATTTTTAATGGCCGCTACTTTACTAAAGCAGTATTATTATTATTAGCTCTAAGAATAAGTGTGGATCTGTGGTTTAACTCTTTGTCTCAAACTAAAGTTAGTACTGTGAGGCTAAAGGCCTGGTTCTCCTTTGTGTAGCAGAGAGCTTGTTGCAGATATTTTTGAATCGTGGTCTGCGTTATGTTATTCCATGCCACAACGCCAGGGCAGGGGGCCAATCAGGAACTAGCTGATATTATTTTATATACTCTAAAATAATATACTATATTGAGTCATATAAACTCAGAAACCAACAATTAGGAATTATGTTTTTTTACTTCGTTTTTTTGTGTGGATCCTTAGCTTTGATCTTTTTAGGCACTACAGACTCCTTGTTTGTTTCTTTTTCCTCGTCCTTCTGCCCTATTAGATATTTGCTTATGTAAATCCTTTCTCAGAATCCATCCAGAAGAATCGCACCGTCCTGTGTAAAGCAGTGAGGGACGGCCAAAAAGGGGAAGACAGTCGGAGTAATTACTCAGTTTCATCACGTGTCCTCCTGCTATTTTTAACCAGGCCAGAGGAGGGTTTGCAGACGTCTCATTCTTGTTTTCTGAAGTCACTCCTGTTGCTGCTGAATCATAATAGCATGGTTTAGCTTCTGCTGTCAGGGCGATCTAGCAGGGCCCCATTGTGCACCTCGAGAGAGAGACCGCTGCCCTAACGTACTGTCCAAATATAGAGCAGAACGCTGACAGTCGGTGCTCTCAGCTGCTCTTATGGTCGAGCTGACGGTTGTAGCTCCAGGCTCATTTTTTGTCTGCTCTCTTTTTGTCTTGCAGATGATGTTAATGTCTATCACCAACAGGCCTCATCCAGTGCAGGATCCCTGCAGCAGTCAGAGGTAAACACCTGCTCTCTGATCAGCTGGAAGACTCATTTATTTCCTCCATAATGCCATTTTATTTTTATTTATTTTAATCAAACTGTTAAAGTAGATGGAGTTAGGCATACATTTATATAAACACCTGAAACATTTTGATTTAAATACACATTTTTTTTAATATTGTCATGTCAGAACTGCAAACTTTGTTTTAGTTTTAGCATTTAATTTGACATCCCAACACAAAGGATCACATTAACGGAACTGGAATGAAAATAATAAATCAAAGGTCTTCAACAGGAGGTCCGCGACCCCTAGGGGGTCCATAGAGGTACTGCATGGGGGTCGACAAAATTTTTATTTTTATTTATTTTTATTTTTTTTTACTTTTTTTTATATTTATATATAAATTCCCCCCTGCAATTTTTTTCCACTAATTAAAATGTCTTTAAATACACATTAAAATGAATTCAACATGAATTCATCATCATTTCATTCACACCTGTCCCATCAACCAGGAATCAGAAATACTTCAATAATCTCAGGGCGAAATTACTTTAGTTACATTACTCCATCTGTAATAGTGACTATAGGACCAGTTTGATAGAACACTATTTCAAACAATATATGTAATTAGGGGGTCCCCGCTTCATCTCGCCATCAGTTTGGGGGTCCTTGGCCTGGAAAACGTTGAAGACTCCTGTAATAAATGATTAAAAAAAAGAAACAAACTAAAGAAATACTCCAATATTTATATATTTCAGCGTAGCCTTTCTCTATAAACCACTAAAGATGTGATCTGCATGTGTGTTCAGCTCCTTTAACATCTCTGATTAAAATCCAATTTCCACCAACTGCCTTAAAAAGGTCTCTTTACCAATAAACACAGTCTGTCATTGTATATAATTGAACCCTGGTATAAATCCAGCTGTTATAAAAGCCTCAGATGTTGGTTGGAGAACAATTAGCAGAACAAAGAAGACAGCAGACAGACCAGGGATGATTTTTACAGCCGCGTTAAGGAATAAACCTCCCAGAGCTCCTCACAGTCTGTAGCATCTAAAAATGGAAAGAGCCTGACAGGACGCGTCCACCCGCCCAAACTAAGAGGTCAGGCAGGCAGAACAGTAACCGAAAGCAGCCAGGCGGTGCATGGTAACACCTCAGCTCTGAGAATCTGTTCACAGAGCAATAAAAAAATATCAATATATATATATATATATATTCCTGACCAATATCAATAGTAAATGCATCAGAATTTTCTGCAGCTACAGTGAAATCTGAACAAGAAGCTGGAGAATAAAGGCAAATTAAATGATTCAGCCTCTTAACCTCTGATGGCCTCTGATTTGTTTAAGGTCAAAGGTTGTGTTTAAATAGAATTAGCGCTGGAACTTTAATTAGGGATTTCACCCCTGATTATTATCTAGATCAGGGGTCACCAACCTTTTAAAGGCTGAGGGCTACTTCATGGCTACCGAGTCATAGGAAGGGCTACCAATACTGACCTATGAACTGGAGGGATCAGTGTTCACCTGCAGTAAATCTCATCCATTAAAACTCATTTTTATTCTTATTTTATTCTTTTATTCATTTCTAACTTTCTTTTTAATATTGTCATTTTGAAACCAGTGAAAAATGATGAAATAGTTAACATGATGAAATAATACATAAATGATTAAAAAGAAGAGCAACAGAATAAAAAAAAATGAAACTTAACTTTCAGAAGATGAAGAGGGCCCGCAATGTGGTCCTTGAGGGGCCCCTTGGTGACCCCTGATCTAGATAAATAAAACAGAAAAGTAAACAATAAATATGAATATTAACTGAAGTTAAAGGCCTTTATGATAAAAAGGTAAGAAGTAAAAAAATGTTAAAGGAACTTTTATGAATTCTAAACAGTCGGCTTCATATAATGATGATATGTAAGGTGCTCTGGTGGGATGGGACCATCATTAAACTCTAGAGCGGAGGTCTTCAACAGGGGGGGCACAACCCCTTGAGGGTCCATAGAGGTACTGCATGGGGGTCGCTAAAGTTTTGGTTGATTAGACTTTTTTTTTATATTCCCTCCTGCATTTTTTTCCACTAATTGAAATGTCTTTAAATCCAGATTAACATGAATCCAGCAGACTGTAGTAAACAGATTAATGGAGGCAGAAGATGTCTTTCAGTCATCAATGCCCACATTCAGAGACACACAGGAGCTCTTTCAAGCTGGGCACCGTTTCATTCACAACACCTGTCCCATCAACCAGGAATCAGAAATACTTTAATAATCCCAGGGAGGGATTACTTTAGTTACATTACTCCATCTGTAATAGAGTGACTATAAGACCAGTTTGATAGAACACTATTTCATACCATATATATAATTAAGGGGTCCCCGCTCCATCTCGCCATCAGTTTGGGGTCCTTGGTCTGGAAAACGTTGAAGACCCCTGCTAAAGACGGTTCCTGCGGATCCTTAAAGTCGTAGGGAAGCGACTGTTCCAAACGTTGCATTTCCAAATTCTCCCAAGGCCAGTTAGTTCTACGTCAGCCTGAACACCTAAATTCATCCAATCATATATCAACGCTCATCTGTCAATCACATTTTTTCGGTCATAGCATCTTGATTTATATGTCGCAGCTAATATACGCAACGGTTGAAATAGGAATCTCTCATTTGGTTTTATTATAAATGAAACCAAATGAGAGGAAAGGATTTTATACTTAGTCATAGGGAAATCATATTTAATTGTCAAATCATTCTGGCTTAAACATGTATATAAATGTAATCTTTATCAGACGATGTTGTCCCAAAATGTAGAAAATTTCTATTTTTAAAAATATCCCGTCTCAAAATCTGTTGCTTTATTTTATTTTGTTATCTTCTGCAGGCCAGTTAGTTCTACGTCAGTCTGAACACCTAAATTCAGCCAATCATATATCAACAGTCATCTGTCAATCTAATTTTTTTCGGTCATAGCATCTTGATTCATATGTCGCAGCTAATATACGCAACGGTTGAAATCAGAATCCTTTCCTTTCCCATTGAGTTGCGTCCCAGTGTTCACGGGGATGGACGTCTGTGTCTTCAGCAGGCGTAGAGCTAACAGAACTGGCAGCGTTGCGAGGCAAGGGCTCAAACATGTACGGCTGGAAGCCTTCTAAACCAAACCAAGCTTCTGCCGCCCTGGCGTCCTCTTCCACAACATCGTCGTCCCCGCTTTCCTCTTCTAAATAAAAAAAGGATGCCGGAGGAGACTCATCCACGACCTCCGACACTAAACTCTCCTCCTCTTGCATGTTTCCGCTGTCCATAGTGTTCCTTGACAGCGTCGTTTCTAAGTCACCAATTTAGTGCTACTTGGTCCCAATGGAATTTCCCATTGGGAACCTACTAGCACTAAGATGCTAACTGGTTAGCAACTTAGTGCTACTTGGTCCCAATGGAATTTCCCATTGGGAACCTACTAGCACTAAGTTGCTAACTGGTTAGCAAGATGCTCCCAAAAAACCGGCCACAACGTGATTGCAAACTTTTTGCTATAACCATCCCGCCCCCTTGATAATCGACCCATCACATTCACTTTATTCACTCCTGTAAAGTCGGGCACCACTCCTGAGAATTCGGAAAATGCAACCGTTAGAACAGCCGCTTCCCTACGACTTTAAAAAGTCTTGAATTTAACTTGTCTTACGTTGTAGGAACTCTGTCAAAAATGGCAGAGAATTCATTATTATTTTCTGTCCCTTACATAAAATCCCAGTAAAATAGACCAAAGTTTGTGGCTATATGAGGAGAGGTATCGGAGGTGAATGATAGTTGGTCATCTGAAATTTAGCTTTCACAAATGTGTGTCAGCTTTCCTCTTGAATGGTTGTGAGAAGTAATTGTAAACCTTTTCCAATTTCCTTCTTTTTTTACCTTTTTTTTATAACAAATCTTCTCTCTTATCTATTTCTAGTTGTTTATTTCCAACAGCCAAACCTAGATTGGACAAAGCTCTAATGCATCTGTGTTCTCCTTCTTACACCTGAAAGTCCCCTTTAAAGGCTGATGTGTGTGTAGAGACCTGTGAGTCTAGCAGGAACAGCCTGGCCTCCCTGGCTGCGTCTGACTGCAGTGACAGCCCACGGCTCAGCTGTCAAAGCTTAGAGAGAATCAGTGCTTTGCCCGGGGTAAGGCTAGTCAGCCGTTTCTGTGCATCTTCTTATGTCGACTCTGAGATTAACAGACCAGGAGCTGCCTGTGTTATGGAGTGCTCTTTGCTTAAAGTGTAACTAAACCCGATGTCACAGCATAACCCAGACACCAGACATATTTTAAAAACTTCAGCCACAATAGGGCAGGGGTGGAGCCAGATGTGGGGGCCTGGGGCGGCCATGGCCACTCTTAGCCACCCCTTTGGCCCCACCTGCCTTTTTTTCCCTTCTGACCCCCAGATTCTACATCCTCCGTCAGCCCTCTGCGCCGTCCCGCTCACAGGCATTGTGCAGAGTACTTGTCCGTCACGTTAATCAATGAGAACTGTTCCACATCCACCGCTACTTCTCCGCACGTCACCGTCCACGTACGCCTTCTCCGTCCGTCACCGTCAAAATACGGAGCAAAGCAATTTTTTAGTTCCGCTCCCGTCCGGCCAGGTCAATATCAGCAATTGCAATCACACCAAACAGGACAAAGAAAAGCGAGAAGATCCGATTTGTCAAAAATATATAATTAAAGCCCTGGCTGCTGCAGACGGGCTAAAGTTATCCCTGGCCGCTGCAGACGGGCTAACGTTAGCCCTGGCCGCTGCAGACGGGCTAACGTTATCCCTGGCCGCTGCAGACGGGCTAACGTTATCCCTGACCGCTGCAGACGGGCTAACGTTATCCCTGACCGCTGCAGACGGGCTAACGTTATCCCTGACCGCTGCAGACGGGCTAACGTTATCCCTGGCCGCTGCAGACGCGCTAACGTTATCCCTGACCGCTGCAGACGGGCTAACGTTATCCCTGGCCGCTGCAGATGGGCTAACGTTATCCCTGGCCGCTGCAGACGGGCTAACGTTATCCCTGGCCGCTGCAGACGGGCTAACGTTAGCCCTGGCCGCTGCAGACGGGCTAACGTTATCCCTGGCCGCTGCAGACGGGCTAACGTTAGCCCTGGCAGCGGTTAGCCTTAGAGGTCCGCTGGTTGCCGTGGTCCTCTCAACATCAGAACTTTTTTTTAAATTACGTACTAAAGGCGAGTACATTATACTTCACTATATGGTCTGTTTACCCATTTAATGCGTAATTTAAAAAAAAATTTCCGAAGTTGAGAGGACCGCGGCAACCAGCGGAGCTCTAAAGCTAACGTTAGCCCGTCTGCAGCGGCCCTCTTTCGGCATAGCCGTGTGTGAAGGACCGCTGGCCCTGATGGCGATTTTTCTTTTTTGGCCAAAACGTTCATTTGATTTGTGTTTATCTGACTTTGTTCATTATTATTCCTCCACTAAATGAAAAAACTCATAATTTATTATTATCTAGAGACTATTAATAAGAGGAGGTGAAATGCAGCGCTAGACGAGCTTAGCGTGTGGTGACGTCACGAGTACAGATGCGATCACGCTTCTAGTTCTTGTGAATTGGATCAGTAGTAGGGCTGAGGCTGATGATGTTTAACGAGGACACGAGAACGGATTGAGAAGCGGCGTTAGCTCTAGCTAGATTTGTACCAAACTGTTCCGTTTCAGCCAGTTGGAAAATTCCACTGCAGTAACCACCTTCCAACCCATAGAGGGCAGCACTAAGATGGTTTGCAGATTATTTTTACTGAATTAAACACCCTTACATTAAAATGTGAACAGTGACATAAAGATAGTATCTTTCAGGCTCAATCTATACAGGTAATCTGCAAAAAGCCTAATTTAGTTTAGTTGCTCTTTTATCTGTAGGATAGAAAAATGTTTGGAGGCTGTGGCGTGTCTAAACCATTGCTGCTGTCTGTCAATTTTGCTGCTGTGGTTGTTGTGGTTTAAGGTGTTTTTGTTTGTTTTATTTTCCATGTTTTCAGCTCATTTCTCACTGTGTGCTCGATTTCTCTGCAGCTTTGGAGAAAACGGGCTCTATTCCTGAAGTACCGTTCCAGGGTATGGCATGGTAAAACAGGCTTGTGATGCAGTGAAGCTCTGCATAGGTCTGCCTGTGTGCCTGTCAGAGTGTCCGCTCGCTGTCGGCCGTCCTTCACACATTAGATATTCCAAAAAACACAAATGGAAAGATATTCAATTGATCCAGAGAAGGAAATGATCTCACTCAGGGATCGAGGAAAATCAATACCTTTTTCTTGGTAGAGAGCAGAGCCTGCCTTGTAGCTGGCATGTTTGTTTCTGAGAGCGATGGAAATATGCACTGACTGCACCAGCTTTAGTGCCAATGGAAAATGGCTTTTCAACTGTTTTGTTTCTCACCTTTGATAGTTTTTCGCTTCACCGCAGGGAAAGCAAGTCAGGTGATGTTAAAGCATAATTAAAAGGCACAGTGTTGTAGATGTACATGCAGATGTGTGTGCGTGTGTGTACCTGTCTAGCCCACAGAGTGAGGACCATTTTTCCTATTTCACCATCAAATTGAGGACCAGTTTTTGCAAAGGGAGGACATTTTGCTGGTCCTCACATGCTATTTTGCTAATGGTTAGGGTTAAGTTAGGGTTAGGGTTGGGGGGACGGGTTAGGCGTTAGACACTCTCTCGATGACCCCCCCCCCCCCACCCAGTCCAACGACTAGAGCAGTTGGTTAGGGGATCAAAAGTATTGCACGGGCCGGCGCACGTTCGTTGGTATCTCTCAGATCCATAGCCAAGCCAGTTTGTAGAACTTGGAGAATTAGGGTTAGCTTTTAGAGTAATGGCTAGGTTTTAGGGTTAGGGCAAGGCTAAAAATTAGGTTTTAGGGCAAGTGTCAGGGTTAGGGATCGGCTAAGTGTATTTTTAAGGCAAGGGTCAGGTGTTAGGTGTAGGTATGGATTCCACTAATATTAGGGTCAGTAGCTAATTGATCTGGTAAGGTGATATATGCTATAAGTGTAGTATAAGAGTGGAGGTTATGATTAATTGAAGATAAGTATATTATTTTTTAGTTCAATGGAGGAAGCAGAGTCAGGGTAAACCTCCCTGTAATGGGCTAAGTTGACCCCCGCCAGTCTGGCATGTAAACTCTGCCTCCTCCACTCCCTGCAGTTCTAAACTGAGGGAAGGGAGGTAGGTAGAGGGAAATGTTTTATGAATAAATATTTTTTAGGTCTAATATTGGTAGGAGTTTTGTTACTTAAGGTTAAGATTTTGATAATTTCAGTGTAAAATAGGGTGTAAGGTATTTTATAGAAATTAGTGAGGAGTGGTCATATTATGGTATTAATTCACTAATTGTGGTTAATTTAAGGTTTCTCATCAGGTGTTTAAAAGGAGACATTTAATGTAAAAGAGGGCTTAATATCAAGCATATTATGGTGAGATGGCCATGTTAAGGCTTTATCTCCAAATATATGAGATTAATAAATCTTGGAGGGCTAAAAGGGTTAGGGTTAGGTTTAGAGCTAAGGTATCAGTTGGGTTAGGGGGAAGGCCGGGTTATCCTGCCCCAGCGGTGTGTCACAGTGTGCTTCTCACAGATTTTTTGATTTGTCCAATATTGAAGCGTGCTCTGCGCTATGTTATTCCACGCCACAACACCAGAGGGCCAATCAGGAACTAGCTTTGGGTCTAGATACGGCCGAGGCGGTGAGGAAACGGGGGGGCAAGTTTGTATGACAACGGAGGGACATGAGGTCCAAAAAGAGCGGGGATCCAGGTGGAAAAAGGGTCCCAGAGTTCTCGCGCACCTCGCTCTGCTAGCTGCTCCATCTTCACCAGTCGTTTTCCACAATGGCGGTCAGACAAACAAAACAAGCTGGTAAGGAACCAAACAGGAAATACTAGGGAT